AATGTGCACACACACTATCATCAAAATAATATTGCTCCACAGGGGAGAATTAAAATCACTCATCGGACTTGATTAATGTATGGTCAAATGGGTTACAATATTCATATACAGAGGTAACGTAAACTCTATAATATAATTATCATATATGAGTCCTCATCGCTTGGGTTCTGCTCGAGTCAGGGAGACATCCCTGCCATAACCATGGTGACAGTCCTCGTCCTCTATATCGACAATGCTCATGTAAGAAGTTTGGGTCAATTGGCTCGACCACTTGCTTGTTCACAAGAGGCAGTTCACGCTATACAAAGATCATCCGTCTGATTTAGGACAAATTTAAATAAATCCTCGTAATAAAAATGATTTTGCGGTAAAACGTGGAGGTAATTTGGGACAGAGTAGTAGAGTTTTTGGAATTAATCCAGGCGGAACAACCCCGAACGAAATCCATGAGCGTTATTCAACCACGCACTGGTACAGCATGAGCCCAAGTACTATAGTCCCAGTCTGAATGAGTACAAGTACCAAAGTCCCAGTCTGAATGACTCCAGGTAGTCCCACTCGTGACAACCAGCATCCACGAGCAAAACACAATACATGTGTGTAGTATAACGTAAATGACCAATTTATGGTCACTTTTTCGGAGATAGGTGCTTGTTGAAGTTTTCGATATCCGTATCCGTATAAACATGCGTTAGTGATTAACAAAGATTTTGAACCATGTCTGAGGCCAAGTACGGATCCATCCACGGAAATGCCCCCGGCACGAGAGCGGAAGGCAAGGGAGACCGACGCGCCTTGATCTATCGCACGACAACCGCCTTGTTGCTCGCTGGGATACTCCTCTTTCAGCTCAACATGGCATGGACTCGTCCCCATTCCGAGAACTCGTAAGTCCCACGACTACGCCTGGACCAAGACTGAGCTCCCTTCACTTCGTCTAGGTCATCACGTCAAGACTTGTATTCGCGCTCTGAACTTTCATTCCTTGCATTGATTGACCGGGCAGCTGCCAATGATACCTCTTTCCCCCCTTCAATGTCAACTGAAGCCTTGTTTCATCGCTACGGATTTGCCACGACAATGTCCGTGACCACGCATATCAAATTGACGCCTCAATCGTACGAACTCCATCTAGTCGATGCAAAGCAGCCATCCGACGTGTTGGCTACATCCGTGCTCGTTCCCAGTCGACTGGACCGCTGCAGTAGACCACTCGACATACTCGCGCCTGTTGTCCATTTAGTAGATTCAGCTGCACCGATCAACTCGACCCTCGTTGGGAATATCGCCTTGGCTCCCTTGGGCTTACTTGCCGAGAACTGTCGCGCCATTGCGTTGGCGGAAGCTCACAACATGGCTATGCTCTTGTTCTACGCGTCGGCTTCAAGCGATAACGTCGACCACGGCAGTAAGTCACATCGTGACGTTTAATGGTCTCCTGACACAACAACACGTAGATATCTCCATCTGCCCATCCTACGAAGTCCCGCTCGACCTAACCCCTGGCTACGCAGCCACGGCTGGTGCCCCCCGCCTCAGCCTCGCCGCTGCGGAAGCCCTCCAAGGCCTGACACTTCCACTTGGTCACATTGCCAGTGCATCAGGGCTAGACATCCTGACCCACTTACGATCATCATCCAACGTGCTCTTACGCGTATCTCGTCGATGCAACCACCGCGTGCTCGCGCAGCATCGCGTCCATGCCACAGTGGAAGGCACGCACCCAACCAAGGACATGGTCGTTCTCAGTAGGTCGTGCGTGGTTGCGAACTTCATGATCGTTAATCATCCCCTTGTTTGCCCATCCTGACTCGTACATAGGTACTACTACCTCGTCGTCAACGCCCCAGTCAGCCAATTCCCCTTTGGCCAAAGTGTTGCCAGCATTGCGAGCCCTCCTGAACACAGGGTGGACTCCATATCGAACGATCCAGCTCGTGGCGTCAGACTTGGAGGGGGGCTTGTCAGCGGATGGGGACGACAACCCCACGTTCCACGTCCACCTTGCACACACCGCACCAAGGACCATGCCGACGGCGACGCAATTGTTGCCGTTGCATGACACCTTCACCCACATGACGTGGCATCACGTGGTTACGACGTCGTCCTCCCATCTGCGACAGTCTATCACTCCGAACAAGGATATTGGCATTGTAGCCACCCAGAGCGCAGACAAGTTTCGGCAGACTGCGCGAATCGACTTGTACGCACATGATGGAGCAACCACCACGACCAATAATCCACCGGACCTGTACAGTGTCAAGCTGTGGGCGACCTTGGGGCTCCGAGCCGCAACACAGCCTCTGTATCGCTTGGCGTTGGTGGCCCCGCTGCGCTTGATTACGTCATCAGCGTCATCATTCTGCTCGTCGACAAAGCATGCGTTGATGCAGACCAGCATCGATGAGCTGGTGGCGGCGGCGGCCACTCAAGGCCGAGAATTGGACGACATGAGCGCAGGGGCGATTCAGCTGTGGAATGCCAAGTGGATGGCATTGGAGGCATTGCTTGCCAAACACAACGAAGCGCCGAGTTCATGCATGGACGATGCTGCTGCGGACAACATGTCTGGCCTGGTCAAAGAATTGGTGGCATCGCTGCTGCACTGAGTTACAAATGATATGTACGGTGAAGTGGTTGGTTCGCACGCATTATGATTGTTGATGGATGCGCACAGTCAACTAAACACTGCAGTACATCATATTATTGTGCATTTCGTGATTCTTGGTTAACTGCGTTAAACCACCGACGCTAATAAAATAAAGCCGATTGGAGTACTATTGCATTCCATTTGTGTCAAAGGACATTTGACGAGTGACACGGAATATTGCGATATATTCCCTAGAAAATACTGTTAAGCTTAGTTGGAGTACAGTTGGAGTTTATCTTTATTGTGCTTTCGAGTGAAATTTCGTGTTGTGGCGTGGTTTCTCGTTGGAATTTAAATCGATTTGATTGGCTACTTCAGATGAGCTCAAAATTATTAACCAATCAAAACCTTCTTAATGAAATTCAACCAATCAGATCGATTGTGGATCGGTTTGGTTGGCGCGATTCGATTGCACCCCCTCCTCAAATCTAATTTCGGTCGAGTATCGCGAATAAAATGGTTCGAAAAACTCTATTTCGACAGCCTATTAATAGTGCGTACCAGTAATTAAGAATATCTCGGTCTCTGTCGAAATATTATTGAGAAATATCACGATATGGAAGACGTATTTAGATTTACTATTACAGGTACTGGTATTGATAATAACTGTTTGTATGGTTCGATACACTGCTATAAATAATAAATAATTTGTGCAATACTGTATAAACGTAACGTGGGGCACCAGCCATCAGCATCGCTCTTTGCTTACTTTGTTCGTCGATTTCTCGTTGACTACAACACATATTGAGGTGATACAAATATCAAAATAATCGCAAGAATCAGCTCATGAATTGAGGTTCAAAGGATATCAATTTAAATAGTCAACACATGCAGTAAGGATTTTCAAAAGTAGCGTACCAGTCATCGGCACACGTTTTAGACTTGTGTAATGTATTGAATCCTCCACACTCTAGTTCTCAGGATGCTGTCATCATATTAGCTATCAAAGGAATATGTGTTTAGAATGGGTATTAACTGCTACAGTAATGACTTCTGTAGGATCAACACAAAATTGCCTGGTCCAACCTCTAATTTATAAGGGGCACTAATTCTTGAAGAACTACATTTTGACCAATAAGAGGTATTCGGGTATTTCTATTGGCTTACTTAGTACATGACTGGTGTCATTGCCGATGACTGGTGCCCTACGACATTTGAAGCGCACCAAATCAGTTATTATTGCCTTCCTATCCACTAGAGCTGGATGGCCGTGTCAGTTGTGCAGGCGGCGCTGACGACGGACGTCTTGGTGACGATCTGCTCCTTCCAGCCGGGTGTGCGTGAAGACATCCTCCTTGCCCACCTATAGCCCGATGACGTAGAAGACCAATGCGCCACCGTATTCTTCGAAGGTTTCTGTATCGAACTCACGTCTGCGTTGACCCCATGGCTCAGTGCCAACGGCCTCCATCGCATGCCAGAACTGTTCATCGCCATCCCAACGTTGCCTCGAGCAGTGTTGGTGTATGCCGTGTACAATGATCGCGTGGACATCATGACATTCCTCGTCCAAGACCAAAACCTACTCACGGATCTGTTTGCATCATGTGGCGTGCTGCTCAACGTGGCCCTTGCTGGTGGGCATGTGTCGATGGTACGATACCTTAGACAAGCTGGGTACAACCCGCCAAGTCGCACGTCAGTCATCAAGACTGCGACTCACGCTCTCCGTCTCGACGTGCTCGACGCACTCGACTACAAAGTTGAAGCGACCAAAGTGTTTCAAAGTGACCGGTGGTTCTACGACGTCGCGATGTGTTTGCGTACTTTGCAGGAACAATGGACACTTCCATTCTGGGAAACGTTATGAGCTTGGCTGCGTCCGTGGGCCACTTGGATCTGGCCAAGTTTCTGCACAGCCACGTCACCATGTCGGAGCTGTCGCCAAGAAAGTCGTGTGCTCTGACCTGCCTTCAAAATGCCCTTGAAGAGGCTTGTTTCGACGAATTCGTGTGGCTGTGGGGCGTTTGGGCTCCATTCCTCTCGGCGAAGGACAAAGAGTCGTGCCTTGCCAAAGTGTGGAAATGTTGGGTCAACTGGGACGTCATGGCTTGCATTGCCAGTCGCATGCAAGAAGATGGCAATCTCCGCGGGATTCAAAGCTGCTTGATCATGTACGAGTGGCAATTCGGCTCAAGTTATGACGAAGAGATGGTTCCGATGCTCGAATTCGTGGACAAATGGGGTGGCGATCACTTGGAAGCTCGTTTCGGGGCACTCGAAAACACCGTCGCACATGCTCCATCGGCGCTCGTGCTTCATCTGTTGGCCAAGTGGCTGCCCCCCATGACCCCCGCGGCGCGTCGGCAGGCCAACTACGACTGCCTCCGCGCGGCCGTGTCCAGGATGGACTGCTGTTTGGAGGTCGTCCAGTGGCTGGTGCCGTTTGTGAATCCAGCATTGGTCCCCCGAGTCTTCCTTCAGAGCCCCATTGTGAAACATGCGTGCGAACGTGATGACATTGACACGGTTCGATTCGTGGACAGTTTCAGTGGTCTGAAACTCTCGTCGACATTTGCAATCGCCGTTGAAAGTCGTGCCCTTTCCGTGCTTGCATACGTCGTGGCCAAGGACGAGTTTGCCGTGGCGAAGCAAGTTCTGGAGCAAGCGTTTCATGCCGAATGGACCGATGGGTTTTTGCTCTTGTTTCGACGGTGGGTGGCCCTACCCAGTACGACCAACTTGGACATTGAGCGCGTCGTTCGCCAACATGGACGTGGTGGCGTCATGACGCCTACACTCCTGCTCGGGATTGTCCACACGATCAGCAAGCATCCGACATTGAACTTGCCACACTTCATCCACACCAACAATTTGCACTTTCGACAAGCCCTGCTGCATCACGAAATGTGGACTGGCAGCAGCGATGCCTTCAAGGAACTCTTGCACGTTTGGCTGAGTGGTGGCGCTACTACATTCTCGCTCTCCAAGGACTAGCATGCGGTGCTGACGGAATGTGTGGTCAAGGCCCTTGTGGACCGAAGCCACGACCACCTTTGCCTCATTATCGCTGCGAATCGTGGACACGCTCGAGAAGAATGGGTTGCCTTGGCCACGCGACTACATGGAGGGTACACGGAACTGTTTAACGTGTTGTACTTTGCATGGCTCCCTCAGTGCACAGACATGATGCGAACACAACGCGTGCAACACGAATGGCTGGCCCAGGCCCTGGCGACTGGTGGAGGCGGTGTGGTTGACACCATCACGAGGAGTGGATTCTACTACGCAGCACCTCGAGTGTTGCAAGCACCGGTCCACCAGCCATGCACGGGCCCCGTTCGCCCCGCACTACTCATTCCCCTCAAACGCGAACATGACGAGTTTGCAGCGGCGACTGGACGCAAACGTGGGCTCCAACGGTTTGGAGATAGTAAGAAAGGCAAAGACAACTAGGTTTTGAATTGCAAGTCCTGGAATAGTAAAGACGATATGTCATGCTGGTATTCTAGGGGGAAAGGGATGTTGGTGGATCGATGGATATGTGTGATTCACATGCAACATTGCACAGCTGAGTACTACAATACCAACTGTGCCGCAGGAGACAGCAAGCATGCGTCGAGGTGACTGATGGTTGAAAGATCTACGGCGCTCAACAGGGTCAGCTGTGCACGTAACGTTATCTCATGCATGTCACTCTGCGACACATCAGACAAGGTTGGGCAGACTGTGCGGATCGACCAGCACGCACATGATGCAGCACCTACCAACCCACCGGAGCTGGACAACGAAGCACCGACTTCACGCATGGACGACGCTACTGGACAGCATGGTAGCCAAGTCTGCAACTTGGTGGCATCCCTGCACCAGTTTCATGTAACTGCCAACTCCGGAGTAGACAGGTAAAAGGACCACTACTACGTTGCAGTAGTTGGTTTTTGGAATTTTCATCCTAGTAAGTTAGTAGTCCCTCTCATACGTTGGCATCGCCAAGATCGACTACTCGTCCATCGGTGCGCTTCAACTACTCATGAACGAGCGTGAACGACTCGTCACCGCTTGGCAAACCAATTGAGCTACCCACTAGGACAATGTCCCTATTGATGCGAACACAACACGTGCAACACGAATAGCAGGCCAATGCATTTGTGACTGGCGGAGGTGGTATGGTTGACTCCATCACGAAGTGTTGATTCTATTACACACCGCATCGATTGTCATCATCGATGGACGACGTTCCGACGGCGGCAGATGTTCCCCTCAAACGTCAGCATGACGAAGTTGCGGTGGCAACTGTACACAAACGCCTGTGCCAACACTTAGGTAGCGATAACAAAAATGGCAACTGGAGTATTATGCGAGCCAGCATTACCTTTCGATGCCGTTGAAAGGACTGTACTATTGAAACCTAGGGACGAGATTCTGGCGGGATAATACATAACGAAGTGCACGTCAAGGACGAGGTTACTATGGTCAACATCCCTGGCCGGGTCAGCCTCTCAGTGGCATTCCTTTCAAAATACTTTCGTTGCCTTGAAGTGATTGTAACTGACAGATCTGCGATTTGATGATGACACACATCAGAAGTTACATGTCGGTTACAATCTGCATGATAAACCATCCGGATAACTGTATTTTCCGGATTCCGTGAGCGAAGTTGAAGGCGTAAGTGATCTTGTGAGGCCGGAAAGCAAGGGAGATGGACCTGCGTCAACGGATCCCCTCGACCCAAGCCCCGTCGTCACAAGCGCCATCGACAGAAGAGAGCAAGAGCACCATCATCGTCGCACCAGATGTAGTCTCCCTAGTCGTGATCTTCCTCATGTCCCTCATCGCGGTTGGGACGTCCATCTACTTTCTCATTCTTCACGACCTCAGTGCCGAAGATGCCGCCAAGATTCGCTTCCCAACCTCGTTGCTTGTGGCGAAAGAACTGGGCCAGGAACTGCGTGACATCACGGCGCACTCCCCTGGCCGTGTCCTCATCGCTCATGGCCTTCTGTACCTGTTTCTCCAGTCGTGGGCGATCCCTGGCACCATCTTCGTGAACCTACTCGGCGGTGCGCTCTTCGGCCTTCTAGTGGGGTTTCCCCTGTGCCTCTTGTACAACACGCTAGGGTCATGTTTCATGTACGGATTGTCGGCTCGGTTTGGCGGTAAGCTCGTCCAAAAGCACCTCTCGACGCGGTTGCACCAAATGCGCGTGACCATCGACGCTCACCGCGACGACCTGACGCTGTACATGATCTTCCTGCGCATCTTTCCATTCTCCCCCAACTGGTTCATGAACATGTCGTCTCCCCATGTGGGCATTCCGCTGTTGCAGTTTGCCGCGTCCGTCGCGGTCGGCTTGACCCCGTACAACTTTCTCAGCTGCAAGGCCGGGCTCATTCTCAGCGCGTTGCAATCCAAGGGCGACATCATCGACACGGCCACGACCGTCCAGCTCATCGTCGTGGCCGTCGGGGGCCTCGTCGGACTCCCTCGACTGAAGGCAAGATTTGCCAAGTAACTCGATGGATTTTACAATAAGTCCTGGAGTGAGTTAAGCTTAGTGGGGTGTTTGGGAACTCTGGTATTCGTCGTGCCAAGCGGTTAGTTGCTTCGTGGTCAAGGGAATCTCCAACGCCACGGCCAGCACTTCCGCCGTGTGCACCTGCACTTGCATGTGACCTTTGCTGTCTATCTTCGTATCCATTCTTACCGAAGTGGGCAAATCGCGGAAAAATTCCATGATCTTTTCAAACGACGCGTCCAGCAGGGTTTCTGCGCAATTTCAGAAAATTCAATCTCGATACAAGAACATCCCCTTGTTATAGTAAAAACGAACACATGGGTTTCGATACTGGAATCATCCCTTGATAGAAGAACACACACGTACTCTCGGACACAGTGAGCAGCGCCAACGCCACGCGATACACAATCTTCCAGCCCTCGTGGAGGTATATGTCCCACACTCGCGTGACAAACTCAAACGGAAACGAGTACGAGTAGAGCGTGACGAACCACTGCGTGGCGTACATGGTGGGATGCAGTCCCTCGGCGTCCAAGTGGTCTGCGAGCTTGGGGAGGTACTGCTTCATGGACTGGTCAAAGGTCCACATGATCTCCATGACGCGGGGCATGCCTGGGCGGTACATGTCGGCCATGCCGTACTTCTTTTGGTTCAGACAGGCCACGACGTGCCAAAACGTTTGCTCTTCCGGCATGTAGCTGAGGAACAGCGCCGAAATGAACCCCATGCCCTGATACAATCAATGTATGGGACATGTCGTGGTTAAGCATTGTGGTGTTGACATACTTGGCAGTAGCCGACGTTCGGGTCGTACACCGAGTACGCGCGCAGAACGTTCATTAACGCTCCTTGGCCCAACGACGTGGCGTCCTTGAACAGGTGGTGCTTGGGGAAGGTGCGGCCGATGTCACGGGAGATCGTATCCTCGCAGGGGGCGTGCGGCGTCGCCAGCAAGTCGCGGTACATACACGGATTGTTCTTCATCATGAGGCTCGAGCCAGCCAAATGGGGCCACGCGATGCCGCGGATGGCGTCCGGAATGCCCTTGCGGACCTACCCACACGGGATCAAAATAGGGAGAAAGTGGAGGGTTTGTCGTACTCTGGACTTGAGTTTGGCCGCCTGTTTTTGCTTGGTGCGCTCCCAGTCTTCAATATCCACGCCCCCCGTCATGGCGATCCACTTTTGAGTCCGTCGGTTCTCCAGCCACACCGTGTCGGACGACGGGTGGTGATGGGGATGACTGGTACGCGACTTGACGGCTTCGTTCACTCGAGGAGAGAATCGTCTGGACGACAAGCATCCATGACATTATGACATGCGAAAGAGAGAGAGATATGCGCGACATTCGTACTTGTCGGCAAGGAGAAACCCATATCTGTCGATGGAAGCGACGGGGTATGCAACCGCCCGAGGCGATGTTACGATGGGCGGGGGAGGTAGGTTGTTCGTCGTGGTATCCACAGACCTTGCTACTCCTGACCTGAACGACAACGTCATGAGCATATGCTGCATGTTGCCATGAGCAATCATCTTACATCGTGGCTGTTCCGTCCACGCGAGGAAGCGCAGTCGAATGTGAAGATATTGTGGCTTGCGTCGCAAGGTATATATGCCCACAAGAGGGCTAAAAATAGAACTTTCTACTTCGAAGTATCAAATTAGGTGTTTCGATTGGACAAATTAAGATAAATGCTGAAGTCGGTAGTATTTCAACGGCCCGCTCTGGTGCTATTATTCGTCGGCAAAATAGGGGACAGAAGTCGGTTGATACTTGGCCACGAGATTGCATAAGGATTATAGGCTGGCGTGACGATAGCCTTCCAGCATTTTGCGTGCCTACAAAGTTCGTCGCCGTGTTGAGAGTTGAACGCAAACACCACCAACGTACCAACTCCACCACCCGACGGTTTCCATTGCTTGTCAGTCTGGAGACAATCACACTATTGTAAGTCAAAATTCCACTGCAATAACGTTACACGTACAGTTTGAACATGCGAAATGTCGTGTCCTGGGATTGGTGCTTCATGGCCGCAAACGACGATGCTTGAAGCAAGTGGTACAAAAGGGTCAACAGCTTGAAATATGTCGGGGCTGGGATCGTGCTTTTCAACGTGTCTACGAGAAGTTGTGCATGAACGAGACGTGCGTGTTAAGTCTCTAACCGCATTGAATAATGGTCAGCAATGGCGGCGACACGTTGCTTTCCAACAGTATGGACGTCCCCCAAGTGCTACGTATGTGAAGTTAGCTGCCATCGTACACGGCATGATGAGGTATTTGCACCTCTTTCCAATCAGACACAGCACTGGAATCACTTCGTCCAACATGGAGTGGGGTATAATCGCTAGGAATCGTGCACCATGTCAGATTGTGGGATACTGGAACGCACACCACGGTACCAACGATCAGAGTCAACTTGGTGCATATCTTTTTAACAGCTGCAAAGATTGGAGGCAATGGAAGGCTGTTCGGATCGCATAGAGTGTTGCCCAAAGTCGCTGTCACGGTGTGAAGTATTTTCTGTTCGACTTCACCATCCAGCTACACCAATCGTTGAACGAGTGTGTCAAGTGGGACGTACAGTACCATTTCTTGGACAATTTCGTCAACGGCATGCAAAACTGGTATTTGCGTTGTTGGATTCAAAGGTTGTCCATGCGCAAGGGAATACGACAATGCTTGAAGGCAGGTCAAAAGCATGTACTTTGTCTCTTGGGGGTGTGTGGGTTGCGTAAGGGTCACCGAGAGGTACTCGTTTTGCAGATTGGACAGCTGCAGCTCGAGGGACTGAATTTTCTCGTTTCTGTGGCGGAGGGTTGCGGCCGTGTGTTCCTGGAGCACTTGTAGCTGCGCCACTTGCACGAGGAAGTGGGGTAGATCCCTGTACCATTCTCCATGAGCTCTGGACTACAAAGGAAGAGGGCATGCATGGACGACTCACGCGCGGATTAGATCCTGGGTCATCTTGTCCGAGCTCATGATCGCGCGCGCGCAAAATTCTGCAAATGCCAAGGATTCAAATCGACCGGATAGGTGATCCGGATACACACGACGTTTTCCGGGTTGCATTATCCGGATATAAAGGTCACTACTGCTTGGCTTTCTTGATCTCCTTGGAGCGGTTCAGCTTGACGCCGCGCAAGATGTCGGTGATTTCCTGGCCCGAGAGCGTCTCATACTCCAGCAACGCTTTCGCCAACGTCTCCAAATCGGAGCGATTCTTCATAAGGATGCTGGACGCCCGCTTGTATGACGCATCGCACAACTTTCGGACCTACTCCACCATTATGTGATGACGTTACAAAGCGAACTTGATCTCGAAGTGGAGGGCGTCGTACCTCATTGTCAATCAACGTGCGGGTGGCAGCGGATGTGTCGTTGCCTTTCAAGTCGTGAAACACAATCCCAACTTCGTCGCTCATGCCGTACTTGGTCACCTATAGGCAGCAGCAGCCATCAATCATAATCTGCTATTTGTCAAGTCGATTCGAAATTGGAGTGTTTGGGTGCTCAATCGAATGAGCAGAATCACCAAATCGGCAGACAATCGATATACGACCAATCAAAACCCAGATCGCAAATCAAGTAGCCAATCAAATCCACTCTTCGCCCCATGAAACATCGAATTAGTGTATGCGACTGAAATTAGTGTGATTTGGCGAATCAGCACAAAAGTCCAAATATTGGGTAAAAGAACGACAATCCAAAAATGAGCACACACCATTTGTCGGGCCAACTGAGTCGCCTGCATGATATCCGACGACGCCCCGCCGGTGACTTCGTCCTTGCCAAAGATCATTTCCTCGGCCACACGTCCGCCCATACACACGTCCAACCGCGCGAGCAACTGCTTGCGCGTGATGCTAGTCTGATCGCCTTCAGGCAGTTGGCTGACCATGCCCAGCGCTTGACCTCGAGGCATGATGGTCGCTTTGTACACTGGGTGGGCGCCAGGGGTGTTGATGGCCACGAGCGCGTGGCCGCCTTCGTGGTACGCCGTCAACCGCGCGCTTTCGGGGGAAATGATCGCCGACTTGCGCTCGGCGCCCATGAGCAATTTGTCCTTGGCGAATTCAAATGCAGACATGTCCACGACCTATGCACATATGATAACGAGGATATATGCATCGCACAGTACAGTTTGGTTGAGAAGCGACGACCGCAACGTGGCTTCGTTGACCAGGTTGGACAGCTCCGCGCCCGACATGCCAGGCGTCGCGCGGGCCAAAATGTCGAGGTTGACGTCGTTGCCCAACGGAATTTTGCTCGTGTACAGCTCCAAAATGTCCTTTCGACCGGCAATGTCGGGAAGCGGGACGGTCACGTGTCTACATAACATATGAGATAACGTTTGAACAGTTGAGAGGCTCACGGACCTGTCAAAGCGTCCGGGGCGGGTGAGCGCATTGTCGAGGCTTTCGGGGAAATTCGTGGCCCCGATGACAATGATCCCTTTGTTTTGGTCAAACCCGTCCATTTCCACGAGAAGTTGGTTCAATGTCATCTTCAGCGCAGACTGTTCCTTCAAATGTCGGGTGCCCCCAATGGCGTCGATTTCATCGATAAACACAATGCACGGCGCCTAGAACCACCCAATGTATATCCATCCATTCACTATGGTATCCCTCTTGACATACCTTCTTCTTCGCCGCGTCAAACAGATCGCGCACACGACGAGCGCCGACACCGACGTACATTTCTTCGAACTCCGCGCCCGACGAGTAGAAGAATGGCACACCAGCCTACCACAGCACCATATAGTCCGTCATGATTTCCATGTTGACCAAGTCGTCAGACCTCGCCGGCAATTGCACGCGCTAGCAACGTCTTCCCCGTACCAGGAGGCCCCATGAGGAGCACTCCCTTGGGCAAGTTGCCTCCCAATCGGGTAAATTTATCCGGATCCTACGGTCCATATCATTCGCGTGTGGATGAAACGTATACAAGTCAGTTGTACCCTGAGATACTGTACGATCTCGTCCAATTCATCCTTGGCTTCGTCCACGCCCTTGACGTCGGCGAACTTTTTGTCGCTTCCGATCGCCGTCGTGACCTTGGACTTGACGCCGATGCCCCCGAGCCCCTTTTCTTCAATCAGCGCCGTCAACGCCGAGATGACCATGAACCCCAACGCGACCACGCGCGCCGTGCGCCACAGGTTCTTCTTGAACCCTCCATCCACCATAGACACGTACATGGGCTCGTTTGGGGACAGGCCTTGGGCCGCAGCCAAAGCCGACGAAAGCGGCGCGCCACTGGTCGCGAGTGCTGATGCGTTTGACGAGGCAATCGCCGAAGCAGGGGCCGCCGACTGCATCTTCGCCAAGAGGAGGTTCGTGTCCGTGGCGTCCATGCGGTTGGTGCGCACAAGAGCTTTGATGTATTCCCGGTACGCTTCCTGGGAGAGTGCGAACCGGCCTTCTTCCACGCGACGGACGACCAACGCTGGGTAGTCCTTGTTCAGAGCTTGAAGGAACTTGACTTGGCGACCCGCGTCCTCAGGGTTCGCGTTCGCGTCTTGCTCCATCTTCTTGAGCTGCTTCTTGTTGTTGCGGCCCGTAAGGTTGAAGAAATTTCGACGCGGACCCGCCGCTGTCTGCGGCATCACCAAGCCCTGCATTCTCATACTGGAATTGAGAGCATGTCCCGAAGTATGGAGATTTCTCGGAAGGTGGTGAAATGCTTGCTTCCACAGCCCCGACCGCAACATAGATCGAGCTGCGATGTCGGTGATCATTGCTTCGGCAACACTTGACCACACCAAACAAATTAGATTGTGGAGGTTGGCCAGGGCTATTTTAATTCCATTTGTCCTGGATGCACCAAACAAATTAAATTGTGGAGGTTGGAATTCCGTTTATCGTCGATGCCTTAACTTAAAAAGATCAAGTGATAAATATATAAAGTGCTCGAAAGTGTATAAATCAGGATTTCGTTCGAGAAGGACGAGGAATTTGGCGCGTTTCGAGTGGCGAGAAGAAAATAAAAAAGGAGCATGTTGGGCGAGCGAGTTAGCCTGGAAACATCTACTCGTCGGCGTCGCAAACGCCACCGGCAGCCAGTTGGATAGTGCATTCAGCCTCTGGCATGCACGGACTGTCAATAACTTTGCTATACACATAGAATTAGCATCCAAAAGCCAAGCTTTACCCCACCAAATTCGATTATCGCCTCGGCCCTTCTTCATCTACAAACACAAGTCAGGCCAATGATGATCAAGTTTTGAATAGCGAGGCGTCTTACCAAGACTCGAGTATGACATGCATGAGAGATGACATGTCCACCAACAGGCTTCAGGACAGGGCCAAACATGGCGTTTGCACCAGGATCGGCCATCACTTGATTAACCACCAGAACCGCAATGTTAAATTCCTACGACAAGCAGTCATCTACGTGAGTCAGATATAAGCACAAAAAACGTACCTCTGCGTGTTTAACGAGCCGTTGCAGGTGGACGTTCAAGCGCTGTTGTCTTTCGCTCAGCTCCCCACTACAATGGAGACTAGTGGGAACCGCACTGGTGCACGTAACTTACCGTCCAGAAAAATCGGTACGAAACAATGCGGTGATTGAATCGATGATGAGAAGCCGAAAGGGGCCACGTTCGGGATCCTGTTTATATGTTAGCTCAACAGTTGCTAGCAATTACTAGTACATAATTACCGCAAACAAAACTCCGAGCTTCAAAACCATGTCCATTTGAGCATCGTGGCTATGCGCCCTAATGCAAGTTCAAATACAGCAGCTGAGGATGAGAATACTTCGAAGTACCTTGCAACAATGATGTTGTCTAAGACATCCTTTGCATCCAAATCGTATCGTGTCTTGGCAATTTCTGCAACTCGTTGCTAGATAGAACTGATCAAGAATTGTTGGTGAACCGAAATTACCGGTCGGAAGGAACCTTCCGTGTCGACGATGGCGACTTTTCCTGCTCCCCCGCCTTGGGATCGCGGCAATTGTGCGGTGACACAAAGCTACAAAACATTAGCATAAGAGACAAGCAGTATTATACATACTGTGTGGCATAATTGGGTCTTTCCTGTTCGAAACTCTCCGTGGACCTATTTGACATCTGTGAGATCGATAACGTAGCAGTTGAGCGTTCACCTCCGTCATTGACATAGTCTCGATCCCGCCACCAAGTAGCATGTCAAATTCTGCACCATAAGATTAGTCGTATTGCTGCAAAATGTGTAGGGAAGGTTACGTTTCGATCCAGTCGTGATGAAATACTTTTGCTTGTTGTTGGTCAGCAATGTGCTTGCAGACATAAATCCACTCTTTTCACCGACAATCTACAAGGCGTAATGTATGCTGTTTTCATGAAGTCATACCTTTTTTGCTGCTTGAATCAACTTTTCAGCTTTAGCTTCACTCACACCTTTGACTTGCAACAGGCGCTTCATGGACACTTGAAACAACTGGCCAACTGTTGCAAATCCATCTTCCTTGAGCTTCGCAATATCTGTCGCATTGATTCCAGCATCTTGAAGAACTTCAATGCGTTCGTATGATAGCGCGGTATCGTCTTCGTTGCCTTCATCGTCGCTGACTACGGCAGGCTCTTGGACGGCGGAGACTTCCTTGACAACTTCTTTTGCCATTGCCTTCTTGGTTGCCTTCTCTCTACACAGACATGTGGAACCTCACAAGTTCCATGGTGTGCGCTCACTCACTTCTTCACTTGGACGCTCATAGTAAATGTTCTTGTTGCTTGCTTCCCTGGACCACGGCAAGTACTGAAATGCTGTGCCGTTTGAGATATCTTTTCAAATTTGCGCGCGAAGATCGATCCGCCTAAGTGCGTACAGTGGCGCCATTTCATTGGCTATAAAGATATGTTGGTTTTATTGACCACACATTTTGATTGGTCAGTTCATTCTTCGATAGAAGTTCTCCACCACATCCCTCTCATCTTTTTCAGCAATTACCCGGTGTTTGTAACAATGTAACAGAGTTACCCACGCCAGCGTAACACAGTTACCGGCGATGGCGTAACCTTAATGTTGGCCAATCATATTGTCGAACGGTCGCGTTTTCGGCGTGTACGATTGGGTGGCGGCGTTGAGACAAGCATGAGTTCTGCGTGTCAAAGGCGTGGAGGATGACTAAATACCGGTGATCTGTCCGGTATTCCAAAAACCCGACATACCCGACTAGCGTCATCGATGTGGAACTTCGACGGTTTCAGACAGCTCGATTAAATTATAGTGTGGAATCTTGGAATTTGTATCAAAATTAAATACTGTAGGGAGATTCTCCAAGGATACTTCGATCTGTTCTTTCACAGTTGTAAAAACAATCTTTTCACTTCCTCCCCACATATACACTATACTTGTGTTTGTATGGTATACAAAATATAGTACCAAATGCGAATATCACTCACCCCCTTCAACCTGTAGTTCGATCGTCAGTTGACAATCTACCAAGTCACAAGCACACCACACATACCAACGATGACCGGTTTCGCTGCGTTCGAGGCCAAAATGCTTGCTGAAGGCCTTAGCCAAGCCGCCATCAAGGCGTTCGAGTACTCGTACAGCGCGTTGCAAAGCGGCGCCACGGGCATGATTGGCGAATCCACAATCGAGAGCGTGAACGATATCGACTACCTCGAAGGCCGAGCGGGATCCATCCGCGAAAGCATCAAACCCGATGTCAGCTTGCTCAAGAAGACTGTGGTCCTCAAGCTCAACGGTGGTTTGGGCACGAGCATGGGGTTGGACAAAGTCAAGAGTTTGCTGACGATCAAGGGCAGCGACACGTTTTTGGACTTGACCGCCAAGCAAATCATCGAAATGCGCAAGAACTACAACTCGAACGTGCGCTTCATCTTGATGAACAGCTTCAGCACAAGCGACGACACGTTGGAGTACTTGCAAAAGTACCCCGAAATTGTCAGCGACGTGGACCTTGAACTGTTGCAAAACAAGATCCCCAAGATCGACGCCAAGACACTGCAACCGGCGGAATGGCCGTTGAACGCGTCCAAGGAATGGTGTCCTCCTGGCCATGGCGACTTGTATCCTTCGTTGTTGGGCTCGGGCAAATTGGACAAGCTGCTTGCCCAAGGCTATAAGTACATGTTCATTTCCAACTCGGACAACTTGGGCGCGACGTTGGATTTGGAGCTTTTGACGTACTTTGCGCAGGTAGACACCCCATGTTTTGTATCCCATGTCATCCAGTATTCACATGGTCATGCCAATCATTATGTATGTAGACCGACAAGCCATTTTTGATGGAATGCTGCGAACGCACGGAAAACGACAAGAAGGGCGGCCACTTGGCGCGCCGCTTGGCCGACCAGCGCCTCATCTTGCGCGAATCCGCGCAATGCGAGTCGAGCGACGAAGCTCAATTCCAGAACATTGACAAGCATCGGTACTTCAACACGAACAACTTGTGGATCCGCTTGGACAAGTTGTCGGAAGAGTTGAAGAAGCAAGGCGGGTTGATCAAGCTGCCCATGATCAAGAACGCCAAGACGGTCGACCCCAAGGACGCGTCGTCGACCCCGGTGTACCAACTGGAAACGGCCATGGGTGCCGCCATCGAATGCTTTGCCGGTGCCGGTGCCGTGTGTGTGCCCCGCACGCGCTTTGCGCCCGTCAAGAAGTGTGACGACTTGTTGCTTCTTCGCTCAGATGCGTACGTCGTGACCGACGATTTCCGCCTCGTGCTGGCGCCGCAAACCGAAGGCCGCGCCACAACCGTGTCGTTGGACTCGAAGCAGTACAAGTTGGTCCAGCAACTCGAAGCCGCGTTGCGCGGCAACGTGCCATCGCTCGTCAACTGCTCGCGGTTGACCATCAAGGGCAACGTCGGATTCGCCGCGGAGGTCGTGTTTGAAGGCGACGTGACGATTGTGAACAACGCGAAGGAGCAGAAGACGATCTTGTCGGGTCGGTATGCCAACCAAACGATCGACTTGACCAACCAAGTGGGTTTGGGCAAATTGGCCGTCTCGGCCGTGGCCACGACCCCCATCGACGGCCAAAAGCCTGGCACCTCTGGGCTTCGCAAGAAGACCAAAGTGTTCATGCAGCCCAACTACCTCAACAACTTTGTCCAGGCCACGTTCGACGCGCTGCCGGCCAAGGACCTGCTGCAAGGCACGCTGGTTGTGTCCGGCGACGGCCGTTTCTACAACAAAGAGGCCATCCAAACCATCATCAAGATGGCGGTGGCGTCGGGCGTCGATCGCATCTGGATCGGCCAGAACGGACTCTTGTCGACGCCCGCCGTGTCGGCCGTGATCCGCGAGCGTGAAGGCGGAGCCGTCGCGTTTGGCGCGTTCATCTTGACGGCGAGCCACAACCCCGGCGGCATTGACGAGGATTTCGGCATCAAGTACAACTGCGAAAATGGCGGCCCGGCCCCGGAAAAGCTCACGGACGAAATTTTCCACAACACCAAGATCGTCTCGTCGTACAAGATTGCGGCGGCGTTCCCGGATGTGGACGTGTCGGTGGTGGGCAAGACAGCCGTCAAGTCGGACGACGGCAGCCGCACCGTGGTGGTCGAAGTGTTTGACGCGGCCGAAGACCACGTGCATTTGCTCAAGTCGATTTTTGACTTTGGCGCGATCAAGGCACTTCTAGCCCGCGACGACTTCAGCTTTGTGTACGACTGCATGAGCGGCGTCCAGGGCCCGTACGCCCACCGCGTGTTTGTGGACGAACTGGGCGCGTCCCCCGCGAGCCTCATCAACGCGACCCCGCTCGAAGACTTTGGCGGACATCATGCCGACCCCAACTTGACCTACGCGCACGAACTCACGCACCTCCTGGGCGTCGATGCCAAGGGCGTGGCTGTCTACGGACAAGCGAAGGAAGTACCGGCGTTTGGCGCTGCGTGCGACGGCGACGCGGACCGCAACATGATCCTCGGCTCGCGCTTCTTTGTGACCCCGTCTGACTCGTTGGCTGTGATTGCCGCGAATGCTAACGTGATCCCGTTCTTCCGCAAGAAGGGCGGGCTTCGCGGCGTGGCGCGGTCGATGCCGACGTCTGGCGCCGTGGATTTGGTCGCGGCCAAGTTGGGCATTTCGTTGTTTGAAGTGCCGACGGGGTGGAAGTTCTTTGGCAACTTGATGGACTCCAAGGCCGTGTACAACAAGGAGGACTACACGCCGTTCATCTGCGGCGAAGAGTCGTTCGGGACGGGCTCCAACCACATCCGTGAAAAGGATGGCATGTGGGCGGTGCTGGCGTGGCTGTCGATCATCGCGTCCAAGAACGCGACGCCCGGCGCGCCCCTCGTGTCAGTCCAGAACATCGTCGAGAACCACTGGGCCACGTATGGTCGCAACTACTACTGCCGCTACGACTATGAAGGCGTCGAGAAGGCCGGCGCCGACAAGATGGTGGCTGCCATGGCGTCGTCGCCGTCGCTGGCCGGCCAAACGTTCCACGGGTTCACGGTCAAGGTCAACGACGAGTTTACGTACAACGACCCTGTGGACGGCAGCGTGTCGGCTCACCAAGGCGTCCGATACATCTTCACGGACGGATCCCGCGTGATCTTCCGGTTGAGTGGCACGGGCGTGGCCGGCGCCACCATCCGCATGTACGTGGAAAAGTATGAAGCGGCGTCGGGCAACTTGTCGCAGTCGGCGGCCGACGCCCTCAAGACGCTGATCCAAGTCGGGCTCGAGCTGTCCCAGTTGGAGCACTTTACCGGTCGCAAGGAACCCACGGTGATCACTTAACTGTAAACACCACCAATTAATATGAAGACGTACTAACGAGTACTTCTAAGCGTACTCTCCAATCCAACTAACGTTGTGACTGCACATGATTATTATAATTAGTCCACGTTCGAAGTGGTCGGTGCTTCAAACTCGTCGTGGTTGTATCGGTCGCCGTCCCCATCAACGGACGACGAAGATCGAGTGGCGTCGTCGTCATCGATGATGTTGTCACATGTGTCGTCTTCATCGAGATGAGGGTCGGGCATGGCAGAGACATCGAGACGATCGTACGCTGCCTCGCCATCGTCCGACCAATTCGCTGGGTCCACAGGAGTAAGAAGCCTCTCGATGTCGTCCTCCAACGACATACTAGTAGCGGTGTTGGGGTCATCATCATGAATAGAAGTTGTCGTGGTGGGAAGGTCATGTGTTATTTCTTTGGCTGTAGCGACTTGGTCGAGAGGGGCCAACGCAGAATCCCCATGGACAGATTCGTTCAAGTTGAGGCTGGAGAACTGGTTGTGTGTGGCTGGGTGTAGCTGCTCGGACGTTTCTTGGCTGCTCACACCAGGAGAAGTCACGTCGCGGTCGTCAGTCGCAGCATCGGATTCTGCATGTTGCTCCAAGGTCGTGATAGGATGGCAGTTTGCCTTTGACACCTTGGGGGCGAAGGGGGATGGGTCCACCGCCGACGCTTTTACGCTGCCTGTCGGACGTATCAAAGGGCAAGTACTGACCACCTTTTTTGGAAGGTGACTCGTGCTTCGGGAAGGCTTGACCGTCCATGGAGATGCCTGCTTGATGGTCGAGTCACGTCGCTTTTGCTGAATGTAGTTGATGGGGTTCAGCGCGTCCTTCTCTTGTTTCGCGGGCATCGTTAGCTTGTACACGACAACAAAGTCTTCGTGAAGGGGGCCCCCTTTGTCTTTCGGCAATGGGATCGATTCATCCATGTCCTACGTACGCTCACCATCAATGAGCTCCCATCTTTGGTGTCCATTTGTACGTGTCGTTCGTGCAAGCGCGCGGCGAGTCGGGCGGCGAGTTTCGATCGAGACTTGGGGGCTTTTCGGTTGAAGTCTGGTAGGTCGAGTAGGTTGATCAAGGCCGACGCGGGGGTATGGTCGGCGCACAATTTCGTCATGGTGTCTGTGTGGGATGGACCGGGGGGGGGCTGGGTCGCGTAGAGTTCTCGCAGGAGCGCGAGATCTTCGTGGCGCACCATAGCCATCTTGTCAGTGTACGCGCTGCAGTCTTTCAACTACACGCGTTGTTTGTTAGCAGTCGTCGTCGTAATATCATTGTCGACACAAACGGGTGGCATCAAGTTACTTTGAAATTAATGTGCGGGTACACGTGTAATAGGAGGACCAATGCGCCGATGTCGCGGCATGAGACGCCGCAGGACTTGAGGCTGTCGATGCCCTTGACATGCAACGTAGCTGGGTCGACGAGGTCGTGCACGGCGGCGACGTTGTTGACCCACATGCGAAGGGCGGTGCCGACGGCGGACCGCTCGTCGATCGAGTTTGCGGTAAAGCGCGGTTGCGCGCAATGCAGGTAGAGGACGGCTAGCGAACTACGATGATCCAATATCATTTCATGTCGAGTACTAGGCACGTGAGAGTACCGAGGTGCGAGATCGGCGATGGGCACCGCTTGCAACGTCTGCACCAAGTCGTTGCGAAAAACCGTTTGAAGGATGGACCACGGCAGCCACCGCCACACGTCGACGATCTGGATGGCCGACGGCGTCTCGAGAGCCACAAGTTTGTACAAAAGGGATGCGAGGACGTAGATCTCGGGGGTGGGTTTGGCCCAGTGGCGGAGTTGCTCGAGCGAATCAGCGCGGTGGGCGTGGGTAGAGTGGATCTTGGCCTGAAATCGCTTTGATTCTTTGGACGCTCTAAGTCACGACATGGGTATGTATCATCACCCCCCACGAACGACAAATATGAACGAGGGGGCCGCCGTACATTTCATCGCGAAAGGTGTTGCGGGAGGCTTCTTTGTCCTGCAAGTCGAGTTGATGCTGCATCCGCGCTTCGATCTCTGCTTGGAACGACTGCGACATGACCTCCACCGCCATCCTACCAAAACATGCTCAGGTAGCTCATTCTTTTGGCCTCATACGTCCAAAGCATTCGTACAGTTTGTGGAAGCTCACGGGCGGGGGCACGACGACATGTCTCTTTTTGGGTTTCCGCTTCTTCTTCGTCGTCGTCAACTTGGCCAATGCCGCCTGACGCTCTTGCACCAGTGCGCGCTTCTCGGCGTTGAATTTTTCCAGCAGTTCAAGTTCATGCTGCTGTTGTTTTTCCTTGGCTTCCAGGCGCTCTTGTTTTTGTTTCCACTTGGCCCGCTTCCACGTGGCAAAGAATGCGTCCACCTAGTCCATGATAACGTCAAGTTGAAGCCAAGTGTTGCATCACTGTACTCCTTGGGACGACGTCCCTCGCCGATCGTCGTGTTTGTGCTGATGTGTCGAGTGTTTCGACGACGACTCCAACTCTGCCCTCCTCCGTTGGTCCTTTTGCTCACACCATGCCACCCAACAAGCCTGTAACGTATTGTTCATATGTACAAATTGCAACTTGGGCGTGCATCATCGTACGTGGCCTTCGGCTTGCTTCCTCTTCTTTGCCTCGTCAGTTGTCGACTCAAGTGGCCGCCTAGCCCAAGCAATCAGCAGGGGATAACATGTCGCTTCGTACAGTTTCCTCGTGCTGGCGCTGGACTTGACCCCCCCGCTGCTGACGGGCCGAATGTCCCCTTCCGAGGTCTGGGGGCGCATGTTGGTTGCGCGGTTCCCCTGTTTCATCGAATTTGGTTACGGTGCTGATAACATTTGAACCGTAGGAATGGACGACACACCTCGACCGTCTTGGCCAGCATCAAGTCGCGCTCCAAACTGCACAGCCATATCGCGTGCATGTTGACCTACTGGGTCATGACCGTTGTTACAAGTTACGATGTAACGGCCAACGGGCGTTTCGCGTTGGGCAGTAAACACGAAACGATGCATCTGATCAAGACCACCGTGGCGTCCAACAACGGTGGCAGCAGCAGCTGGATGAAGCCAGATTCGTTGTCGACCAGTCGCTTTGGCGACGACGGCGGAGACGAAGGCAGCAGTCACCTAGAACACGTACGACAGGCTGCCCAAGTCTCCACCGAGCATGGGTCTGACATTATTGCGACGTAGATTGCCTCCCAGTTGATCATGTCCGAGGACGAAGACGACAGCGCGCCGGTGATGTCTGCGTACATGACGCGACAGGCCGAGCGCGCCGGGATCACAGGGCTGTCCCCAATGGAAGAGATGCGGCTGGCGCATGGCGAGCTAGCGGCCAAAGTGGCCAAGAAACGCGACTTGGACGACTTACCCGCGGCGTCGTTCCGATTGAACCATTACTTGCGTGTCCCGCCCGTGAAGAAAGTGCTCAAGCGCATGCACTCGAGCATGACGGGCATCTCGAGCTCAAAGAAAAAGCGCCGCGACGGGTTCCGCAACGCGCCGTCCGTCGTGTGCGAAGCCGAAGTGAAGCGCATCACGCAAGAGCTGGCCAACAACATGGACGACATGACAGCCGGTACATGTGTAGTAGTTGATGAAGAGGAAGCGAGTGGTAAACTAACACTTGTGCGATCAGAGCAAGCCATCAACTTTGTGCAAAGCGTCCAGCAGCGCGAAGACATCATCAAGATGCGCGTCGACGACTACGATGCCAAGCGTGTACCGTGGTTCCTCATCTCCCCCGCGAGCAAGTTCCGCGTCCGGTGGGACATCCTCAGTGTCGTGCTCATCACATGTACGTACGCCCCAGACCAATACATAGATCGATCCCTCGTCATCATTAATACTATTGACTTACCCGTTGTGATCTCATCTGTATGTAGACAATGGCTTTTACATTCCCGTACGTATCCACGACGTTGCGCCGCTCCATACAATTGTGTGTTGTGATTCCGTGTGGCGATAGTTTTCCATTGCATTTGGACGAAGAACCGACGTGCCGGCACTGGAAGTCATGGATCAATTCCAAATCATGTTCAACGTGCTCTATTTTATGGACGTGGTATGCTCACAACCACACGACACCTTTGAGAACCTGACATTGTCTGAAGGTGGTCAACTTTTTCTCGGCGTTCGAAGCCCGCGGTCGCGTGGAAATCCGGTGGACGGCCATCATCAAGCGATACCTTCTAACTTGGTACCGTGGTCCATGCGTATGCCTGTCGTGATCGAGGGCGCCGCTAGGTTTATCGTGGACATGCTGGCGGCGACGCCCGTGGAAGCCATCTACATGGCGTTGCATCGGCATGACTTGACGTCCTCGAATCTGAACAAGTACTTCAAATACCTGCGCATCGTCAAGCTGAGTCGCATGCTCGGGTTTACACACATCCTGAATCGGTTGGTAGTACTATCCAATAGTCTCGTGCACAGGTGGAATTGACTGACTTTGCATCATCTAGGGTCGAATATGCCCTTTTGATCAAGTCGACACGCAGTGGCCTCATGAAATTCTGCCTGCTCGTGTGCCTCACGTCCCACTGGTTCAGGTATACGTACCTACCTGCTACAGTACTACATCGTTCGACCCGTCGACGTTTTGCATGGCGAGTAGTTGCTTCTTCTTTTTCATTTCCAACGATGTGCCGGGGGGATGGGTGGACAGGCATCATCTGCAGGCCATGCCCATCTACGACCAATATGGTGATCCCTACCAACCATGCCATCATTCTGCTGACTTCTCCACGTCGTAGTGAACGCCTTCTACTGGTCCATCATGACAATGTATGTGTGGCCTCTTTCATTGCTGGGTTCTTCTCACTTCAACTTTTATGTAGGACCACCGTTGGCTACGGCGACGGTGACGAAACTATATATATATATATATAAATCTTTAAAATGCTAGTCACGGGCCAAAACACCCATGAAAGGGGCTTCAGCATCTTCGCCATGGTGGTCGGGGCTTGGATTTTCGCCTATGGCATTACGAATGTAGTGCAAAGTCACTTGGATGGTGAGCCATTGCATGAACTTGTGTGTGAGTAGGTGGTGGCTACGGTGGCCAATTTAAACCACAACGACACGGAATTTCAGCACAAAATGGTATACTCCTGATGATATATATATATATATACTTGCACCGACTTGACATTCACTTGCACGGATGTAGGATGGCATCAACAACTTTATGGAGGTAGGACTGCATCTTCATGGGTACAGTATCATACTCATGTACGTACATGTAGCGGCGGGACTTGCCCATGGAGCTACGCACAGAAATCCGAGAGTTCTTCATGAACTCGCGGCTGTCGACGGAAAACACACTGAAAAACGTACGGTAAAAGCTGCCATGAGAACATAATGACGATGAAACTTGTTGTGCAGGAGAGTAAGATCCTAAGCGAACTGTCGGCGCTGCTGCGGTCCAAGATTGCCTTGGCCATCAACGACTCTGTGCTCAACAAGATGCCATTCTTTGAGGGCGCGGATCACAACTTCCTCATGGAATTGGCACTGTCTATGAAAATGGTGTGCTTTCCTCCGCACGAAGAAGTACGAGAGCCAACATGCATCTCCTCTGTCCATCCATAAATACCATTTACCCAGCCTACCATAGCACTACTTACATCCCCCCACCCATCCATGTAGGTGATTGTCGAGGGCGAAATCGGTCAAGAAATGTTCTTCATCTTTCGAGGGGCCGTCGAAGTGATGAAGGACGGCGACCAAATCGCCGTATTGGGGGAACAACAGTATTTTGGTGCGATCGAACGAACGATGCAAGCCAACATATTGCGATGTTCAATTGTGGGGCGATTGTGTAGGGGAGATGGCGATTATGAACACCAACTGCATGCGCCTCGCGTCCGTGCGGACGTTGTGCTTTTGCGAGCTTCGCATGCTCACACGGCAAAAGTTTCTCGTCGCGCTGTCGCATTTTCCGTCGATGCGGAAACGGATCGCTCGCATCATCCACCGCAGAAAAGTCACCCATGACCAGGAAATGGTCCACCGCAAGTCGTCCGATTTTACCGGGCCGACAGCTCCGCCATCCATCAAGCAGAAGTCCACGCCTCGCGGCGGGATCCACCGACGAGGATCCGCCTCCCCCACGGCGATGGAGGACCTGGCGGCGTCCATGGTCCAAGGCTCGCACAACCTGCTGGAAAAAGTAGTCGGCCCCGACATATTCGCCCTCGAGGCAGACGCGATTGTCGGCTCCACCATGCAGCGCATCTCGCAAATGAACATTGTGCCGAATCGCAACAACGACGGGGCGATGGCAGAGGGACCCCCATCTGACGAGCTGCGCATGATCATTCACACGCTACTGGAGCAGCAAGAGATGCTTCTGACCGAAGTGGCCAAACTCGAAGACAAAGTTCGAGCGCTACTCCCCCCCAGCGACCCTGTGAAAGCGGGACCCCACGAGTCTTATTTAACCCCCTAAGTTATAACATTGCCGGTTACGACAGTTTCAACAGTTTTATAACACACGACGATGGTTGCAAAAACGGTTTCGAATGGACACCTGGTGATAGTTTTGCGAAACGAGAACCACGTGCCATGCGGCCCCGCCTTCGCCCCAAACCGTCGGCGCGGACTAAGAAGGTCAGCGCCCGGGGCAGCGATGGCCGGAGCCAAGACTTGCTGGCGGAGGAAGACGTCTTCAAGCGACAGATGATGGCTCTGCCGGGGCACGTCGAAGAGCGAACGACAGAAGGGGAGGCTGCATTGGACGAGAACGACGAAGAAGCCCCCATCGCCGAGGGGTTGCTGCAGCTTCCGAACGGGCGCGGGGCGAACCTGCAGTCAGCGTACATGATGCGGCACATCCACAGCGAACACGTCATGGGGCTGTCGCCCATTGAAGAAATGAAGCTCGCGCAAGGCGAATTCCAGGCCAAAGCTGCCATCAACATGGTAAACCCTCCTGTTAGCTACCACGACTGAGTTCAATGGGCTCTGTGCAGCGCTTAGCCATGTCGTCCGTGGCGTCGTCCATGATGGGCCTCATCCATCCACCGATCCATTCGGCCGACACGTCGATGAAAGCGTCCACTGCGGTCACTCCCATCACCCACCCTGTCGCACCCCCCGTCCGGAAGACGTCCGCCGCGCAGGCCCTGTTGGCCAAGTTCCATCCGTCAGGGGTCGACAAACATCCGGGGCCCCATATTCGCTCCATGCAACAGGTCACGATCGACCGCTTGCCCGAAGACGACTTGCGTCGGCTGTCCGCGACGTTCAACAAGGACGTCGACAACATGACCCCTCGTACGATCATTTGCTTGTACCATCTGGTGAAAATAATGGTGGGGCGATAGAGCAAGCGCTCAACTTTGTGGAGGACGCTGTCAAGACGGAAAACATCATCAAGCAAAAGGCCAACGACCGCAAGGTGAAGAAGCTTCCGTGGTACCTCATCCACCCCGTGGGCCCGTTCCGCCTGCGATGGGACGTCGTGAGCCTCGTGTTGCTCCTGTGTACGTGTGTGTGTGTATGCACATGCAACCAACTGTTCGCACTCACACATGTTCTCGTGTAGACACGGCTACGTGCACCCCTGTACTCGTCGACACCCTTTTTCTTTGCTGCTTCTAACTTGGTGGCTTGTAGCTACAACTGAGCTTCAACAGTCACTTGGACATGGTGCTGCTCGCCAAGCTAGACATGTCCATCGATGGTTTCTTTCTTGTGGATCTGGTACAGGTGGTCCTTCGTTTTGTGTGTCACTGGACTTGAGTAGTGTCTCAACTGCTTCTCCACGTACGAAGTGCGAGGCCGCGTGGAGCGCCGACTGTCGCGCATCATGCACACATATTTCCGCACCTGGTAACTCGTCCCGTCACCCCCTCCCTGCTCATGCACGGGTGTTATATGTGACAAGGTTTTGCCTGGACGTGGTTGCATCGTTTCCGTACAACGTGTTGAACACGTACCTCCTGGAATTCAACGACGGCCTCCGCCTTCTCAAACTGCTCCGACTCGCGAGGCTGCCGCGGATCTTGACTCGGTAGGTCGTGACTTTGAAGTGGCTCTACTTCAACTTGTTGCCTAGGCTCGAGTACTCGCTGCTGCTCAAGTCGACCGTGAGCGGCTTGGCCAAGTTTTTCATTCTCGTCATGATGACATCGCACTTTTTCAGGTAAGTTACTTGATGGCAGCGGCATGCACGGTTGGACACGTGAGCCGTGTTGACGTGTGTGTAGCTGTGGCTTTTACAAGATATCAGAGGGCGACACTGTACACGGGTGGGTTGCCAAGTACAGACTTGGCAACCTAACCCTGTACGACAAATACGGTGCGTACTTCCCTCGACCGACGTTAGACGTGGTGACGATCTCCCATAACTCGTTGCTGTTGTAATAGTCACGTGCTTTTACTGGTCCATCATGACAATGTAAGTGATAGCAGCAGTAGCATCGTGTTGATTGTTGTTTTCAATCTCGAGTAGGACAACCGTGGGGTATGGCGATGGTACGTGTGCATGCCGCCTTGCATGATTCACCATCGAAAAAAACGACATCGCGGATGCTTGCTTAGTCACTGGCCAAACCACGTCCGAGCGGGTGTGGAGCATTTTTGCCATGGTGAATGGCGCGTGGATCTTTGCCTATGGGATCACAAATGTAAGAGACAAAGCCCCGATATGTGACACGGGACGTCCGTTGATACGTGGGTAGGTGGTGTCCATGGTGAGCAATCTAAACATGGCGGACACACAATTCCAGCGCAAAATGGTACGTACCATCCGTCATCCATCATCAGCCCCCCCGTCAAGAGCAAGCATGCTAACATACTATGGCGCTGGCTGTTGGTAGGATTTTGTCAACAAGTACATGGATGTACGTAGGCGGGTGGTGCTGGATAACTAACTAGTACACACGTGGATGATATTTTGGGGCCTGGTGGTACGATGTAGGTTCGCGACCTTCCGCTGAGTTTAAGATCGGAAATCCGAGAGTTCTTTTTCAATACCCGCATCACGGTGGACACAAAGCTGAAAAATGTACGCCGAGGTGGGGTTCATGGTGATGGTGGTTGTTGACACTACGATGTATGTGTTTGAGTCCAGGAGAGCAAAATCTTGAGCGAATTGTCGGCGCTGCTACGGTCCAAGGTGGCGCTAGCAATCAACGACTCTGTGCTCAACAAGATGCCGTTCTTTGAGGGCGCGGACCACAACTTTCTCATGGAACTGGCGTTGTCTATGAAAATGGTGTGCATGCCGCCGCACGAAGAGGTGCGTTCTTGAATAGATCAAGCACTTGGTCCTCTCTCTCTCACACACGTTTGGTCGTTCGTTGGCAGGTGATCATTGAAGGCGAGATTGGCGAAGAAATGTTCTTCATCTTTCGAGGCGCGGTCGAAGTGATCAACGGCGGCCAGCAGGTGGCCGTGCTGGGCGAAAAGCAGTACTTTGGTACACTAATAACCGCTTGTGTATACTTGTGAAATGGCCACACACAATTCTATGGTGCGATGATGAATTCATAGGGGAAATGGCCATTTTGAACCAAAATTGCCTTCGCACGGCCACAGTCATGACGCTGTGCTTTTGCGAACTGCGCATGCTCACGCGAGAGCGGTTCCTGCTCGCGTTGACGCATTACCCTGGCATGAGGCAGAAGATCTCCACGATCATCCGCCGACGCAGCCAGGCGGTTGCCAAAGTTGCCGCCGCCGCCGCCGCCAGTCGACGGGTACGGCGCCTCAATACATATCGCGTTTGCTCGACTGTTGCCACCAGCCATTCATTCATTCTCCGTTGAACCTTGCCTCGTAGGTGTCGACATCCATTGGCAAAGTGATTGTACAGAAGAAGCGACGAGAGCCCCAGCTGGCGCCCATTGCGTCGGAAAATTCATATGTCGAACCCAAGCACGGCCCATCCATGTCCTTCCCCGACGTCCAAGGGGACGCTGCCGTGTTGGAAGCCGTTGTGGACGCAGCCGCGGCACCGGTACCAGCCGACAACGGCAGTGTGACCCCTCCTTCGTCATACGTTGAAGACGACGGCAGCGGCAAGCTCACGACAGACCTCACAGGTACGAATGAGTCCTAAAGTCAGAAGTGCATCGATGCACGCATGTTGTGTTCGTCCACTAGAACCGAGTCTAAACCCTGGGTCAACCATGGATCGCATTGAATTTTGCCAGCAACCAGTCAACCCAGCCGACGCCGCGCGCCAGCAAATCCTCGAGCTGATTCAAAGCCAGGACGAGTTGGTCAATCACGTACTTCTCGTGCATGACAAGTGGACGCATCTGCAGTCCCAAATGCACCTCATGCACCAAGAGCTGGCATTTTACCGCGCCACGTACGGAACCGCCCAACGAGACGCTACCTTTTCCAAGTTGAACAACGACGACTACGTGCCGCCACTGACGACCGCCGTGGCGGTGTCACCGGCGTACAAGGCCGACTACGACGAGCTGACGTCGGAAACGATGGAAAGTTAGGAGTGCTGCAGTAGTATGAATGGGGACAAGTTAACCGGGTTATGTCTAATGGTCAACGGGTGGCTTTTAGTGTCCTCACAGCATGTTGTTTGACCCGTCCGGAATGGTGACGGTGATCCCGTCCATTTCGGGGGTTGCTTTGATCTGACACCCGAGGCGCGATGTGTCAGTGAGTCCCCATGCCATGTCGAGCATGTCTTCCTCTTCCTCGGTAATGGGCGGTAACGTCGCGTAAACTGCCGGGTCGAAGACGCAGTGGCACGTCGAGCACGCCAATTCGCCGCCACATGCGCCTTCTAACTCTATGTCGTTGTTGTGCGCGATCTCAAGGAAAGTTTCGCCCACGACCGCCGACACGTCCTTCTTCGTGCCATCAGCTTCCACGAAGGTGACGTGGATTTTGTCCGAGAACGAACGACTTGTAAAGCACAAAGCGTTGTGCAAGCTGACAGGCTGGTGCCGAGAAGCGGTCCATGCTGCCTTGGCCATGGAAGGACGCGCGGCTGATCGCAATGCTGACGGCAGGACACTTCGTACCGTTGCACGCATCATCGTTGCTTGTGGTGGCTGTTGTCGAGGTGTTGCCTGGTTGGTTCAATTTCTATGCCAAACCCGATAAAGTACGATTTCCACATCGTACGCTCGGTTCAAACCTGGTGAACCGCGGTCCCAAAGTAGATCCTGCGAAACGTCGTCACCTACTACAAACCATGGCGGAAGCTAAGGACGGCAGCGACAACGAGCTCGAGCAACTGCAGTTCAAAGCAAGTGCAACATTCATGCCACTCCCATTCTCATGACGTGCTAGGTCATCATCTTGGGCGACGGCGCTGTTGGGAAGACGTCCATAGCGATGCGGCACACGGAGGATTCGTTCTCAAACGTTTACAAGCAAACGATTGGGTTGGATTTCTACCTCAAGCGCCTTTCACTGCCAGGTAAGCAAATACACATCCACGAAAGACGTCAAGGGTCGTTTGCATACGGGTTGCTTACACTTCCTTGTGTCAGGCGACGTCCAAGTGGCGCTGCAGATTTGGGACATTGGCGGGCAGTCGATAGGCGGCAAGATGCTCAAAAACTACATCTTTGGGGCGCATGTGCGTACTTCCTGCGCCAAATTCTTCTTCTTCATGTTGACATGCATATCCTAGGCCGTGCTGCTCGTGTACGACATTACAAACTACGACAGCTTTCAGAACCTAGAGGACTGGCTTCGACTTGTCCAGCGAACGTTTGGCGAGTCTAAGCTTCCATACATTGGCTTGTGCGGGAACAAGTGTAAGTTGATCGTTCTCCTCTATTGTTGTCTCTACCCTATCTCAAACGACATGTCGTGCCAAGGCGACTTGAATCACCTTCGCACGGTGAAAGCTGCCAAACACAAGCAATTTGCCGACGAAAACGACATGAAGAGCTACATGTTGTCTGCCAAGACTGGAGATCAAGTACGTACGTACATGCGCGAGGCAGCATGCTGCATCTACGTACATATGTAGCTCATGGGTCGTGGGCAGGTGAACTCGACGTTCTTCCAGCTGGCAGCCGATTTGGCTGGTGTGATCGTCACGCGGCCTGAAGTCGAAGTGACGTCGCCTGCAGTCAAGGCGACGATCATCAACCATGACCAGAACGACCCAGACGTGAAAGCCCCAGACATGCGCAAAAACTCCAAGGGGTGCTCGATCCAGTGAAGGCACGTAGAAACAAACTCACTGCCAGTTAACACGAAGGGGATGGCGTGAGGGTACACAGCCTAGAAAACTACTTTTGACACTAGTTATTGCTCAATCGAGAATGAGCAAAATAACCAAATCGGCAGACAATCGATCGACCAATCAAAACCAGATCACGCATCAAGTAGCCAATCAAACCCACTCTTGGACAAATTCAACATCGAATTAGTGTGTGACTTCAAACTGGACGAATTTTACATACAAAAGTCCGTACAAAGAATCGATCGATGGTTTTGGCGAATCAGCACACAAGTCCAAATATTTGGGGTAAAGGACATACTAGTCCATGAAACCCGTCGTGACATAGCGTTGATATGCACATGGACTGGTGGTGATGGTGATCGAGCCGCACACCGTGTCTGTTGCATACTAGTAGTGCGTTCCAACTTTTGAGTCTCCAGTGGATGCCTCAAACTCAAAACAACACGAACGAGAGAGATGGTTGCGCTACGGCTACAACATTGGGTTACTCGATCATCTGCACAATATCTGGACGTGCTGCCTATATTCTGACGACGCGGTCAACACAAAGTTGGAGCAAGGAGCGTCCCCAGTAGCTGTCGGTTGAATCCACGGCTGCTGCAGGACACATTGTCGCTTAATAGTCGGAAGAGCCGCCGAACATGTCAATTCCGCCGCCCAAGTCAGCTTCTTCTTCTTCTTCCTTCTTCTCTTCCTTCTTGCCAGCGGCAGGGGCAGCGGCACCACCGGCGGCAGCGGCAGCAGGGGCGGCAGCACCACCGCCGAACTTGGCCAACTTGGTCGAGCCGGAGGCGATGATTTCGTCGATGGACTTGCCAGCCACATCTTCGAAGAGCTTGTCCAAGCGCTCGGCGTCGATTTCAAGGCCGGCGGTGGTCAACACCTTCGTGACATCGGCAGGGGTGACGTCTTCCTTGGCAAGGGCGACCAACAAATAAGCAGCAACGTAACGCATCTTCTTGAATCAAATTAAGGTAATAGCCCGGAAACAAGAATGAAACATGCCACGAGCCCACGCTCCTATCCAATCATCCACCCGACCACGGAGAAATTCGAAAAACCGTCCAATCTAGTGCACTCGACCCAGCTAAATTCACTTGTTTTTCATTATAAATTCATTCTTTTTGAAGGTTTTAGGCGAATTCAGACCTTGGTTTCAGTATGGGCAAAGGGGTAGGGGACGACCAAGTTGTTGGTGCACAAGCCTCGACCGCCACGATCAACCTCGGGCGGTGCGTCATTCTCAAACTTTGCTGTTGATCAAGAACCATGGCCCCCGCTGTAAGTTGAGTCGTCATGATGATAGAAGCTAGCTGCAGAGTTCTCTTCTCTGCTCGGGCTTTAGACTATCCATCGACATGATTCATGTGCCCACTACCATGGTGGGAGATGAACGCACGTGTCTGCAAAAAGGAGTCTTGGACCGAGTGGGGACGATGAACGCACCCCTGCAGCCAGCGCGGCTTCGGCCAGCTGAGCCTGGTGCTGACTTGTACTCGTTTGTAGAACAAGAAGACCCAAGCCGGTAAGAAGACCGTTTTGAAGTTCACCATCGACGCCACCATCCCCGTGGATGACCAAGTGTTGGACGTGGCTTCGTTCGAAAAGTTCTTGCACGATCGCATCAAGGTGAACGGCAAGACCGGCGTGTTGGGCGACGTGATCACCATCACCCGCGAAAAGACCAAGTTGCACATCGCCGCGCAGTCGCCGTTCTCCAAGCGTTACTTGAAGTACCTGACCAAGAAGTACTTGAAGAAGCAGCAGTTGCGCGACTACCTCCACGTGATCGCGTCGGACAAGTCGACCTACGAACTGCGTTACTTCAACATCCACAACGCCAAGGACGAAGAAGCCGACGAAGAATAAGCGACTGGTGTCATCGTGGATTAGCGGAGCAACTATGTATCTCTCTTTCAATACACAAAGCCGGGTTCCAGCAACATGTTATTTATCACTTTCAGTTGTTCATGTGTATTCGGAGATTGTCATATTTCCAACCCATCAATCTCACACACTGTCGTTCTATCAGAACAATACACTACAGTTGGCCCTTGCATCATCCACCGTTAAAGCCATATCCCAATGGAGCTACAACCAGCATGAGGTAAAGGTACACACATTGTCATGGGATGTCTGCTGCCAGTGTACCGCCGTGTACACTAGGCTCTAGTGTACACACGTCGATGGTTGATGCTTGACCATTCAGCACCACTACCGGGAGCTAGCTAGCTATACTGTAGCGCGCTACTCGCGGTGTATGTACCGGGTAGTATGCTTCGACTTTGATCATCCTTTCCATGTGGCTCAAGCGATAGGCTGAGCTGACGTCCGAGGATGGACGCATGATCTGACATGTTCCTTCCATTGGTGTACATGGCCCTACTAAATTTAGCTCCGCGACCACAGTACGCATTCAAAGAGTTAACCTACTACTAGTACGTAGTACTAGTATGCCATAGTAGTACTATGCAGGATTGTACTTCAGTAGTACACTGTAACGTAAAATGCCACTTTAAGACGTATGGGCGGAAGTTTCATGTTTTTGATGACTTGAATTTGTGCTCAAATGTCTGCAATCTTACTCACGTTGAAAATAGCATATTTTCCTGAAAGTACTAGGACTTTTCAAATTCGAAATAGGACTTTTCGAGCAAAAGTTAGGTCCATTTTCGGAATTGGCGAAAACAGTGGATGTCTTAACTCGACGTTATTTCATTCACCGATCAAAATGCCGTGGCTTCAATAGAGTATAGGTGTGCGCACTCTAGTACACAGAATAAATACTACTAGTACACGAGTCAAGACCACACGACGACGCCTTCCGTCACATTCCATCACGTTGTTGGTCGCTATTTGGCGGGAGTCAATTGTTTCTTTGCCTTGGGGTGGCTGGATGGGCGGCGGCTCAGGCGGGCGCGCTGGCCGTATTCCTTGATGTCGTAGTAGTCGTCGCACAGGGAATACTGGTCTTCCGCTGCATCCTTCGTCGAGCTGGCGGTCAATGGAGACGACGAAGTCGATGGCGTAGAAGGGACAACGGACTGAGAAGCAACCGTTTCAAACGGTTCTCGGAGGCCAGCATGAGGGGCGAGGAGCACGTCGCTGTACGAGCGGCCGAATGTGCTCGACGTGTTTGGGTCCACCACCTCCCACTCGTCATGCACAACAACCCAATCCACTGACCCAACGGACGCGGCGTCGTCGGCGTCATGGTAACTCCATTCACCGTCGTCGTCCCCATCCGTGTCGGATGTGCCGGATGTAGGTACGACGACCGCTGGCACTTCAGTCGACGGGGGAAGCAACCCACTCAGTATTTCCGCCGTGCCGCACACGTCAAAGTTCTTGGCGATGAAAATATCCTGTACGATCGAGGGGTCGACTTCGGGAAAGGCGTTCATGAGCATGGTCAAGTTCGATTCCGACTCTTCCTCGCTGATCGCCGACGTTGCTTGGTGCGCCATCGTCTGGATCGATCCGTGATGTGAGGACACTCCATAGTCGTAGTTGTAACTCCCCCCGTACGCATCCATGATTTCGTCGTGGTAGTCCAACGAGTTCAACCGTGCAAATGACTGAGCGTTGCGGTGATGCATCGAGCTGCCACCGCTACGACTACTGTGCTTGTTGCGGGAGTTGGATGTGGCAAACTTGGAGCCTCGGATAGACATGACTCCTACAGACATCAGGAAGAGCCCGTGAATTGCCAAATGGAGAAGGCGGCGCGTCCTACCTCGTCCCGACGGTGCGGAGGATTCTGTTTGGGAATACCAAGACCTTCTACAATCGAGCTGGCTTCTGGGCGGTGATTGGCTATTATTTACGGTAACGTAATTTGATTGGTGGATGACGAAGAAGCCAAAGTGTCGGTCGATATCGACCATCATTCACAATTGTTCCCCACGGGAGAAATCTATTTCGACGGTACTCGAAGGCGACATGGAATATGTTGCCGATGCAAAGGAATGAACAGGGCAATACATGCATCGCGAACGATCGAGAAGGATGGACGAGCAGGACCTCATACTGCATGCGGAGGCATGGGCTACATACGTACTAGTATGGTATGTTCGTAATGGTCCCTTCAATACGTAATTAACGGAGGTTACTTCCACTCCCTGGAGTAAACTACGGTACGGTAGTACCAATCAGAAACCACCGTCATGGACAAGATGACTGCACATTTGGCGGGGCCCTGATTCGGGGGGCGTAGAAGTTACGGGCGAATATTACTGGTACGACGATGTAACGAGGCGAAGAAGCATTCATTTTCAGCAGCGAGAGTTCCATGAGAGTTCGGCATGGAGCATGGAAGTCAAGCAGCCATTTCACCCCAGCTGAAATCGTGCATTATTATAAGTACTACGTAGTACAAACGTATTGGTACAAGTGGAATTGCAAATCTTGGGCATAACATCCGGACAATTTTCCGGATCCGGATAATATATTGGAGCAGATTGTGATTGGCGAGATGGGATAAAATAACGGACGTTAAGCGAAGTCGCCGACATCATCGACGACGTCATGATGCATTCGATTCCAGTGCACGACACGTCAGTTCCGGATGAGGCTGAGATGGAGGACCTTCATTTGCACTCCCCCACAAGTGAGTCCAGCGTGAGCTTGATCCCGCTCGATGCCTCCACGGCGAGAAACATCTACGGCAACGGGAAGAAGCTTGTGCCGTCACTGTCGGTGCCGCTGTGGAACAAAGACACGAGGTTCCTTGGCCTGTACGCGCTTCAAACACTGCTGACCATCATCGCCGTCGCCACCATCGAGCATCGAAGCAAGGTCAAGGCTGCTGCCGCCCTAGCCAACGAGACCACCATCGCTGGAAGCGTGCGTCCCGACTACGACATAGCGGATCGAGGGGTGCCATACATCGGGTACATGGTTCTTGTGGGCGCATTGTACAGCTTGTCTTGGATCTGCGTGTTCTTCTACCTACCCAAGGACATTTACATCCGTTTTTCCACGATCTCGTCGTTTGTGGGTCTGGCGCCGCTCGCGCTCGTGCTCGTCTTGAGCGGGTCATGGGGCGGTTTCTTCCTGGGTCTTGGCGTGGCGCTGATTGCGTTTTCCGACTTTCTGTGGACTCGAAAGAACAAGCTTGGGTTCGATTTCGTCGCCGCCGTCTTCGACCTGGTCGCCAAAGTGCTTCTGGACCTCCCGAGCGTCCTATTGGCGGTCGTGGGCATCCTCCTGCTCGGCACGACGTGGGCATTCTGGTGTGGCCAGCTGCTCGCCGACGTCCGCGACGACGAGGGCTGGTCGTTCAACCTCCTGTGGCTATTTTTCCACTTTTACTGGACGTCGCATCTCGTGCACACGCTTATTTCGCTGCTCGTGTCTGGAACTGTCATGTACTGGTACCACCACTGGGACAACTCGAACGACGCGCCTCACTTGTTCGTCGACCCTCCGTCATCTCCCCGGTCCCTCGAGTCCAAAGTGTCGTCGGTGGATCTGGACGACGACATCGCGCGTCGTCGTGGCTCGAAAACCAAAGCCGTGCGTGCCCATGTGGTCGTGCTACACTACACCCGCATGTCCATGAGCTACGCGCTGGGATCGGCGTGCCTTGCGGCCATCTTCTGCCCCATCGCGCACCTGCTGTGGAACATCCTGCGCATGGCCAACAGGGACGACTCGTACCGGTGGCTTCGCGTCGTCGTGCGCCCCGTCGCTCCGTCCATCGAAGCGTTCATCCAGCTCTACCACAAGTACTCGCTCGTGTTTGTGGCTGGGTTCGGCCAGTCCTTCGCCACGTCCGCGGCAGACGCATGGAAGCTCATGCACGACCGCGGCATCGAAGCCATCGTCGACGACGACCTCACGAGTCGCCTGCTGCTGTTCGTCGCCAACGGATGCGCGGGGACCATGGGCACGCTGTGTAACATCGTGTTACTGGGGTCGCATTTGCGCGTGTACGGCACGATTGTGAGCTTCCTTGTGGGGTACTTTGTGTGCCAAGCCGCCACGACCATGATGAACATCACAGTCAAGACCCTCTTCATATGTTTTGCAGTCCACCCCGCCCGGCTGAGTCGGCTCAACCCTATCATTTACCATCGGTTCATGCGGTTGTCCGAGCTCAAGTCGTTTGGTGAGCGTCATCGGTAGGACGTCAAGATTGGACGCATGTATGTATGTATGCAGAAATGAAAGAATGGAAACACCCCCACCATCGATATACAAACCAAGGTGGATGGGTAAAGTGTAGTTGATCCATGAGGGTTCGTAGTAACGTTATCATTCGATGGCAACGACGAGTATTATAGTCCTGCAGGTCGTTTCTACTACGGTATGCGGAACACACCCAACAAGGATATCTGCAGAGTGCAAACAAGTGCCAGCAAGGGTTTGAAGTGAGACTTTTACAATTGTTGCCCCCATAGTCTTCGAACTAGTACTACGTAGTAGGACATTATAGCACACTGTCCATGATCACTTGAAGGGCTACCGCGGCGTCCTCGCTCACACCCACGCCGTTGGACGTAAGCGGCACGTCGTGGTCGTGGATGTTGAGTCGCACGAGGGCAACTCCAGTCGTCTCGGCCAGTTTCTCGTTGGGAATTCGCAACACCCCGGGTGTGTTGAATCCAGCTCCGATTTCGACTACCACAAGTGTCTTCGCCCTCTCGCGCACTTGTGTGTGGGCGTCGTCGAGCCATGCCTCGTACGCCGCCTTTTGCTGTGCAGACTCGATGAACCATCGCCCACCCCGCACATTCAGCATCATGGCACCTCTACACTTGGGACAGCGGGGAATTGCTTCCGAGTCGGTGATCTCGTTCGTTTGGGGGTCGAGGCAGGCCATTCCTCGATCAAGAAACGGTCGAATGTCCCATACACTTTGCTGCGAGCACGGCTTGAGGCACTGGAGGCGACTGTAGTCGCCCTGGGCAGTGTAGATGCGCTGAGTAGGGAACCCCTGTTGTTCCAATAGCCCGTCGGCATTTGACGTGTGTATAAACGTGTTCTTGGCGTGGAAGAGCGCCTTCAACAGCGTGTACACTGGCGTCGTGGGCTGCCACTGGTACCGCACAAGGTTCGTTTGGGCGAAGTAGTACCCCCACTGGAGGGCTGGTGTCCAATCTTGGGGCCCGATGAACTCGTACATGGTTCGATACCCCCGTTTCACCATGACTGGGTGGTGCTTGGCGAAAACGTCTGGAGATGTGTAGTCTAGCCCCGCCGCGGCTGAGAGGCCGGCCCCCGCAGAGATCAAGACGAAGTCTGAGTCTCTGATCAACGCTGCCGCTTCGGCAATGGCTGAAGGACGGGCAATGGACGAAGGCAAGTCAACTATCGCCTTGGCATTGTACTTGGAGGTAAAGTACGTCTGGTACAGGTGCGTGTCGGAGGTTAGAAACGTGTTGAAGATGACCTTCCACGGGAGGGTCGGGTGAGCATTGAGCCACGTGACGACGGTTTCCACGGCGACGCCAGTGGCAAGGTCGGGCGGGTAGCCGAAGAGGCCCGTGGAGATGCACGGGAAGGCCACGGTGGCTTGGCCAGTTGCCCCCAGAAGCATAAGGGATTCGTCCAGAGTGGTTGTATAACATGACGCTAAGGCGGCTTCTTCGCTAGGAGAAGGACGAACGCCTCGATTGCGTTGGAGCTGTGGCCCGACAGTGTGCGATACGAATGACGCTGGGAGACTGAAGCCAGGAGTGAGAGAGGAGTGGCCAGTGGTCAGTCGCTCGCCCTGCGAGTCCGGGTGAACAGAAGCGCATGCGTGACGCAAGCGAGGTCCAGCTCGGTCGTGGATAATGTTGTCGATGCACTTATGGGCGGGCTGGAAGCAGCCAAGCATGGCCGTGTTGGCTGCGTTGACAATCACGTCCGCAGCCAGGGTTGTGATGTCGCCTTCGAAAAGCGCGATGCGGGAAAGAACGCCGTCCTGGCCCAAAGGTGGAATGCTTGCAGCTGGAACAACTATTCGTTTTCGGGATTCCAAGAGAAGGAGTTTATCGACGAGCTCAAACAACGTTTCGTTCGTGTGGGTGCTGCTGACGCGGCGAGTGGTAAGCGATTCTCGAATGAACCGTCGGAGATAGGACGTTGGCGCCAACTGTATGGCGTGCTCGACGTCGTCGCAATGGTCTTGGTGAAAGTCATACAGTTCAAATGCAATGCGTTCCATGAGCTGTCGGCTGCTGGTTATGCTGGTCATCTTTGGCATGAAAAGTGGAATGTCATTTCGTCAACTCGAAAGTGCCAACCGAAATACTCTGGAGTAAGAATCATATTTGGCAAACATCATCCGATGTCGTCATTAATTTGTACCAAAAAAGTATATTTCTAAACAATTGACGCATTTGATTGGCGCAAATCGAAATTTCCGATAAGCTTATCGTTTGAACGATGCTTGTGCTTTGTGAAGATGAGGTGGGACGTTGGACCGACGTGAGGTACACTGCCAGCATGCACACGCTGACCTAGACCACTCATCTCATGAATACATAGAGTCGAAGATGCTTGCAGCATTTTGGCTCAAGTTCCCGAGCCCCCCACCCAGTTGCAAATGTCATGCCTTACGTTTCGCGTACCGGTCACGACGCAGCCCATCCTCATCGTCGTGGAACTACCATTGTCGGCATGCCTTGTGGCTGCAGACGAATCTGTACTTCAATTCGCTGCGGATATTCTACGTTGTTTTCCATGTACGTTCTGGTCTCGATGGCGATGGTTAAGATCGTAAATGTAGCCACAGTCAAACCCGTCCGCCGCGCCGCTTTTGAAAGCGACAGCGAAAGCGACGACGATGACGAAACAGACCGCTTGACGAAAAAACCCAAGAAATCGCTAGGCACGAAAGACGATGTCGACGTTTCTCGTATCCCAGGCGACGACTACTTTGCGGCATGGAATGCGTCGGATGTCCAACTCGTAAGCGGCGACGACGTGGCCGCTTCGCTGGCGCCTTTGAGTCTTCCTCATCATGTTATTGCGCCCCACGTGACCTCCAAGTACGTTGGGTTGGTTGCCCAGAACTTAACGTTATAGCCCATGTTTGTTGAGTCGAATGCTTGAGCATGTAGACATGCCTATATCGTGGCAGTCCTTCCGCCCTCAAGTACATCTATAGAAGGAGTGCCGAATGTTGGGTTTCTGACGACGCATCCCGTGGTTGCTCCTGGCTTTCTGACGGCGATTGTGCAGACTTGCGTTGACGAGGACGGGACGACGGTCATGTGGAAGCAGTCGGTGCTGTCGTTCAATGGGTGTCAAGAACTCTCGGAACATGGCGCTGGAAAGACGCCGCCAGGTACGGCGGTATGACATGCCATGGCTTGAATCTTCCTAGAAATGCTGGACAATATTCGCCGACGCCATGCCTCTGGAACGTTTACCAAGCTCGTTCTACCGGCGATGACCTGGATCGACGTGGTGTCGAAGTATGCGACGACGTTTCCATGGATACGAGGCATCCAAGGTGACCTTCGCATGCGCAAGATCATGGAAGTCATATTGGCAGACCCCGTGAGCATTCGATTGCACGTAGTATAGCAAATACTACTGTACAAACTGAACTGCCAATTGGGTAGGATACAACGATTGGTTAAAATAGCAGAGATTAAAAGGTTTTGATTGGCTAATTGGGTTCAAACTGCGTAAACACCGGAAGAATTTGACGAAAAGTTGCGAGAGCTGTCAAATCAAGAATGTCGTCTAACGCGGGCGCGACCACGGATGAGGTCCTGCCGATTGTAGACAAAACTCTTGCTCGACGTCAATACTTTCGAGAGAGGCAGCGCAAGTGTCGCCGCAAGTTGAATGCTGACGTAGTGGCCATCACAGAAGAGTTCGTGCACCTTCAGTCGGTCCTTGATGGCCTTCAAGCCATTCGTCCGCCATCGGTGGCGCCGCATGAAGCAAGCGATGGTCCGTTGTCCTGGCATTCCATTGCCGCTGTGTTCAAAAGAGCATCCCATCGGGTCTTGACCGACCGCCAGTCCCTCATCGCACAAACGCAACAGTACCAATCCCTCATGCACGCCATGCAACGCTTTGTCGTGATGAACATTCCGGTACGTGTTCACGTTGCATCGTCGTCGTATGAATTTGCGTCTCTGCACGTAGCCGCCCATGTCCCGCAGCAAGGATGCGTGGCACAGTGCGACGTTAGTGGCCGACCCGAGTGCTCGAAACCTAGGTAAGGAGTGGCTCACACAGCACATGTACCACAACATGCACGAGCCGTTGGCGTTGCTTCCTGCTGTGAGGCCAGACGACGAGCTTTACCAACTTGACATGCAAGCGCCGGACGACCACGAATCGATTACGTTCTTGGAACGGATGCAATACACCCTGCCAGGAACGGTAGCATCGTTCCGACGATTCTTCGAATCCCATCGTATGCGGGACGTGTTTTTTATGGACCTCCCCGAGGCACGCGACACTGTTTATGTTTCACATTGACGTTTTCGTGTAGATGGTCGAAGAGCGCACGAACAACACGCGACTGTTGCACACCAACACGCCCGACGGCGCGTTCGTAAACTCGCTCCAAGGACACTTTCATGAAGCCGATCGGTTCATCGTAGTCGTACGCCAAGTCGAACACGACGAAGTGCATGTGTGTGACCCCGTGCTCAGGCAGCGGCACTACCGGTCGTGGTGAGTGAATGACGAGTAGTCTCGAGTGTTTGTCATGTGGATGTAGGATGGAGGTGCGGCAGGTGTCGCCCACCCATATCATCATGCGGACAGTCGGTCACTTGTCTCGCGTGTTTCGAGCCCGCGATGGGTTTGTGAGTACGACCGAGCTCGCGGTGCTGAGGGGCATCGATTTAACGGGCATCCAAGACGACCAGAAGGACGCGTACGTGTGGCGCGAGTTCATCCGACGGGGAAATGCGAATTTCGTGTCTTGGCGACGCCGGTTCACGGCCTTGATGCAGGAGGAATCGCAACACCATCATGATAACCACGAGGATTGAACGAGCTTTGCTTTGTGCCTTGGAGATCATCCACTGCATTATGGAACGGTAATATAACGAAGGTTGCCGCCGGTGACATGAGTAACGATACTGACTACTATAGTGTACTATATGCGTGCTAAAACTGGGACAGATTAACGAGTAGTACTATGGATCAGAATGATAGTACATTTGCTTGCAATTACTAGTAATTTGTTCGTTCCGTGGTTTTGGCTCCAGTCCATACACGAAACGCATCGATGCATCACCATCGCATGCCCTTGCTATGCGTCATTCTAGCGGGCTTATGTGAAACGTTATTCCTTGTTGGTACTATATTTAAACAGAATACCAAGCCATAGCCCAGAATTGCACTTTGAACCTGCAATTCGGGGATGAATGTGAGAAATCTGGGTGGCAGTATCTAAAAATAAGCTAACGTTATCGTAAAATCATTCACTAACGTTATCATCTTCCTTGCCATTCCAGCACGATGGCGTGCAATACTAAGAGCATCTCCATCGCACCTCCAATTGGTCTGGTTATTTTTGGGACAAACCAGAAATAACCAAAATACCCAATTTTTCATCACCACCTCACCTCCAAATGATCCCTTTAAAATAGAGAGACCTCAACTTCTGGGTAAAATCGGACGATTTGGAGGGACCTCGAAGGTCTTTTTATTCATTCTACATTCCGAAATCCAATAGTACTTTGAAGTAAACAACTTTTGCACCTATGGTCATGTGCTGCGAAACGTAGGTGCGGGCCATGGTCGTACCACACGCCATTGAAACGAACGTCCACCTCAATGGTGGCACGGCTATCGTAGAAGTATCTCGTTGGCTCAAGTAAAATTATTATTATTGTAATTGTCCAGCGCTTTGAATTATTTTCTGTGTATAATTGACTTGTTAATGGAATTCGCAAGGTGAGCCACCTTGCTCCTTTTTAATATCCAATCAGAGTCCATCACACCTTGCTTCTTACACACGATTGGCTATAATACTGGTAGAAGAGGTTACAATTTTGAACTGTTTGGACACTTGAATTTTGTAGAGCTTTGTGTGATGTAGCTCCGGAGAATTGTGCACTGATCAGTTCACTCCGACTATATCCAATGTGGTTCTCCCCTTACAGCTAACATTATGTTGTGCGCTCGGTTGGATCGCAATGTCGTGGTGGCCCTGGTTGGCCAACGCGGTGGCGCAAGAGGTCTCATCGCAAACGCAAAGTGCTAAAGCCGCCACTTCAGCACTTGCGATGGGTGCCACCAAGACGTCTTGCGTCACCGCCCGCGCAACCACGTGGTCACATCAGCAGGGAGGTGTACGGCACCAACACGGGCTGGATGGTGGAATGAGGGATGTCCAATTTCATTGGGTAGGCAAGTGGTGAAATGAGACCTGTTAGAATTGACCGAGTCCTGAATACCACATCACATGATCTTGCTATCATACACAGCCTACAATTATCTCAAGGCTCCTTGCATCAACTGCCATCACAGGAGTAGAATATATCGCAACAGGGCGTGATGAATCTAGGCAGCGATTTTCGTGATTTCATGGCATCTGATTGGACAAAATTGGACAATTTTGAATTCGCAAGGTGACCTGCCTTGCGAATTCCAAAACGAGACAGACACATGAAAAATAAAAATCATCAATACAAACTTGAAGATATATTTAATTGAAATTATACAATTTCAGAATTATTTATGGAATTCGCAAGGTGGTTCACCTTGCGCTGCATACAAAATTGCCTATTTCACCTTGCTTTTTCTGGTTAATGTCAATTAGTTTTTCCCACCCCCTGGTCACGACGCAGGTTGATGGTAGTATATACTGTAGCAAATACCTGTACTGCAAAGCGTTACGAACGTAACTGCAAATTGGGTAGGGTGCAACGATTGGTTAAAATAGCAGATTTTCAAAGGTGTTGATTGGCCAATTGGGTTCAAACTGCATAAACACGGTTTGTATTGTGTTTTGGAGGTTTGAAATAACGTCATGGGATTGGCCAAAATGACAGGATTATTAGTTTGGTGGCTGCTGCACGCCACAAACGAAGGAACTGACTGCTCATATTCCCAGAAAGATGGTGCTCGGTCAAATCGCCAAGCTGTACCAGAAGAGCGTGGCCAAGCAACTTCGTCAGCTCGGCCTTCGTTACGACGATGCCCTCGTTGAAACCTCGGAAGTCCAACGCGCCGTGCACTGGCTCGACCGCGACCAGTCCTTGGCCCGCACCCGCCGTCTTTCCCGCGCCGCCGACCTGAGCTTCAAGCGCACGTACTTGCCGGAAGAAATCCAAAAGATCCAAGAACCTTACAACTTCTACTTGCACGACAAGGTCGCGGAAGCCACCGAGTTGGCCGACGAACGCAACAAGTTGACCAAGTGGTAAACGACGCCCCTGTAGAAGATATGCATGACAAATGGAACATTGTGACTCCACCACCGTTGCTTGCATCCGAGCGAACCCATCGTGATTGATTGCATGTTCTAGCGTCGTGTATCTTACATCTATTTACAACTACCCATGGAGTTGTATTGCGTTCACGTCGTCGTTGTCATCGTGGTGGTGGTTGCTGCAGTAGCTCTTGACGTCCAGGTCGGTATCTAGTTGCAACCTGGCGACCAGCATTTCGCCGTGTGCATGGGACACTGTCATGTTTCTCAATTCACGGGCACATGCGACGCGCACGTTAGGCACCACGTCCTACGCACATGATGAGCTCCCCTGGATTCCTTCTCACATGTGTGTACCTGACACAACAACGTCAGCGCTGGCACGACGTCGCTCTCGACTTGCTCGCTTGTCAGCATGTGTGACACAGTCTACAACCACCACCACGTGACATCGTCGACCCCAACACAACGAACGGACGTACAGCGTAGAAATGGACGCAGAGGATGCGCACGTGGTGGTTTCCCGTCAGCGTCATCTGTCGAACGAACGCCAGCGCCGTCTTCGTCCACATTCGGTCGTCGGCATCTCCAGTCAACGGGACATGTTGCCCTTCCAAGTCGACCACCGCGACCCATGCCTCCAACGCCAGCTGCCGGACTTGGGCCACTCCATCGACCGTCAGTGCCTCGAGACTCGACTGAAACGTCGCCATGAACGCATCGACGCCCAGCCACCGCAGAAGCGGCGCCAAGTTGTACGCCCACGCCACGCGCAGCTTCCACTCGGCGTCGACGATACCCGCGACGAGGGGCGCCACATGCTCGAGAAAGCGTGCGTCCCCCAGCGCCTACGTTCGGTCGATCAGAGCCTCCCCGTGTGGATATATACACAAACGAGTCTTACATAGCCCAGCGAATCGAAGTTTTCGACGATTTCCACCAAGATCTACACCCGTCATACATATACACTAGTGAGATTGCCATTATTGCTTGATGGTTATAACAACGCAATAGGATGGTTGTAACAACACAATAGGATGGTTGTAACAACACAATAGGATGGTTGTAACAACACAATAGGATGGTTGTAACAACACAAGGGGTGGTTATAACAACACAATAGGACGGTTATAACAACACAATAGCATGGTTATAACAATACAATACATGGGTGTGGTGGACATTCTGAAACAAGCGAGCTAGGAACGGCACAATGTCGGACGTGATGACATCGGGCATCCCCGTTAGAAGTGGCGTCACGCAACACAGTTCTCGCGCCAGAATCTACAAGTTTGTTGTACAGAGATATGCGACGATGTGACAGAGAGATCCTGCGACGAGGTACAGACAGGCAGACGTACGTGATGCACCGAGTCGTACACGGCGCTGCTGCCGTGGCACTTGCACTCGTGCATGTCGGTGACAATCACATCTTGGATCGCGGGGACCAAAAACTTGACCAGAATATCGCGGCCAAACAGCGCCGCCACCTCACGGACGTGTCGACACGCGATTTTCTGCATCTCCACTGGCGCATCCTACAGCAGTATTCCATGCGCTATTAGTCCAAGTGCATGGAGATATGACAACATGGAGATGATATACGTGCCTGCAACAGGTTGGTAAACGCATCCAAGAGCGTAAACAAGATGTGCGCGTTCTCTTCCGCCGATGGCAGTTCGTCCACCGAGCTCATGCACCGCCGACGGACGTCCGACACGTGGCTCTCGGCGGATCCTGCGCAGTCCCCAGGGCACTCTCTCTGTGTGTCGGACAAGATCAAGAACGAACTGCTCGCTTTGTGGCGACTCGAAGCCCCGTGACACGTGTCGTCGAACTCGTCGGCCAGTTCCTACAGGGCAACCACCATCCTGTGAACCAACAAAAATTGACGAGGTAGAACCAACCCGGAGGTGGATTTTCATCAAAAAGTCGACGAATTTGTCGGCCGCGGCCTTGCGGATCGAGTTGTTGCCGTCGTTGGCCAAGGTGGCAAACACCCCCGCGAGGCGCATGCGCCAGAAGGACGTGGTCGGGTGGTGCGCCGCCAGCTGGAGGCACATGTACAGCGCGTCGAGGCGGCTGTCAGGCATGAGTGCCTTGGACAACACTTCCACCAGCGGCACGATCCACATCCAGTTGACGTCGAACGGCATCAGGTCCGCCAGCGTCGACGGCAGGTACTGGCGCGCGGCGCACGACACGGTCGGGTCGTTGTCTGTGCTCAGCTGCACCACACATCAAAAATCAACACCACACATCCCCACAGCTGCTTTGGTGCCAATTACACACTAAGTACATACCTCGGCAAAGAGGATGCCGGCTTCGAGCATCTGGTGCCGCCACCGCAACGCTTCCATGTCCCCGACGCCCGTCCACGGCCATGGCGAGTCAGGCTTGGTGTCGTGTTGGTCGTGCAGCCGAATAGCCAGAGTCTTTTGGTGCACGCGCGTAATCAACTCGGCCACGACGCCAATCGATGCCAGTCGTACCGACGCTTTGCTACGTCCGTGGTCCACCCCCCATCGTCAATACAAACAAGTCCCCCCCCTCCCCCTCCATTTCCCCCCCTTTCGATCGACATATACACACACTCACCTGCTGGTTTTCATCCGGTTGACAAGCGGCACCACGTACAGCAGCACCACGTTCAGGGGCAGCATCCGGATGATCTCTCGAAATGCCCCCGCGGCCTACGTCCGTATATATATAAATATATATAAATATTGTCAAGTCGAGTCGAAATTGGCTCACATCGAATGACCAGAATAACCCAATCGGCAGACAATCGATATACGACCAATCAAAACCCAGATCAAAAATCTCAAGTAGCCAATCAAACACACTCTTCGACCAATATATTCAATTCATCGAATTAGTGTGTGACTGAAATTAGTGTGATACCATGGATGATCTTTACAAAAGTCAAAGAATCGAACATCCATAGGTTTGGCAAAGAATCAAAAGTCGACCAAATTCAATTGGGTAAAAGAAAGACCATATCCATCCTCCCATGACATGATTGATTGATCCTCCAAATGGTAGTACAGTACGCACCTCGCGGGACACGACGCCGTCGTCGGCACAGCAGCACGTGTACAGGACGATGCTCACAAACTGCGCGGCCACGGGCCCCAGCGCACTCGCGCGCCGGAACTGGCTCTGGAGGGTCTTGACTAGGCGAACAAAGTCGGGCGCTTGCGGCCGGCGCGACGTGGCGAGGAGAAAAGGCAACAGCGCCCGCCGAGTCGTGAGGCCCAGCGCCGCCAGTCCGCACGTGTCGTGGACGTCCGCTAGACCGAGCGGCACCAGCACCGCCGAGTGGACGGTGACAAAGAGCATCCGCAGCTGTTCCGTTGCCTTGTCCATGTGGAACAGCCGTAGCGACGCCGTCGAGAGCCGCCGCTCCGTGTCGACTAGCGCCATGTACACTTCGTGGGTTGTGTCAAGCAAGTCCAGTGTCAGCGGCAGTCGGAACCGCGGACTCCCTGAAATGAACTCACTCACGGCTTCAAACCCCATGAACGGCACGCGTGTGCCTAATAGATATATATATTTTATATATATATATAGGGAGGGGGGTACCGTTGACCGCGACAATACAATTGCCTCGGGCAATACCACAGTGCTGGGCGTAGGGGGAGCAGCCCACTTCCATGACAAACACCATGTCCAGCACCCGTCGGCACTTGATGCCACAGCGACTCCAATCAAAAATGACGTTATCGGTCGAGCCATGCAACGTCACTTGGTACAAGCTATCGCCGTGGCGGTCGCTCTCTGCAAAATGCAACGAGAGATACGAAGAAGAAGGCGATGATGGCGTTGAGGTTGTCAGTGTGTACAGCTGATGCACACTCGTCACGTCCTCGTCGTTAACCTACCGGCATGTTCACAGCGGATTTGCATGCATGCATGCATATATAGATACGTATGAAGGACATACATATTGGAAGGATAACACGTACATGCACGACACGAAAGCCAGGCCGAATCCCGGCGACGGCGGCGGCGCTGCGGGGCTGGACGTCCGACACCACGACCGTCCCTTGATCCATGTGCACAAGCCGAAGCATGGAGAAGACAGCGTGACGTGGCAGTACGAGAGACACCGACGCCGACGTGAACTTGGTAGGGAGTAAGGACCTGAACACCCACAGCCAACGGAAGAAAGATGAAGGATGGGACGACGAGACACTCTACATACCATGGCACTCGCTCGTAAATGCAAATGTCGCGGTGTTCGACGCGGCATCCCACGGTGGCATGGACGTGGCTACGAAGACCGTGTGGAATGCGAACGTTATGATGGTGGAATATGCAAGGAAAAAAGGGGGCGTACTGGATGCGCAGATGCACGTCCAGGTCGACGATGCGCACACACATGCCGCACGCAGTCGTGTGCGAGTTCGAGTCTGCTTTGAGGCAAGGCAGGACGAGGTGAAAACCTGGGCCCAAGACACCCACGACAGAGTGCTCAATCGTGCCATGCTAGGAGCGTGAAGGACCGTCATGGCACTGCTGCGGAGTTGGTTCGTACCTCTAAACGAATGGATATGTGAAGAAGATTGACGTCCATGGCGCGCGGACTCCATAAGGTAAACGCTGCCGGCGGGGCGTCAGCAAGGGATGTTTCTTCGACAGGATGCAGTGAGGGGTTGCCATTCTGACATTGGTTTGGCATACGACGATGCCCCTGTACCTGCATCATGGTGGCTCGTGAGGTCGTGGCGGAAATACCGCCATGCTGTGTTGAGATCCACAGGTACTTGGAACGTATCAGCGCCGCGATGTTTGTCAGGGCGAGTTGACGCGACGGACGGCAAGGAATCCTTGGACCGTCGAGATTCCTGTGGCGGCCCAAACAGATCAAGGAAGCCCATATTCAATGCACGAAGTGGATCTACATGCAGGTCATGGTCATCAAACAGCCCCATTCCATCCTTCCGTCTTGATCTCATGCATCTCGTACTTGTCGGTGAAAGGCTCCCCGTCGCCGCGTCCTTTGTATTTATTGCAAAAGCGCATCATGTCCCGTTTATTCATGACTTACTAAATGATCATTCATTTACATATGGTTAATTTACCACATGTCATTTAAGGTCAATAATTCACTATTTTTAAATAACGCAGTTGCATCCAAGTATTATAATTCACTATTTTTAAAAATCTTACAATGTATACTGTTGCTTCTAACGTTAACAGTAAACAATCGTTAATATAATATTGTGAATTAACACTAAACAATCGTTAATATAATATTGTGAATTCACTTTAAACTTCCGAAATTCGCGTGATCACTAATCACGCTGGAGTTCTGATTGGTTGAATATACTTGTCCTTCTTGTAAGAGCCAATCAAATCCACTATAAAGTGGATTAGCCAATTAGCGTCGATTCGAGATTCGATTCGACGGGGTCTGGAAATTCGTATCGAATCGACAATAATAACGTTAACTAATCTATCAATACACTTTACAGTTTGACTTCACCGTCAAACATATCATCTCTCACTTTTTCATGCGATATCGTCCGACTAGACCGCCGCTGTCTGCACATCCATGACACGGATCCTCTCCTGTGTCCTGTACCTAGAAGTACTCTAAAATGGACATTCAATCAATGCACACCATGTACAAGTGTTGTTGATTCAATCACTTAGGAAAAGGTGGCAAGGATGGGAGCATGAAGCAAGAGCGACGGGGGGTGTGCTACAGGTTGCTTGACATTGTACATGGACAGCCACTCATTCAGCGCCGCGCGACACGCGTCCTCGTCGTTATACGATGCAACGACCAGGCCGCGCTCTTCGCACGCGAACACCAGCTCTGCCGACGACAGGACGTCCACCGCTCCTGGCTGCAGCAACAAGTGGTCGTCCACGGTGATCTCCCCCGCGCGCTTTTCCAGGCGTTGCACCAAATGAGTCTTGGGGAGGTACGTGATCACCTTAACAAATGGAGACGCGGACGTGGCTTGGACTAGGAGCTTCAAGTGGGGTGTCGAGAGCGCCGACAATGCTGCGGGGGAAGCAAAGAGGTCGCGGAATGCAGGCAACATCTTTGGATCCATCTTGTCCTCGCTGGAGTCCTATGTATACGTGTTCATATCAATCATCATGAAGCATGTGGACTTGTAGCGTACCTTGGTGTAGGAAGCGGCGGCATCGCGAAGGAATGTATTCGTGGTGTCGACGGACGCGACCAGTTGGGAGATGTCCTTATAAAACGACTCCTTTTGGCGCACATCTTCTTCGAAGAATTGCGCCTTTTGCGTCGGTGTCCAGAATTGCCATGGCAGAGTCCACTTCGGGTAGAAGTAGCCCATAACTGGCGCCAAGTAACCGGCGATGGGTACGGCGAACGCGATCAAGAGAGGAAGCGACTTGAGAAGATCTCGAGGCGCCTGTCGCAGCACAAACATCTCGCGACGAGTCAACACGACTCCAGGCGTAGTCTGCAACTTGGCACGGCTTGCCCACGCCTCCCGGTTCTCTCGCACAAGTTCCTTCGCACCAAGGGTGAACGGATCCAGCACGTTCTTCTTTAGTCTCTGGAAAGCAGATGGAGACTCCGTAGACATGGCAGCTGCTTGCCCATAGCATGGTCGTAGGTATACCACGGCATGAACGCGGACGAGCCCGCGCGAGCTTCTCACCACCACACTCTGCATGACACTTGAAAAGTCAAAATGTGATTGGGAATTGTCTTGGCTCCTTGATGATCATCACTCCGAATATCTTATATTTTGTATTCGAAGTGTTTTTGGGGTACCCTAAAATCGCTGCTTGAGATTCGAATCCTTCACATGGCGGTGTTGCAACACAACCAGCGACCGTGGCTCGTGCTGGTGGTGAGTGCGCATGATGTGTTGGTTGGCACCGCACTGAAGGCAGCGTTGTCTGTACCCGCTGTTGATGTCGTCCAGCTACGTCATAGCTCAACGCAGCCGTCTCCTAACTCGACCTCCGAGTTTGCGGATGCCATGCGTGCCCTTCCGTCGATGGGAAAGTTGCTGGCAACGCCTCCGCTGTACGTCGTGAATGCCCCGCCTGACTTACCACAGAATACTCCATGCCTCGATGGGAGACACTACCCCGAACGGTACTTGGCGACTTTGAAGGAACGACAGCAGCAGTGGGACGGACGTGGCTTCTTTGGCGTATCAGTGCACGCGATATCGTCTGCCGTAACTGCAGCCGCCCTTGAATCTTCCTACTTGCAGGTACATCCTCTATCCCAACGCATCATGCCATTGACTTTATTGGGCAGGTTGGCACGATGTTTCCCACGGCGTCCCACCCCGAAAAGACGTCCGTGGAAGGCCCTGAGCTCATGCGTGCAGTTCGTCAGGCTCTACCCTCTACTCGCTTGATAGGCATCGGAGGCATCACGGAGTCGAATTGCGTGGATGTGATGCGTGCAGGTGCGAATGGAATTGCAGTCATTCGGGCGATTTTGGATGCAGACAAGCCAGATATTGCCGCCACGCGCCTTCGACAAGCTCTAGACAATGCATCAGTCCAAGATCCTAGCGTTAACGTTATATAATTCGGTGGCAATCTTTCTCGACTGCAAGCTATACAGTACTGTATGTAGGTAGTACTAGTAGCAGCTAACGTTAAGACAGCCTTCCCGGACCACCGGCCAGCCAAGCATAATGGCTTGAACAAGTAAATCCATTGTGTCATGTGAATACCTCTTGCTTATGCCGTGCAATACAACTAACTTACCGCCGAACTTACTTTGGTTGGGTCAATGTCGGCATGTCGTCGTGACCGCATTGGATTGTGGCATTTGAAAGTGCACTTTTAACAGGCACAAAAAAACGCCCCAACTAGGTGAGGAAGAAACGTAATTGTATAAACAAATGAAAACACGAGGATATTGTCCCATCTTTTACTGTTCGAGGAACCCATGGTGCTTTAAAATGGCGAGGAATAGGAGCTTTCCTAATAATTCATGGGTTAAAGATAAGGCGTACTCCCAACGAGTAACGCAAATTTGCTAGAAATATAAAATTCGACAGGACATTTTTGGGAGGCATTTTGGAACCAGTCAGTTCAGAACTAAAGCCATGTTTGCCCGTGCCGTCGCGACCGTCCAAGCCCCTTTGAGCCGTGGCATCAGCCGCTCCGCCCGCCGCATGGGTGGTGATCACGGCCACCATGAACACTTGGTCTTCGCTCGGGGTCCTTTCAACGCCAAATCCATCGGCATCAGCCTGTGGTTGATTGTCGGAGGCGGCGTTGGTGCCACCGTCGGTATCTGCGCCTTCCAAAACTGGAAGGGTGGTTTCCCCCAGAAGAAGGATTAAGCGTTCGACAATGACGCTGCTGCTGACGAGCTGTTGGTTGTGTTCTGTGCCGTGGGAATTCATGCTTGACCGTCCACACACAGTCTAGACCCGGTCCTGCGCCGCGTTCCCATGCCACCACCAAAGTATGCAGTCAATAAACGTAATATGCCTACATATTTTCCACTTGGATAACATGCGCATGTATGGCCATCGTATCGAGGACGACAGACACGAGGCAACCATGCTTTGGTCCAAGCAGCACGCACCCCTGCCTGCCAACACATGCACTCATCCAACGATTCACTGGAGAAGACCCCAGTAACAACCCCCACCTAGACCCGAATAGATGCATACTGTGCACCAGGAAAAAAGCTCGTACGCATGGGCCATGTGATCATCTCCCGTGCAGAGGACCTGTGTGTTCTGTGTACATCGACTTCGTAATTTATGCTCTCGTCCAGGCCTCTGCTTTACACAACTGGTGCGCGACCTCGTTTCAATCATGGCCGAATGGCCGAATGTTGACCTGGGCAAAGGCTGTGTACTGTATACTCGAAGTACTGTAGTGCAAAATGTACTTCGTATATGATATCGTCACCCCACATGACTTCATTCTTTGCATGGAAGGTCCTCCAAACGACCTCAATTGCGTTCATGCTGGCCGTACGTGGCGTCAAAGAAGTCATACTTGGCGTCTTGGTCCGCCTTGATGGTCTTGTGGCCGGGCTTCCAGTTGGCAGGGCACACCTCGCCGGGGTGCGCCGTCGCGTACTGGAACGCCTTGAGGATGCGCAACGTTTCGGGCACGCTGCGTCCGACCTGGTCGTCGTTGATCTGGATGGAGCGGACGATGCCTTGGGGGTCGATGATGAAGAGGCCGCGCAGGGCCGCGCCAAACATGTCGTCGTCTTCGTCCGTCACGAGCACGCCGTAGTTGGCCGAGATGCGCTTGCTCACGTCCGCGACGATCGGGATGTTCATCTCGCCCAGACCGCCCTTGTCGCGGGGCGTCTTGATCCAAGCCAAGTGCGTATGGTGCGAGTCCGTGGACACGGCGATCACCTGCATGAGGATTGTCAGAGGGAGTTCGGTGCGGAGATGCGATTATGACCTCGGTGTTGATGGCTTGGAAGAGGCCCACAGAGTCGCTAAAGCTCACGATCTCGGTGGGGCACACAAAGGTAAAGTCGAACGGGTAAAAGAACATGACTAGCCATTTGCCCTTGTAGTCGTCGAGCGAGATCTTGGTGAACTTTTCACCCACGACGGCATTCACGTTGGTGAAGGACGGCGCGGGCTTCCGCGGCAATACCTGTTCACGGGTGATGCATATATCAATTTCAACATGCACGCAATGCATCACGCGTGGATAGATATTCGCTAGTACCTGGGAGCGGTGGACTGGGTAGTTGTGCTGCTGGAACTTCTTGAATTCACGCACCGTTTCAGCGGACACCCCAGGCAGACTTCCCAGCGCGTCCACTCTGCAAACAGCGTCAAGTTAGCCGCGGATGGCAGCAGATGAAGGATGGTTACTGTACTCGTATTCTTCATGACGAGAGGCGTGCTTGCGATCACCGTGGGCAGTCGCAATGCAAGCGACGAACAGCGCAAGGGCCACCAATGTGCGAAGGCCCAACATGCGCTTCGGAAAATGCCACACGTCATCATGTTAAATCTCAGAAATAACCTCCGAAATTAAATATTACTCGTCATTTCATAGCAATTGCCTGTCAAATTGAGTTATCGCGGAGGGCTGACCCAATCAACGCGTGCCATTTGCCACCGCCCAAAGGACACACCACTTCATGGCGACACCACAGCCGCCATCGCCGATGGCACGGCAGGCTGTCGAGAAGTCGTTGGACTTGCCGCTTGTTGCCGTGTTCCTGCTTGGCACGATGATAAAACTCCTCCTTCTCCCGTCCTACCGCAGCACGGACTTCGAAGTTCACCGCAATTGGCTCGCGATCACGTCGTCGTTGCGGCGTACGCAATGGTACTTTGACATTGGGAGCGAATGGACGCTGGATTACCCTCCATTCTTTGCCTGGTTTGAGCGTCTGGTCGGCAGCGTGGCCTTCTACGTAGACCCTGGCATGCTGAACCTACATGCACTGGGATACGCGAGCTACCGCACGATTGTCTTCCAGCGCCTGTCCGTCATCGTGTCGGACGTGGTGCTGTTCGCATCGATCATCAAGTATTGCAACGCCTGGCCCTGCGTCACGACCACCGAAGTGGCCTTCAACACCAACAAACGTGTGGTGGTGGTGCTTCTCACGTTCCTGGACGCCGGCCTGCTTATGGTGGACCACGTGCATTTCCAGTACAACGGCGTGTTGCTAGGCCTGCTCATCCTGAGCGTCGCCTACATCCGCGAAGGCGAAGACGTCAAGGGCGCGTTCGTGTACGCCGTGCTTCTCATGATGAAGCACATCTACTTGTACGTCGCGTTGCTGTACTTTGTGTATCTGTTTGGGCACTACTGCTTTTCCGTGCCATCGAGTCCACAAACTACCCAAGCCCCCACGACACGACTACGCACACGATCCCTCTCCAACATCGACACCCACGAGACACTGGCCCACCTTGTGGCCGGCCGCGGTCGTTTCAGCATCGCCCGCTTCGTCTCGCTGGGTATCGTCGTTGTCAGCGTGTTTGCGGTTGCCTTTGGGTCGGTCATCCTCCCCGATGGCTCAGCACCCCCCCACTCTGTCGGCGAGCACTTGGCTCAAATCGCGTCGCGCCTCTTCCCCGTCCAACGCGGCCTCTGCCACGCCTACTGGGCCCCCAATGTGTGGGCCCTCTACGCATTTGCCGACAAGGTCCTCGCCGTGCTCCTCAAAGTGCCCGCGCCTGTCGGCGCCATGAGCGGGGGGCTTGTCCAGGACGCAGTGTTCGTCGTGCTCCCAGCGGTCGCGCCGTGGGTGTGCGCCGTGCTCACCCTTCTGGCCATGGCTCCCGTGCTGCGAGACATCTACCGCTTCCCCGACCCGACGCTGTTCATGCCAGCGTTGGTGTACTGCATGCTGTGCTCGTTCTTGTTTGGGTATCACGTGCACGAGAAGGCCATCTTGCAAGCGACGCTGCCGCTGGGGCTCCTCGCCGTCGAATCCACGCGCGACGCCAAGCTGTACCGCGTCGCAACGCTCGTGGGCAACATCTCGCTCTTCCCGCTGCTGTTCACGCCCGCCGAAGTCGGCACCCGTGGCTTGCTCACGGCCGCCCATGCGTTGCTCGCGCATTTATGTTTGTACCCATGTCACGCGCATTCGCTCAAGCTGCGCCGCATCAAGTACACGGGCATCGGCCTCTCACTAGGCCAGCGGATGTACCTCCATGCCGTGGTGGGGACTGCCGTCGTGGCGATGTTGCTGCCGGTGGTGCTGCCCCGGTACCCCTTCCTTCCGCTACTGCTGACGTCCGTGACCTGTGCGGTGGGGGTCATCTACGTGTGGATCTCTGCCTTTGAGCAACATAGGCGTAAACTTGGCGCGCTCAAGTCGTACTTGCCCCAAGCGCCCCCGTCCGTGGCGACATCAGTAACAGACGTCAAGGACACCAACCATCGATTTGATATCAAATAAACTCGTAATCACGTTAAGTCGTTATTATAGTGGTGGACCCTGACGATCTTGAGTGGATTTGCTTGATGTCAAACAGGCCACGCACCGGACGGGGTTTGAGAGCAGTTGGGGGGATTCCACCGGGGGGCTTAGTAGTTGGTGGGAGTTGATTGGGCAGCTGCACGCTGTGGTTGATTGCGGAGAGAGTCAGGTTTGACCAGGAACCACATCGATGGCAAGGGCGGCTGCGATCGTCCGAGCACGCGTCACATTGCAAGAGGCCACAGCACGCCAGCTTGGTGGCTGCGAAGCACTGCACTCCACACGACTCGCACTGCCGCCCTAGTCCAACGGACGAAGTGCCGTCGACCACCAATGCATCTTCATCACTCGCACACTTTGAAGACGTGTTGGCAGGAATAATCGATGGCTCTTGCCAACCCAGTTCCTTTGGAACGGTCAAGTACGTATGTCCAGTCGAATCTCGCAATGACGTGTCAGCGCTGGCTTGTATCAACATGTTTACGATGGCGCGATGGTCCTACCGGAACGATTCGTCGAATCGATGGATTATTTCACGGCGAAAGCACGTACCCGACTGGCGGCTTTGTGCAAGGCTGTTCGGTGATCGCCAAACGAAGTGTCTACGAGGTTGAGACTGGCACCATGCTGGACAAGGAGGGCCACTGATTCTTCGGCACCACTGTAGGCTGCTCGATGTAGAGGCGTAGCCCCGCACTTGGCACAGTCTGGGTTGGCCCCTCGCGACAGCAAGTACCGCACCACTTCGACTCGATTCCATTGGCTGGCATAATGCAGCGATGTGTATCCAAAGTCGTCGACAAAGTCAATGTGTAAGTGAGCTTTCCGGCACTCAAAGAATGAACGCACGTGGTCCACGTCCCCATCTTGGGCAGCCGTGAAGATGCTCTTCCGAAGGAGCGCTTTGCGGCATGGACAATCGGCGCTGCTATTGCCTGTGCGTTCCATCTCAAGGAATGAACAATAACCTCTCATAATGGATACGCCTTTAGGTTTTATGAATCTTGAACAGGCACACAAGATAATGAGCGAAGGCTCGAACTATAGCCTGCCGCCGCAAACCCCTTCGGGACAGAAAAAGTTCAACTTCGGACAAGCATGGGCGGACGATGCGTACGTTTACGGCGCAGAGCGCCCTGGGTACATGCATCCGAGGCGGGATCAGCCGTCGACTCCGCGAGGTACGCCACAGTTCGTCATAGCCACGCCCACACAACGCATGTAGGCCCAGACGTGAGCGACAAGCAAGTTCAGGAATGGATCAACTTCATGCTCATCAACGACATCAAGCACGTGTTGTGTCTCTTGACGAGGGAAGAGTTGCGCTTCTACTCGACCCCGCTACTCCCAGCATATGAGAAAGCGTTTACAACTGTGACCCACGTCGATTTGGCAGGCGACTGGCGTTTATCTGGCTTACTTGCGAGTCTCACGCAAGCCACCGCGGCAAAAGAACGCATTGTCGTGCACTGCACCACTGTACTGTACGCCAGCCACTCCTCCTTGCCTGACGCTCTTGGTCGATTGTACTAGGGACAAACACGCGCGGCCAACGTCCTCGCCATGTGGCTCCATCGAACTCACGCCGTCGGCATCGACGACGCCATCCACCACGTCCTCGAAACCGCCTCCCGTACGACCGTCTTCTATTCATTGGATGATCCCATCGACTTTCTGTATCCCATCTTTCCAACGCAGTCACGGGCACCATGCGGAATCCGACGGCCGACGGCGTCCTGCGGCTGCTTCGCAACGTCCCAGCGACACCGCTGTCGTCGGCGCGATCCCTTCCACCTCCACCAGTGTCACTCACCAGTCTTCCAAGGACCTCCTTCTCCTCAAGTACCTTCCCATAATGCTCCAGTCCATGATGCGGGCTTACCACCTTTGGCCTTAGTGCCGGCAGCCGCCACCGCTATCCCAGCAACGCCCGCTTCGACCGACCCCCCTGATATTTGCTTCGTGCACCTCGGCGGCTGCATCGATGCCACGCTTTCTCGTTTCGTGTCGAACTTTCACCTGGACGTCGGCCCGCCGGTCGCCTGTGCGTCGATTTTAAGTGCTGCTGGAAGCCCCGCCGCCTTGGACTCCATTTCCATTTGCCGCAAAGGTCACGACGTCACAACCGCAGATTTAGACGCAGTGGTCGCCGCCCTGAATACTGTGAGATGGTTATGTACGCCAGTTCTACCCTTTGACCCCCCTTGTGCATGGACAGACTCGCGCGACGCTCGTGGTGATCACCATGGACGTCTCCGTGCTGTGGACCACCGCGGCCCACCTCCAGCCGCGGCGACGGCACACGCAGACTATCGTATGCACCGGGGCACGCGTACCCGCCTGCATCCCATCGGCGTCCGACGCTGCATTCAACCTTGGCTGTTCCCTCGGCGCCATTCGGTGGATTCCACCTGGAGTGTACGTGAGCTTGAACGGCCGAGTCGTGCCAGTTCAAGATGACGTGGCATCACCACAAGCCTGTGACTTAATGAGCAAGTGAATTTCATGATCAGGGTAAGTTTGGATTATACTAATGAATGAAAGGTCATGGCTTCTCTATCTACAAGACAATGGTTTGGACGGCGGCGGCGTCCGCCAGCACGGTCAGTTGAGGCTGAGAACCGCCATGGTTTTCTTTGTTTTGCGTCGAGGGATGGTTGTGGTGATGATGCTGAAGTTGAAGGTCGTGATGTTGGTGCGGGAACAACGGAGTGTTGCTGGACGCATTCTGCGGCGATGAATGGAGCGGCTGCTGCATCAGCGGGTGGAATTGATGAGGCAACATCATATACGCAAACTGCTTCTGTTTCGTGTCGGGGAACGCCAAAGACGATTGGTCGTACATGAAATGCTGCTGTTCCTGCTTGAGATTGCCAGGCAGCATGGAATGGCGGCTCAGATCGGAAGCTACATGCTCGGAGATGGGAGTTGGCTCCATGAACGGTTGAGGCAGCGGAGACATCGTCGACGCCTTGGCTCTGTGAAGCATGGCGCGATGCCCCCTTCGCTTGTACGAGTTCCAGTGGTTCTTGATTGCGTTGTCCGTACGACCCGGCAGGAGTTTGGCGATTTCAGCCCACTTGTTACCATATTTGTGATGGGCCACCTTCAACAACGTCTCTTCGTCGGATGTCCACGGATCCTTGCGAATCGATGGGTCTAACTGATTGTGCCACCTGCATATACGCCACGGTAAATGTCAAGGAACGGCGAGAACGAAGATGACGTACCGTTCACGGCACTGCTTGCCGTTGCGTCCAGATAGCAAGCTGCCAATGACACTCCATCTCCGGGTGCCATGTGTCTGCACTAACTCCATCATGAGTGCATCTTCCTCGGGGGTCCATTTGCTGATGGATTTCCTTTCTAACCCTTCGTCGGCAGAGTCCCTGTCATACGCGGACGAGCGCGGCATGTTGTAGCCTTTTCAGCGTTGCCGCACCAAATTGAGATCTTTGGGCTGATGGCAGTTGAACCTCTGAAAACGCATACAAATTGCCTTGGCAATTGCATGAAAATCGCCACGAAAATTCGAAATTATCGAACAATTATACAGTTCGAGAGGTATATTATTTTGAAATCACAACACAAACTTCAACTGGTGGAAAACTGCATCGTGCAGCATAATCATCATGGAGAGCGATCATGATGCCGAGCACTTGAAGGGCCGAGGATACGTTGAGATTGGGGGGAGCGTGCAGCTTAGTCCTTCATGCACTCGTCGATGCAGCAGCAGCAGCAGCAGCTTGTTGCTCGAAAAACGCCTTCCACACGGTGCGTGGGTCTTTCTGAGTCGGGATGTAATGCCCCCCTGGATGCGGAAATAGCACTGGGTTATCAAATTGCTCAGCCAAGATGCGGCTCTTTTCGATGGAGATCAGCTCGTCCTGCTCGCCCATGATGTGCAAGGATGGCATGGGAAGTGGCGAGTCCAACGCTATCTTGAATGCTGCGTCCGTCATCTGTGCTGCTGCGCAAAACACCCCAAACGAGAACTGGAACCGCGTGTCTCCTTGGTGCTGTCGAGCAAGCATGTAGGCGGCACAGATGCCGCCCTGGCTGAAACCAAAAATGCCGTCGAAGGGTCCTTGTGTGCGAATAATATTGTCCAAGTACGACAAAGTGTCTTCAACTCCCGCGTAGGAATGCGCGTCGTGGTCCGTCCGCCGCTCAAATGTCCACCACGCGTATTGGGCCACGGCCTGCATTTGCTCTTCCGCACCCTCGATGCCCAGCTCGTTCATGCTATATTCATCTTTGAGCGAATAGTGAACGCATGGAGGACACTCATGCACGTACCGCTGGATGTGTTCGTCCGACGTAGGTTCGTATGGCACGGCGATGGGTCCGTCGACAAACACTAGGATCACTCTCCTTCCATCACGATGTATTAGCGCGGAGTCGTACCGAACTCTGTTGTGGCTTTGGCGGCTCGCAGGAGTGCGGCCATCTTGCCCTTGAGCTTGGCTGCGCTCTGCCGGTGTCCATGGAGACACAGCACTCGCGATTTCATGGCGACGTCGATGATTTGATCGTGCCCGTATCCGGACACGGTAATTGCTGATTGCGTTTTTAATTCCACCGGAAATAATTCCACTGAATGTGACTACAAGTATGTATTGAAGGCAAATTAATTATTTTTCAAAAGGGGAAGTCGACTATTTTTATGCGCAGTGCTCGAGCTCCACACCAACCAAAATGGTTGTGTTATCCGGATACCAGGTTTCATTGGTCAAGTTGAGATCCGTCGTGGCATTCGTGATACTTCAAGATGGCTCGGAAAGGAGGGAAAGGCAAAGGAGCCGCGAAGCGGAAGGCGCCGCTGGATGTGTATGAACATGGCGACACCCACGACGACTTAAAGGAGCAGCGTGAGAATGATCGCATGGACGTGGATGGGGTGTACGAGTATGAGGCCCCCGAGAAGATCAGCCGCGATCAGGACAGCGAAATCGACGAAGACGAAGCGTTCAACTCGGACGACGACGCCACGTTTGGCACGTTTTTCAGCGGTGGAAACAAGAAGGCGAATGCACAGGGAGGAGGCAAGTCGTCAGCAGACTCGGACGACAACACTGTGGACGACGACGTCGAGGACGAGGACGCAGGGGACTTGCTGTCCGACATGTTGGGCACGGCCCCCGCATCTCGTTTGGACACTGCCGACGATTCCGGCGACGATTCCAGCGATGATGAGGACGACGACGATGACGAAAAGCATGCGTCCCTTTTGAAAATGGTGCACAGCGCCGCCAAAGGGCCCAAGCGCAAGTTCACACACGCCGAAACGTCGGAGGACGTGGCGCCGTCCGCGTTTAGTAAAAAGTTGGGCGGGTCGGCGTTGACATTGGAAGGACTTCTTGGCGCGTCCATCACAGGCTTGCCTGGTGACGACGACGGTGACGACGACGACACGGTGCAAAGCTCGACCGCCGTGAAGTCGCTCAAGCAGCAGCTGGCACACCTCGAAAAGGACGACAGCAAGCTCCAGGCGCCCGCCGCACCCGTCGTGGAGGCCCGCGCGTCGCGCAAAGTGGCGTACACGGACAAGAAGAAGCAGATGGATGTGTTTCAGCCGGTAGTCAAGGCGAACCGCGAGAAGGAAACTCTGGACTTTCGCGCACAGGGCACACAGCGCGTGGAAAACCTCACGGTGGCGTCGCTCACGTCCAAGTTTGTGCCGGAGAAGCCGCTGGAGAATGACGTGGCCGCGCTGCTTGAGGCGAGTGGGTGGAGCGACAAGACCATGTTGAAGGAGGAAGCCGCGGAATTGGCGGCCAACGAGGTGTCGGTAGACGAAGTGCGCGCGCGCCAGGGCGAGCTCGCCAAGATGCGCGCCATGATGTTTTACCAGGAGCAAAAGAACAAGCGCATCAAGAAGATCAAGAGCAAACTGTACCACAAGATCCGCAATAAGCAGGAGGACCGCAAGGAACGCATGGCGCTGCGGGAGCTCGACCCCGAGTTTGCCGCGCAGATGGACGCGGACGAAGCCGAGAAGCGCGCGGAAGAACGCATGACACTCAAGCACACAAACACGTCCAAGTGGGTCAAGCACCAGTTGGGCCGCGGCATCGGGGCGGACCAGGGCACGCGATCGGCGATCGCCGATCAGCTGCGCCGCGGCGACGACCTGCGCAAGAAGATGCAGTCGGTCAACCCCGACAGCGAAGACGATAGTGACAATAGCGACGATGATGCCGAACATCTTGACGGCATGACCGAGACTGAGAAGCTGCAGCACCGGTTGCAGAAGAAGGCGGCGGCGCTTGTCATGGACATCGAAGCAGACGGGCACTCCACCGATAAGGTCAAGGGATTGCAAGGCATGAAGTTCATGCAGAAGGCGGTGGAGAAGCAGCGCGAACGCGCTCTCGACGAGGCTGAGGCTCTGCTCAAGGAACTCCGCGGCGACGACTACGATGCCGGGGACAAGACGGACGACGACGACGTGGCGACCAAGTCCCCGCCGAAAAAAAAGGCCAAAGTGACCGCGGCGGACCGGAAGATCGTCGACAAGGACATGGTCCAGGGATCGCTACAGACCAAGGCCGTGATGATGGACAAGTCACACAAGACGCGTGTGGCGTCGGCCATCAAAATCGACTTTGACGGGGACGGACAGTCCGCCGCGGCCGTACACACCGAAGCGGAAGCCGACGAGGCAGTGGCGGCGGTGGGGACGCCCGCCGTGCCCGAAGAAAACCCGTGGCTCAGCGGGTCAAAGGTGGGCAAGAAGCGCCGCAAACGTCATGGCAAACACAAGAGCGAGGGATCGGCATCCGTGGCGACCGCCGTGGCGACGCTGGCGGCCGTCTCGACGGCGGACAAGGACCATCCCGTCACGCCGCTGATGCCGTTGAATGCAATCAACAAGAAACGAAAGGACGTGTCGAGTGACGCAGCCGGTCTGGAAGCGGACGACGCGCCCCAGAAGAAGGCCAAATCATCATCAACAAGCAAACAACCCCCCACCGCGCAAGAGGAGCTCGTGCGCAAAGCGTTTGCGTTTGCAGAAGACACAGAGAACGAGATTGCCAAGGAGAAGGAGCTGCTCGCCGCGCGGGATGCCGACGTCAAGGTCGGCGCCGAAGTCGCGCGGCTGACGGGCATGGAAGGGTGGGGCAGCTGGGCCGGCGAAGGCATCAAGCCGTCCAAGCGGCAGAACGCACGGCTGGCATTGGCCCACCGTACGGTACAGGAAGCCAAGGCGGCTGCGCTGGCCAAACGCAAGGACCACAAGATGGACGCGGTGCTGATCAACGAAAAGAAGGACAAGAAGGCGGCCAAGTTCATGGTCAACACGGTGCCGTACCCGTTCACGTCGCGCGAACAGTATGAATTGGCGATGCGGAATCCGCTGGGCAGCGACTGGAACACGGCGCGCGCGTCCAACGCGATGACCGTCCCGGAAGTGATGACCCGCGCCGGCAAGATCATCCAACCGCTGCGGCTCACGAACGAACAACGGGCCCCGAAACCACCCCCGAAAGTGACGTCCAAGACAGCGAGGCAAGGCAAGCAGCGCAAGGCCAAATTTTAATTAGAACCCCCCCCCACTCTCTCTATCACCAACACGACCAGCTTGTTGATATCCAGTCCCTAGTTAGTAGGTCCGAATGTACTCGAGAGCGGCCTCGAGCATGGTCAAGTAGAACCCAACTTCCCCTACCCAATGATGATGAATGATTATTCCCCTCTAATAATTCGAGTTTGTATACCTTTCAACGGGTCTTCCCTGCACAACGACCACATACACTCGAGCGTGGCCAGTGGTGATCGCAGGAATGCTTGGCACACGCAAAAGATAAACACGGGCAGGAAATCGTCGGCCGACAGCGCGCGCGACGCGGCGTCGGCTTGGCCGCTAACGGCATGGGCATGCAGGTCGAAGATGGCTTTGGCTGACGCAAGGAGGTGGTGCAATTTGAGGTACGGCACCACCTCGTCGTCCATATAGCGGAGGGATTGCACGCTACGTCCCAACGCATAGACGCAAACTACGTCCCAACGCATAGACGCAAACTCCTTCGCGAGGCCATACTACAAGACAACATCAATGATAACGTCACAGATCACATAGGTAACTTCAAACTGGTGACGTTGACCGACCACGTCATAGACAAGGGGGCGAGGGGTACCTGAGGGGCAGTGGGGAGTACGTTGGCCCAGGCAGCCATCCGCTGTCGAAACTTGTCTGGGTCTCGATGAGCGACGCAAGTGTGTGCCCATGCTTGCAGCCACTTTTGCATGGAAAGGCACACACTGCGCTCAATAGCCAAATGGACCGCCACGGCGATCTCGTCCGCACCTCCCCGCACGCCCAGAGCACGTGCTGCCGATATGCGACGATGTACTGCGTGAGGTTGGCCACCACGTCCCCCGCGTCGCGCACAAGTTCCCGTGGGCCGCTTGGGGGGTCCACGTCATGGGTTTCTTCTTGCCTTGGAATCGACCGACGAATTGCGCCACTGTGTGCCCCTCAAACGTATCTGCGCCCCATAATTTTCAACGCATCAGTTCGTTGCAAAATATTGGAGGGGCGAGTGTAGAGGGTGTTCAGCTGCACCTGGATTATGCAAGAGTGCTGTGACTACGATGGACGGTTCCGGCACCAGGTGCAGGGCAGCACGGCCTCATCGGAGAAGGCCGCCGTCACTGCGGTGCCAAGCAGGACAGCGCGGCGTTCGCATGTTGGATTGCACGTCAATTGGTCTGTCTCGATAACGTTGCCGCAGCCACCCGCGCATCGAGGGGCCGTGAGGTGTACAACCCACGGGTTGTTGGAATCAAACGCGACGCTGGTATCCTGATGAAACGTGCTGCCGGACTGTCCATGGAATGCTCGAAGCACGTTCGACGATATCGATTGTCGGCGGGGCTGCAACACTGCTGCTTTGATGCTTCCGTGAGGCGGAAGGCGTGAAACTTGCGCAAGTGGTGGCGAGTGTCCAGAGTGAGCGCAAACTTGCGCGACGTCACAGAGCGTTGCGACGACGTCGGGGGCAGGATTGTCTGGTATTTGCGCTCAACCTCGTGGACGTTGTGGGCGATTGCTGCGGCCCACGCAACGACAACGACTTCTGCGTCGAATTCGACTGTCACTGGTCGACAAAGTTGACGGGTCGACGATGGGGTCGCTTCTTGTGGGCAAAGTGCAGTTGTGTTTGCACTCTCTTGGCATCCTAGCCATCATCCAGCCCCGTTATGTTTGAGGTAACATATATAACGACAACAACGCACTGTCGCTCCAACATGGAGGTTCACTAATTGAATGGATTTCGCCGAGTTGTTCACTGACAAGACAAGACTCACGTGGGTGGTCCACAGGGTCACCTCGCTGGCTTTCCACGCGTCGCGCCGGCCTTTTCGGCATCGTCCATGACCGAACATCTCTACGGGGTGATTGGAGCCCAGGACCACATGTAAGGAATGGCCGTCCAGCGCCACTTGCAAGCGTTGCCCACATGGCATTAAGTGCATCGGCGTGGGGAAGACAGACCAACGCGAGTGCTCGGCGATGTACACGGAGATCCATTTTGCATGTGCAAGTGGCTGCAGAGTCGAAAGCGGAAAGTCGCGCTGCAGGAATGACGTTCAGATGTCGTCGGCCATGGCTGCATGGTGCCAAGCTTGGCATACATACATGCACAAGGATGCGATGGACCGTCGTGCCATCCAAGTTCAAGAGGACGCGTTGAAAGCAGCCGTTTACGAGGACATTCGGCATGCACAGCGGCGAAGCCCCATTATTGTCACGCCGCATATATGTCTGTTTGAGATTTTTTGTGTGGACGAGGTGGACGTTATGATGGAAGTGAAACCGCCGTGAAGGTACAGTACTGCATGGAAAGGAACGATAATATGAGAGAATACTTGTAAAACGTGTTATACTGTTAAGGGTTTTAGACCATGTTGACAGGCTTTTGCGCATTGGGCTTTGCGGCCCCCGCGGTGGCGGCGGGGTTCTCGGCTTTCTTGGCGTCCTTTTCGTCGTCCTTGCCCAATCCGTAGTTGATGCCCACGGCGGTGTACTTGAATTGGACAATCGAGAAGATGATCGCGAGCACGACGAGGCCACCAAAGTAGGCAAAGAAAGCGTTCTTTTGTGCCTGGGTGAGGGTGTCAAAGTTGGAACCGTTCGAGTAACTGCCGGCAAAGAACCCGACGGAGCGGACGAACATCCACGATCCGAACACAGAGGTGGAGATGATGTTGGCGGGCTTTTCAAGGTACAACACCAAGATGCCGCCGATGATAGCGAACACAATCAGGAGCACGATGGTGAGGACGTGACCGGCTTGGGCCAATTGCGCCACTTGGGCACCAATAGCCAAACCACCGGCACCGCCCAAGATGAAGATGCCAACGCGGTAGAAGTACACGGCAACCAATCCGAGAATCAAACCACCGACAAGAAAAGCGGCGATGGGGGCGGCCTTGGAGACGGGGAAAAGGGTGGCGAATACGGCGCTGAAGAAGACACCGCCCAAGCCAAAGCCGGAGATGAACGACACGGGCTTGGTCAACTTATACCCGTGGGTACCGACAAAGACACCGGCGGCAGCAATCGCAACAACGATGGCGTATTTGCCGACTTTTTCAGCAGTCGAGTCGTCGGTAATGTCAAAGAAGTCGCGGATTTCGTCCTTGAGTTGGTCCGCCTTGTCGTCGATCAAGTCGGCGGTCTTGTTGAGGGCGTGGAGACCGCTGTCGGTGGCGTTCTTGATCGAGGTGGTGTTCAACTGGGCTTCCGCCGTGCCGAACGCGAAGACGGCGAAAAGCAGGGTGATGGCGAGCAAGATCTTGTTCATCCTGGACCGCAGATTGGAAAATGACCATATGCAGAACAAATCATTCCACACAAACCCACGACGGGACGGACTCCTCCAAACGTTCGACTGCCGCCTCGCCAATCAGCCAATCAGCGCTCAGTGACTAGTCAGCCAGCCAATCGGAATCGTTTATTTGACTCAGGGGGTTGGATGGTTTGTTGTTCGAACAGGCGAACAGTCGTCTTCGTCTTCACACATCACCTATAGAGACAGAGGTCCAAGGGGCGCAACAGCGCTGCCGTCGGAGGCATCCTCGTGCTGGAGCAGCGCTGTTCACTCTGGTCAATGAATTCGCAACGTACAGTACCGGTAGATATCGGTACTACTATTTATACTATCACTACGATACGGTCGCCGTATTTTAAATCGAACACATATTGTTTGTATGGAGTTCAGTAATAATTTGTGTGAACGAACATAAAAGAACAAATTGGCGCTTGCCCCATCAAAACCCATTTGATTGGTGGAAATTGAATATATATTTATCCAATCGAAGGACTGCATGCGACGACCGCAACTTCAACGCGTAGAGCGACACGGTCGTTTTGGCCGGATCGCTGACTTGGGTGAATGCGGCGCTATGTGTACCCTCAGAGAAAAGCAGAGTCATACTAACGTGATGGTAAGGATCGGAGATCATAACGGTACGACCTTCGGAGCCCTTTGAACAGTACGTTGGGTTGGAGGTTGAGTTTGTTTGTATACTTTAATCAAATCAAGTTGCGCCGACAAGATTTTCATCTGTCACCAACGACAAAATTTGTGGGCCAATCAGATCGATGCACGGCCACATTGTCGTAATTCCTCATCCTCCTCACTCATTCTCGCTCATCATCAGCGCATATCCTTCGGTCCTCGCGGAAGGGACTAGAAGGGTCCTAGTAGATGCCTCCACATGAGACCACATCCGTGGACTTCGAAGCTTGCCTTCCTGTGTGCGACCGCCTCACACTGCCGCCGCATCACAAGGCGCCTCATCATCACCACAACCGCAAACGTCGGAAACAACGTCACCACCACCACCATCACATCAAGTCACTTTTTTACACCCTTGTCGCCGTTGTAGTAGCATGCGTCCTGCTGTTGTTCTCCATGATGCAACGTATGACCCTCGATGCGACGCTCCATGATCTCATGAACGCGTTTGTCAACGCCGACTTCATCCCCCATGCAGTGTCCAAAGGCATCGTCGAGTTGCGCATTCCCGAGTCGCGTGCCGTGCAACCCATCGATATCGAACGGCAGCTTCTGGGCACGCTCTTCACCCAGCTTGTAAGTCGCAAGCGGAAGCTCATGATGGAGATCGTCAAGGGCGCGCATGTCGTTGTCGAGAACGACCAAGGTCGATTCTACGAACTGTTCCGGACCATTTCCACGTCGACGTATTCGCGGATTTCGTCGCACTTTTCCAACGACGTGCAGTACGGCGTCCCCCAAGGTTACCTCCTTGACACGTTGTTGACCGGCACCACCAGCGGCAACGACTCGTGGTTCCAGTTTGAAGGCGCCAACTGGGACCCCATCGGCCGTCCCGTCGACAGTTTCATTCATTGCTTGAACTACATCGAGTACAAGATCCGAGGCGTCCAAGTCGGGCCGCTGGGGACGTCCATGTACACGGACCAGAACCCGCTGCGCATTCCCTTTGACAACTCGACCGAGACAGCCAGCCGTCCCGACGCCATGTACAGGCCTTGACCATCCCATCTACCAGTATTTAACATGTATTTACACGACTTGGCGCTATCCTTGGAGGACGACGACATCGCATCGTTGGTTCAATGGGGCAAAAACATGTTCCAAAGATCCATCAACTGGTATCGTCGTGTTAACTTAATCAGTGCGGTGCTTCTTGGGGTTATAGCGAGGGGTGGTAGCAGCGTCGTCCATGATGGAGTCATTCTCGATGGTGGTCGCGTCGCTGCTGCTGCTGCTCTTGGCCCACGCTCGTTTGCTAGATTTGTTTGGGGGATTGCTGGTAAGCTTGACAAAGTTGTCGTGGAACTGCGCTTTGAACTTGTGGTCCACGTCCAGATGCAACTTTTTCTTCGTGCCGTATCGTGACTTGTCGCCCATGACGCTGGCTTTGTCGCCACCCTCCACCTTGCGCCGTTTGCGAGACGATTTCGGCACTGACACCAACGACTGGGAGGACGCGTCTGGAGTAGCTACGGGCGACGACGAGATGGAGCAGTTGCCAATGCGCTGACACAATGACACTTCCTTCGACAACGCAGCAGCATTCACGTCGTCGAGTTCTGCAAGCACCGGTGGCGGCGAAGGCACGCGGGGTTCTTCTTGTGACGACGACGCAGCGCTAGTAGCAAGGCCGTGGGACGGCGACGTCAACAAATCCATTGCCTTTCTTTTTCGCTTTGGTTTGATGGGGGATGTATCGGTGGTGGTGGGATGATGTGGCGCGTCGGAAAGGACGGATGGGTTTGCCACGTCAATCGCAGTGGAGGAAGGGGTGGCGGTGGCTGCGTCTTGGATTGATGGAACAACGTGTTCTGGAGCTTCGTCGTCTGTGTCTCGGTTACTCATGGGAGACAATGGGAGCAGCAATTGCATCTTTAACGTGAGTTCGTTGATCGCCGCGAACGAATTCAAGCCACGCTGCTTCAACCGCCCAAGTTCTTGCTTGACAATGAGGGCGCGGACAGCGTCGTCGCGATTGATTTGGAACTGGTACATGACCTTGCGCACTTCGCTCTCGGACGGGTCGGTCGCGCTTTTGACGATACGTTGAAGCAAATTCTTTACCGCCAAGTCCCTAGGAATGCTCTGATCCAGAAGCAGCTGCAGTTCCGCCTTGACGACGCGTCGGAAGAGAGACTGTGCTTCCATCATCTTGCTTTCGTAGTCTGAGTGGGAAAACTTCGTGTTGGGAATGGAAATATTCATCGTGGTGCAAGCTGGTGTGGGTTCAAGCGGCGTGGATGTTCTTCTTGGTCGATCGACAGACTTGTTCGGAATGCCGTTGCTGTGGAATGTAGTGGACTCTGGGAGAGGTCTCGCGAGGTCGTTGATGGAGAGGCGGCGTCTCCTTGTGCGAGGGTATGCTCTTCGTTCGCTAGATCCTTCGTTTATCGGTGGATCTTTAGCGGAGGCGCTGCTTCTCCCAGTCAGTCGCTTGCTTGTTTCTGGAATTTGTTGCAGGAACAATGTACTGTCACACTTTATAATTCGGTGTACTCAATCGCGGCCTTTTTCTCTTGGCTTTTCTATACTGTGGGTAGACAGACAATAGTGATCCGGATAACAATTTCTCGGCCGTTCGAAACCGTGGGACCAGGCCATAGGCGTCGTCGGACCCATTGCTCGTTCCGTTTGCCTTGTAAAGCATTAAAATGGTATCGGTGCATAAACTACTTAGTAGTACGGTCACGAGATCATTATTGGCCTGGATTCATTGATAAAGTCAAAACAATTACATGACGAAGCACTACAGTAGTACGAGTACAAGTATTTGACATGCGAACAGCTTTGAACGGCCAATTCTATCCCCCAAGCAGGTGCCAATACCTGCTACTTCGAAGTACTTCAGTAGTACTGTAGCTCGCAGGTGACGAATTATGCTGCGCCAGTGAACTCGTACCGGTGATCGATGTGCTGCTGCTCCTCGGTATCGCGCCTTGTAAAGGAAGCTGAACGCTCTCAACTTGATTTGACGTTTGAAGTGAACCCGCATTGAATTCAGTATGTTCAACGTGGAAGATCGTATCCGGATATTGAAAGGTCGCGTTCACATTGTTTTTCTTTCGTGCTGTTGTCACTGGTAAACCCTTGAAGGATGAGCCACAGCGCGGTGCCGTCAGACAAAGTACGTCCCCGTGTATTTCCCTTTCCTGTCTTATCGTTATGTCTAGGCATCCTGCTCGTACAAGTCGAGAAAATGCCCGAATCCTCGCGCCGTGAAACGCAATGGCCGCGTGCACACCCTGTGCGAGTACCACCGCGCGCGTCAAAACGAGCATCAGCGAAAGAGCGATCGGAAACACAAAGACACGAAACATGCGAGGCAGTTGATGAAGCAGTGCGGTGAGTCCAACAATGCTGCGCACAACCACCATCATAACTGTGGCGACGTGGCCGACGACGCCAAACCGTACCCAATCATGACGACGCATATCGCCGCCTCCGACGCTTCGCTTCCATCCAATGCGCCAGAGGGGGTCCTCTATGGAATCCTCCACAAAGACTTGTCCTTTCGCGAAGCCATGGAGCTGAACGAAGCGCTTCGAGCAGTCACTGCTTCCCCCGGGCTGATGTGAACTGATGACACCAACTCTGTCGACCAATGTAAAATATAAACACACCCGTCTTCTCCATTTCGACCTTTCTTTATTTTATGTTTATGGCCCGACTATATGGCTCCAAAGCATGGATGCATATCCACATTTACTCTTTTCATGAGTTCCGTCAAGATCTACTACCCGCTGTTGGCGTGTGTGCTGGCATGGTACTGCGTGACCGTCGCGTCGAGCCAAGACACGCCAGATCCCACATCAAGCGATGGCATCAACGGCACTTCCGTCGCTTGTCCTCGCATACGAAAGGCATGGGATCGCCAAACGGACGTTGAAAAGGCAACGTACATTCACGCGCTGCAACTCTCGATGGACCAAGGGCTGTACTCAAAGTTCATGTCCATCCACCAAGACGCCGTGTCGAACCGTCAAGCCCACGGAACATGCGTGTTTCTGTTTTGGCACCGACAGTTCCTCGTCGGATTTGAAAACATGCTGCGCAGCCTCGATCCGCCGCGAACATCGTGCCTGACTCTTCCGTATTTCGATTACGTACAGCACAACCTAGATTACGTCAACCAGCGCTGCACCACTATTGAATCGTGCTCCCCCATCCTCCGCGACTTGGGCGGGTCCACCCAAGCCATTCGCAGCACTGCGAATATCGGAGGCTACACGTACCCCCAATTTGCCTGTGTGAACGCCAGCGTGGCCTCCCATTTCTGTGCGGATTCACAACGGTCATGCTCTGGATGCATCCCCCGCGGTCCTTGGCACTCCACGTTCTTTAATCCAGACGTCAACTTCAATCGCGTGAAACGAGCAGTCCTTCCCACGGGCAGTTCCATTGCTGCAGTGACGTCGGCAATCGAGTTCTCGGTGCACAACTCCGTGCACAGCATGTTGTCGGGGGTGATGGGAAACTTGTTCATCTCTCCAGTCGAGCCTGTGTTTTACTCCCATCACACGACCATTGACTTGCTGCACACGATCTACCACCGTTGTCGCGTGCAGCCGTTCGTGACTGGCCTCACCGAGTCCAGCGCCAGCGACCCCCGCGTGTTCCAAGGCTGTTCGATCCCACAGACTCCGAACGGCGGGGTCACGCGCAACTCGTCCGTGTTCATGCAAGAGTCTGGCCTTCGAAACAACTCGTTGATGCGGTTCTTTGATGGATTGCCCACGACCTATGGGGGACTTACAGATTCGACGCAGCTGGGCCAACATAGCTACTCGTACGACATGGGGGGACTCGTGGGCGACTTGTACACCAAATGTGACGCGGCGGGGCTGGGACTGCCTGAAGTGGAGGAGCGCCGTCGGTTGACTTCGGGGATGCGACACGTGGTACGCCCTATCGCGAGTGCGGATGGAAACACGTTCTTGGGCTGGCGCCGCGCCGTGTTCAAACGAGCGCAGGCCCAACGCATCGAAGACAGCGACCGCGAGATGGAGAAGATGATGGTCATGATGTACGCGAACTGCCTCCCTGGAAACGTCACGGACTACTCGCCAGAGTTCAAGGCCATGTGGGGCATCGAAGGTGTCGTGGCGCCATCCAAGCGGCTCTTGGACGCAATTCAAGACGGCTCCGACACCATCAAAATATCCAACTGGACTGGTTTGAACCAAAGGTACTTTGGCTGTGGTGGCGCCTTCCCCAACGACAAGTAGGCAGAGTAAACGCGTGATATTTCAGCGACGTTTTGCTTTCATTTTGAGGTTACAGGCAGTATGTTCTACATGGCTACGACGACCTTGCACCGCACGCTTAGGCTGCCACGTCATTGCCCTTGCACAGGCCGAATCCACCCGTCCAAGACCAGATCCGTGTCCTTGTGCGTGATGCCGTAGGTGGTATGGTTGCCGCGGGTAGAAATGTTCAGCGTGAGCTCGTCCGAGTAGTGCCCCCCCTTCCACAATCGGTCGTTGTACTGGTTCTGCTCGGCTACATGGACCACCCATAAGCCTTCCGTTTTCTCCAGCACGTCCACCACCACAGCCACATGACCGACGTACTGGCCTGGCGTCGACTTGTACACGAGCAAGTCTCCCACGATGGGTTTGTCTGTTCCAAAATTGGGCAGCTTTTGCAGCGCGACGCGGCGGTGCGGGTTGTCGAGACTGCCGACGTGGGTCACGCGGGTCCAAATATGCGCTGCGTGTGGGATGCTCGGCAGGTACAGCCTTCTGTTGATGATCCAGTACCGCCGCGCATACTCAACACACTGCCACTTGGCACCTGTGTACAAGCCATTGAGATAATGCGATCCGTCGCTGTCGTCATCGACCATGTTGCGGTAGTTGCAGTTGTATCCATCAACGCCGTGGCATGTGCCAAGGACAGTGCCGTGGGGAAGGCCTCGGGCTCCGATACGCTTAGGAGCGCCTTGCGTGTCGCCCGGCCATCGGCCAAAGAATGTCGTCATCTTCGAAGCTTTCTTGGAACTGACCTTTGCAGCCGGCCTTCGCTTTTTCGCGATGGCGGAAGCCATTAGTGTTCGAACGGGGCAGAAGTCCAACATACCATCACTCTGCATCCGTGAAAGTTCACACTTTCATATTTACCAAAATAAAACCAACATTCCGATGCTGCAATGAGTATTTCAACTTCAACATGACACTGGCCAAACGTCCATGATCATTCGCTGCGGGAATACCTGCATCGTATCTAGAAGGCGGCAATTCCTGTAATTCCTTTATGGAACAGCTCTAGGCGCGAACAGTATGTCTGAACTAAGCTCTATCAACCAAGGCCGCTGCCGAGCGAAGGTCATGAGGGTGATGGACGCTGTTCAAGAAGCCCTGGAGCGCCTTGGTGGTATGGCACACTTCGACAGCAGCGCCATCTTCACTCGACGCGGGGTGAATCTCTTCCCGACGGATCACGCGGCAGACACATTGAGTGGTCCCAGGACACACCGCGACGAGGTCCTTCCCGCTGTCGTCGTCGCCAGTCGACCGCACCAGTGCCCAGTGCCGAGCTAGGAACAGTCGCAAGCACTTGACGAGTTCGGCAGTGTTGGGTGTCGTTGGCGCTTCGCTTGGATCCCCATGCTGGCGAAGGATGTTTCGTAGATCCGTGTTCGTCATCCCGCCATGGCTACCGTCCGCGTACGACCCGACAAATTTCTGGAGGGCGGTCGCAGACTCCTTGTCGTACACACCAGATAGAGGGAGGCGCGGCGGCGGACGGCTCCATGGAGCGCGAAGGACGGCGTCATCGAGTGAAGCGCGCACCCATCCATCGAGGATAAGATCAGGATCTGGATGCGTGATGCTGTACGTAGTCTTGCCATCTCGCGACGTGCCTGTAACAAGATGCAGTTCGTCGGCGTAATGGCCGCCAGCCCACAGCTTGTCGTTGTGCATGTTCTGCTCCGCGACATACAGCGCCAAGGTCCCGCCTTCCTTCGTCACGACGTCCGCGACGACTGCCACATGACCGACCCATTGCGACGGAGTAGACTTGTACACGAGAAGGTCCCCGACCACAGGCTTCTCCGTTCCAAAGTTGGGAAACTTGAGCAGCGGAACGATGGCAAAGTCTCCGAGGCGACTGGCGTGGGTCACGCGGTCCCAAATGTGCGCGGCCCAGCTGAGACTCGGCAACACGATGCCATGGTTCACGATCCAGTACCGCCGAGCGTACTCGACGCACTGCCACTTCATGCCTGTGCAGACCCCGTTGAGGAAGTTGGACCCGTCGTAGTCGTCATGCTCTGCGTGGGGGTTGTTCTTGTAGTTGTTGTTGTACCCCTCGACACCTTTGTAGCTTCCAAGAACGGCGCCGTGGACCATGCCCACTGGGATGGACTTTGCGCCGTCGGGGTTGTCTCCTGGCCATCGGCGCTGGGAGGTCGCCATTTCACTGATTGGTCGCGGAACGCAAAATGACGGAGGATATTGCACTCGTTGCTTTTATTCTTATTTCATTTGAATAAACTATATAGATTAATCTTTGAAAAAAAATGACAGTTTCGTTCGCGAACATCGTGGCGCTTCCTTGACAAACTTGAACATCATGCCATGGTCATGCCCCCATTGCACGCTCATCAACACTTCGTCATCGACTTGCGAAGCATGTGGCTACACGAATCCTCTGGCCGTCGAGATAGCTACACCCGCTGCTGCAGCGGCATCCAACGTTGCATTACCGCAGCCATCACCACTTTCGTCGTACCTTCCGTTCGTGTCCACGTGCTTTGGCTGCCAGAACTCTATTTGGTGTGTGATGTTCTATATGATAGAGTGCGCTAAACTCACGCTTCCATGTATGTAGGCCAAGCTCATCGACCGTCCAAGCGCTGGGCAACACGTACCACCAAGCTTGCTTTCGATGCACTGCTTGCTCGCAGCCGTTGCCCCGTGGTATTCGATTTCAAATCCATGCCAACGAACCATATCATCCAGAGTGCTTCCGGGAGCTTTACCACCCCAGGTTCGCATTGACGCATCGATGCGTGTATTTGAAGTACCGCCAACTCCGACACCCTTTCTTGTAGATGTGACGTGTGCGATGAACGCCTGCCCATCACAGCCGATGGACGAATCCCGTACCACCAAAACTTGTTTTGGAAGCAAAAGTACTGCCCATCGCACGAACAGCGCGATCGATGCTGCAGCTGCCGTCGCCTCGAAGTACGTCCTAAGGGCATACGTTTCATCAGTACTTCAGCGCTTGAGTACTGTAGCCCACGGCCAGCGCGAGGCATTTCGAAAAGTTGGTCGACGGACGAAAACTCTGCGGCGATTGTACCCACACAGTCATCTTGGACACGGACGAGGTACTAGTACATACCATGTATGTGGCTAGGACTACTAGGAACAACGCTAGTAGGTTCAGCCTGTCGTGCAAGACGTGTGGGCGTTCTTGGCATCTCTTGGCATGCACCTACCAGAGGTGCGTTGATTGGTTCAAACAGTTTGTACATATGGCAATGTTCTATTCATAGCTGCCAGTGTTCCTCGTGGACTTTGACACGCTAAATGCTCAATCGCACTGTGAACACTCGACCGACAGCCAAGCTCCAGCCGTGTACGGTGTCTGCCTGTCCGAAGTAAACAGCTCGCTTACGTCGTCGTCACATCGTCACATATATGTATGTGACAGGTCAAAGTGACATTCCACCACTTTGCCCATCGAGCGATCCAACAATTGTTTCGCCTCGACAAGCCGCCCTCTCGCCGCGTCAACGGCATCATGATCCTCCACGGCCTTCCTTTCGACATGACGGCGTACATCTTGGCACACGAGGCCACGCACGCCTACTTTAAGCTCCACGAAGGCTTTCCGTCGTCCCTACCCGCTCAAGTGCGTCGAACAAATTGCTTCAAACCACTCATTCGTGTGTGTGCTTTTAGGTGGAAGAAGGCACGTGCCAACTCATGGGGTACTTGTACTTGCAGTACCGCAAAGTGATGGCCACGCCAGACGAGTCGTCGCAGCATGCGATACAGTTGAGGGACTGGTACATTCAGTCGCTGGTGGAGGACACGAGTCCCGTGTACGGCGACGGGCTGAGGGCCGCCCTGCACGCGTTCAACGCGGTCAATTCGCTGCAGTTGCTGCTGGATCACATTCGGGAGACGTCGGGTTTTCCACGATTGTAATAGACAAACAAAACAGCGAAAACATGAGACACAGTGCTGCGTTGTGTTATGCGACATGGGACGACGACGACGGCGTGGCATGCCGAGGACTTGACTTGGTTGATGACGACAACAACAACAGCGCTTGCATGTCTGCAAGCAACTTGCGCTGGTACTGGAGCGACTCGAACAGGTCGGGGTTGAACTCGATCGCAGACTCTTCCAGTGGCAGCAGCTTGTCCCCTGTAGGGGCGTCGCCCTTGGGGGTCGTCGGTCGAAACAACTGGCCGTCCGACGCTACACATAAAACAGCATCGCAGCAACAGATTAACGACATCTCATGGACGAGAAAGATACGAATGAGAGCAAGCTCTGTCACACATACACACACAACACAGTGAATCCATCGCAACGGATGATGATGGCGGCGGCGGTGTATGTATGTATATATGTGGTGTACCAGTGCGTTCGAGTCGTTTGTGATGGCGTGGGGTGTTGAATTCACTGTGCAGGATGCGCGACGGGACCCCTGGAACGTACCCCTGAGACGGAAGAGGTCGAGGAGTTGGGGCGTCATACCTTTGGGAGTGCGAAAGCCTTTGCTGCTGGTCGTGCTGCTGGCCGTCGATGCCAGCGGTGTGTACATGTCGCCTACATTATCATCCCTCGTCCATTAGGCCAATCCATGATAACGTTATGTGCACTATGCGCTTGAGCTGTCGAACGAACCAACCTGACGAGTCGGTGCGATGTTTCATCACGGGCGGATACTGGGCAAGGGCTTGGGCGGCGCTGCTGGCGCGAGAGGACCGCCGCCGCGGCGTCGCGCGAGTGTCGTCCATGTCATCTACAGGGGCGACATTATTGGCTACTTCAAGTAATACACACTCGTGGCGGACGATGAATCGACTTACGGGGCACGAGGTCGGCGAATTCCCCCGCGAGGGCCGTGTCTGGCGGCTTGAATGCTTGGGGATTGCGTGCTTTATGGAAGCATTTCTTGCAATAGTCTTCCTTGACATGGGGGGCTACCATGGCAGACAACGCCGCATGCGACGACAGCGTTGTGGGAGGACGCTGTTTGGAGGTCGGGGCCGACGAGGACGCCGTGACGGTCGATGGCGCCTGCGACGCCCGCAGCAAGTGACCTGGCTTGGAAATGTGAAACGCACATGCAATGCACGTGACCTATTCACCCACAGACCTCACCCCATGAAGATATGTGTGGTTTGCTTCAAGTCCATGCGTCGTACCTGGCCGCAGGTGCGGCACCACCGCCACCTTTTTGACACGCACGGGCACATGCAGCACTTCTGCGACGAACTACAAGGACGACGAGCATGAGTACAGCAGTATATCACTGGTATATTGGTTGCAAAGGGAGGCGTACTGGGCAGCGATGATGGACGTCGGCGGCGGCATCGTGGGCGCGGCGATGAGGCGCCGGATCTGTGCCAGCTGACTCAGCGTCGACATGACGTGATACAGCTTGGCACTGCGCTGGTTGGACATCCACGCGGGGAAGTTTCCATGGGGGTTGATGGTCATGTTGATGAAATACCGCACGTGGCCCGATGGAAGCGCCATGAACACGTTCACTAACTGGATGTCCATTCGCACGCAGCCTCGCGCGCCGAAGTACTGGGGCAAGTCCACGGACCGACGGATTGTGTACAGCGCCGGAAGGCCGTCGACAGTCGTGGACCCCATGCTCTACCGAAGGATGATCATGATGTCGTTATGGGATGAAGGAATCGGAAGGCGATGTCTCTACCTCCAAATAGACCGCTTCGCGTCGCTTGAAGAGTGAAGGCGCCAACAGTTGGTAGATGGCATGCTTGACGCCAAAGAACCGATACGGGTCAGCGGGTGACTTGATGGTGTGCGTGTGCAAGATGCCTCCGCCGACAAACTCGTTCCCGTACAAGAACGAGTTGATCGTGCGGCTGGCTTGTGACGTGTCGGCGTAGAGCGCGTACCCGATGTCGTCCAACTTGGTCGTGACGACACCCACGACGAGGAAGTCGTCGTGCTTGGATGTGTGCGTCGGCCGTCGGAACGCTCTGAAGTGCCGCTTCTCCATCGCGAGGCGGTACCCGTCGTCTAGGATATGGCCAAACTGATCTGTGTAGCGCTTGTTGTTGGCCAACGCCGTGGTCAAGAGCAGCCGCAGCTCCAAGTCGTACACGGCCATCGCGGCATCGCTCACAGGCGGCACCACGGGCGACTCGTCCATGGGAAGAGTTTCCGTTGCCGTGGACGACGAAGATGGGGTTAACCACGACGTCTCTTTTGTTCTTGACGATGCTGCCACATGGTAAAGAGGCATCAAACATTGCACGATGTGATGTTGCACCCCGTCTCACCATACAAACATCAAGCCTAAATATATCACACATTCGAGACGACCAGCATGTCCTCACAAGGGTGCGCGTAAACATCGGAATCACTCCTGCGATAGTCCCCACCAAGAGACCGATTATCCGGATGCAACCGGTATTTTGATGATTCCGCATTGAAGGTATGGGTGTCGTCGTCAAATCGACTTGCAGCAATGTCGTCGTGTCGTCCATACATCGAGTTTGGGCCCTGCTGCGTCGTTACAGTAAGCTTACATAGTTATCACGAGCGCGTTCCTGTGAGCATTCCTACCGAGATCATGGTCGCTCCTACAGTATCACGTTGTAAGTGCAAGAGCCTCTCGACGACCTAAGGTCGTCACTGAGCTCCACTGTCCTTAGCAGGGACATCAACATTGTCGCTTACTCAAGCCACAACATGTTGACCCATCTGTCACGATCTGAGATAGACCCCCCCACGGTCGTCGCCGCCGCCGCTGACTTGCGCGTCATCTTTGCGGCCATACAAAGAAAGGTAGAGTCCAGTGGACAGGCTGACGGGTTGACATTGCACTGACACGAAAGCGCCATTGTATTCTCATAATCCTACTGTACGTAGTACTTACTACTCGTCACCACAAGTAGTACAACGTACTACAGTACAATGGTACATGCAATACTAGTAGTAGGTACTGCACTTGCTGTAGTGCATCTCCACCTTGTGAAGCGAAGTGTCGCGGGCGGACGGGCATGTTGTTTGCTCCCTCCATATCATAACTAACGTTATCAAACGTTATACTGTACCCTAACAACATACTGTATCCTCGTCTTCTCATACTGCCGTCGTACGCACGAGCTTCCGTAGCCAAAACTCCATCTCGACACCGGCGGGGCGGCTCTTGCGGTCAAAGTGGAGGCACTTGGTGGCAATATCCTGCACTTCAAGCGGGCATTCGACACTGAACGTGGGCTGCAGAAGGTCCGCCTTGACCAGCGTGGCGATTTGGCTGTTGTTGGCTGGGTTCTTGTCGTTCACGTAGGGGTGTCGGCCCAGGTCGAGTTCGCAGATCAAGATCCCAAACGCATAAATATCGGCCTTCTCCGTCCACGCCTCGCCCCGCAGCACTTCGGGGGGGCTGATCAAATCCGACGGAATCCACGACGGGTCCGTCTCGAACCCGCTCAGTTTGGCGTCCCACGTCTCGGTCAGCAGCACGCTCTTGGCTTGGATGTTGCGGTGGGTCACGGGCGGCGAGAACGAGTGCAAGTACACGATGGCGGACGCCACTTGCTGCAGCAGCGCTAGCTTGGACACGTTCGCGGGCACGAGCGGCCGCCACTGCAGTAGCCGGTCGGCCGGGTCTTTGGTCGCGTCGAACGCGAGGAGGCGGGCAAGGTCCCCATGGCCGACAAACTCGAGCATGAGGCCGTACCCCGTGACCGCCATCTTGGCCCTGTTCCCCCACACAATGCCGAGGAACCCCACGATGTTGGGGTGATCCAGCGTCGAGCGCAGGCGAATGTGCTGCACGAATGCGGCGGCGGCGTCGCTCACTTCTGTCCCTTCGGTCGTCAGAGTCTTCAGCACTACCAACCGTTCGTTGAACTGCGCCTTGTACAGCATCGTCCGGGCCCCTGCCAAGTAGTCGCCTTGGTCCACGAGCGGGTTGATGATGTTGATTTCACGCATCGGGATGCGGAACTGGTTGAATTCGTCGCCCAAATCTAACCACACACAAACACGTAAAACGTGGCTAAGGGAAACAAAGGCAACATCAAACAGAGAGAGATAGACAGACCATGACGCTTGGACGTGCCCAGGTGGACGAAATCAAAAGTGGACATATCCTGGTCCATCGGGTCCGACTTGGACATGATGCTGCTCCGCTCGTCCCGACGTCGCTGGTACCACATGTACCCCCCCACGAGCACAATCACAATCACCCCCCCACCCACAATCGCATACGTGGCGTAATCTATATAGCGCACATTCCCCATGTCACTCATCAAAGTACATCATCAATCAATCAATGGACGCGAGGGGGGGGGACTAACTTGTAGAGGATGACGACGACGGCATGTCGGGGGTGGTGGTGTTTTGCACCAGGTCCTTGACACACACGGGGAAGTGTTTGATGTACTTGGTGCCACTCTCGGGGCACTTGAACACGGAGGTGGCGGGCAGGACCAGGTCGGGCATGGCCACCAACGCTTTGTACGTGGTGGAAGACACAACCCACGTTTCCAAGTCGTTCTTGTCCAGACGTAGGGACCGCAGCGATGGCGGCAGGTCCCCCGTGACCTTTTTGATGCCGCAGTTGCTCACGTCCCTGCCCCACATATATACATACGCACACTCGTCATATGATTGGTGATGATACATCGTCACGTACAGAGCGACCAACGACGGCGGTAGAAGGGACACGTTGAGCTCGCCATTTTGAATGGGCGTTCCCGACAGATTTCTAAAAGACCAGTAGTAAGTACGTCAAGAGCAGTGTACAAGTCAAGTAGTCGTACAAGGCGGCGACGGAAGCTGGAAACGGCGACGCGCCATTCCACGCAAAGGCATTCATGGACATGTTCCTATATAAGTTGATGAGAAATTCTCTAGTAGGTTATGCACGGTGATACATACAAGACGGAGTAATTGCTTTGGGGCGCGAACTTTGGCAGTGCCGTGATGCCATTGGACGAGATGTCCCTGCATAGCCGGGTAGGATGTCAAATTCGGGATATATGAGACACCGTACAGATAGGTCAATTTGGCGGGTAAAGTGCCTTGAATTTGCTGGATTTGGTTCTCTTCGAGGAGCAACGTCCGGACCTTGTCGCCGATGGATGCCATGTTAAACGCAGTCAGTTTGTTTGTGGCCAGACTTCTACTCATCGGGGGATAAGCCCACAAGTCAAGTCTCGATGAGCTTCTTTGTACATGAGCGAAACGTCGGGCGGGAACGCGTTGATGACTTGGGCGATTTGGTTTTGTGTGAGGAAGCTAGGCATCAGACAAAGGTCATGTACCCCCCCTGCCATGCATGCATGTATGTATCAATACATGGTCTCGAGAGATGATGGGAGCGCAGACGCGTCGACTGTGCCTTGCAGCGAGTTGTTCTTGAACGATCTAATGGTGGAATTTCGATACAGTAAACAAATATAAGCACTCGCATGGTAGACACATGTACGAGAACGCAACAGACGTACATGGACGTCATGTTGGACGGGAACTTGATGCCATCCAATGTATTGACGTTGTTGTTGGCCACAAGTCTACAATGAACAACAGGATGCAACGATTGTAACACAGTTCTGTAGCGGACGATGATCAATTGATCGAGTATGTACGTACACGATTTGGAGGCTCGGTGCATTGCGCTGGAGATTCCCGATGGACGTAATCGAGTTGTATGACACATCCCTAGTATGCGACGATGTTATTAGGGTGTCCTACGATATAAGGGAGTAGGGTTGGATGAGGGTGCTGTACGTACAGAAATGCCATTTTGGTCGGGAACAGCGTGTCGCTGATGCTGGTCAGTCGGTTATACCGTAGGTCGCTACACCAACGTTAGATGTGCATCCATCCAGGAGGAGAGATCCATACAGAGTCACGACGTTGGTCAAAGTTTGATTGAACCCGTCGACGCTCAGGTCGGGACCGAGCGCCTCCAGGTTGAGGTTGATCGCGGGGCTGGCGCTGTTCTCGCCCGCTCGCTTGAGATCCAGCAGCACTTGGGCCGTGCCTTTCGACTCGCTTGTGTACGGTTGCGGTTGGCAATTGGTATCGACGACGCAGAACCGCTCGGCTCGCAACAGCACCACACTGCCCGTGTCTTTGCCCCGGCGGTCGAAGCACACGGCGCCCAGTTCCGTCAAGCTCTTGGCGTTTGGGACTGCGTCGAATGGACTTGGGTTCGCCGCATCCACAGTGTCGAACACGCTGCGAAAGGTGGTTTCGTTCGCGGAGCTGCACTTTGAACTTGCGTACGAGCACTTGAGCGTAAAGCCCCTATCGACGTGACATGCATATGTATGAAAGGCATCATCGTGGCACGAGGACCTACGCCAATTGGTTTGCGCCCGTGGCATCGAAGCAGTCCCCGGGCACGAACACAGAACAGGACGCCGGGTCGAAGGGACAGATCTTAGTCTTGCTATCCACGGCAACCACATGACCGCATTTGACAGTCAAGAGTGACTTGGGCAGACTGCATTCGTCTGCAGCCCTTATGCACGTGCACAGAGCCCACACGACGACGGCGGCGGCGCGAGCCAGCGGCAACATCGCAATTGGAAACTTGGTACACACATATACGCGACAATTTGCACAATTTCTCTGACCAATCACAAATGTGCATTTTTCTGGATACCACATCTGATTGGCTATGTTGTTGCAAGGTGGGTCAGACCTGGCTGTCAAACTGGAGTCGAACTTCGTTCGAGGGCACTTTCGCTTTGGGCAGGGACTTCGCCATGGAACGTCACGATGTCATGGCGGCGGAAGAAAGCGCTGGAGACGACGGGGGGGGGGTTGGCAGCAGGCAACACGAGACTCAATATGGTGTAAAGGGGAGCCATGTTCGAAGTTCGGTTTTGCTGATTCACGCCCATTGCAAACCAACCGTTCTGATGACATCCGCACAACAACGACATGTACATAACGATTTGATCCACTATGTAGTGCGGCCACCACCACTGTATATATATGTATGTATATACCGAGGATGACCGTAGCGTTTGGACTATGACTTTGCTGCATGTGTTCCGAATCATTGTGAGTTGGAATGTCGAAGTTGCCTTGTCTGCGTCGGTTACAGTTTGGTTTACCCGACCAATCACAGTGGCTTACCTTACACTGTATTTTGGCCTAAGCTTACTGGTAACTCCAGTACAGCACAAATACAGAGCGCCAAAAAGTGCAAAACCACATCCTGGTGGGTCGAGTGGAGCAATCAACTGTGTGTACAGCATGCGCTGAAACCACTCGTAGCTGTGACACTGTGACCACTCGCCCTTCGTGTTGATTTCACACGCGACGAACACAACCCTGGCATGACATATAGCCATGACTACATTCATGAACTGCACAATCAACACTTGATTACAAGACCACGACGCTAAAGTCGTTGCGCTTGGGGCCAGGACGCAGGGTCTGTTGGGAAATCGGCCCCACGGTCTGGTCGCTGGCCTGCTTTTGCAGGCAGTAGAAGGCAATTTTGGGGGTTTCTTTCTTGTCGCGAATGGTAAACCCGATGCGTTTCAGAATCGTTTCAAAGTGGTCCACGGTCATGTACGTCGAATTGGTCAAGCACAAGAGCGGCAGCATGAGGAACAAGTGCCCATCATCGTTCAGGTGCGTCCACGTTCGCTGCAGCATTTCGCCTACCCAGCACCAATCAACGTGTGAATGTCGCGCGTAGTTGCTAAGCAACGAGTAGAAGGACTACCTCGTTTCTCAGGAGTGGGGACGCAGTTGATGACCATGCTGGACACCACCACGTCGAAGCGCTTGGTCAAGTCCAAGTCGAAGAAGTCGATCTGTTGGATCTTGGGGTTTCTCGCAATGAGATCGATCGCCAGCACGTCCAGCCAAGGACACACGACCAATTGGGTGTTGATTGCGCCCACTTCAAGCACCCTCAACGGCGACATCTTTTTCCCTGGCCGCAACTCAAACTTGGTCAAGAGCTGGAACACCCACCGACTGGTCTTGTGCAGACTCGTGGACAGGATACTCGCGTCTTGATATGCTTCCCGACCCCCCATCTCCTTGAGCCGGTGCTCCAGTTCCTGCACGCGTTGCGAGGCGTCGTCGTCCTTTTTGGCCTTGGACGATTTCAACCGCTGCAGCTCATGCGTCACGCGATGGAATTCCGTGGTCAGTTCCCGTGCCCTCCGTCGACTACATCAAGTGTCATGATGGTTCAAGTCGGATTGGTGCATCGCTCGATGTACCTCTTAACTGGAGGTGGCCCGATAGGCACCTTGCGCAGCTTGGACTTCTTGCTCGCCGAAGGCATGCTTTTATTGGTGGTGTGCCGTTTCGGGCATGTCCATATCCGGTCATCCGGATAATCACACTCGATCCACATCTCAAGGATGTTTCCGAAATCCTTGGCGATCACCAGGCAGTGGCGTGACCCTTCTGTCGCAGGCGACGACCTGTGGCCCACCTAGCACCCATCCTAGCCACGCTGTGGTGCTCTAAGCAATGGAGGCATCAAATGCGGATATTGATACTTTCATGCGCTTCTTACGATCACAAACCAGTGGACAGTATCCACACGCCTTGGCTCCTATCCTTGACGTTGCCAGTTACGTTCATTAGCGTGTAGCCAGCGCATTGGACACATACAGTAATCGTATTGTCATTCACGAGTTGCATGGTCAAAGGATGCAGTGTACCGGTACAGTATGCCCACCCGTCTCCCATTGCTGCAAAGCCCTAGTAGTGACCGCCAACATGGACCATATCATCAAGCACCCCCGATTACTTTGAGGCATTCCATCAACCCCAGTACACATTCCAACGATTGTTCCTTTGTTGTGCCTTGGTGCTCGCACATCTGCCCGACGCTGCGAGACGGCGTCGAAGTCGCCGGTTCCACCGATGCAAGGGTTGAACGTGTTGATGGAGCACTATAGGGCGATCCATGGAAATCCGGATACGTGCAAGTCTCTAGCCCTGACTTGTTGTTTGTATGTATTGTGTTTGTGGAATCCTCAGGTATCCGGATAGGTGTCTTGATGGGAAGTTTTTGGTGGCTTGCGGACGTTCATTTCCAATCTGCCGCCCTTCGATCGACGACACACTCATGGGAGAAGCGATGGCAGAAGAACAACCATCTTCGTCCCCTGCAGTTGAAGCAGTTGCTGCCACACCACAAGTCGACGAAGTGGACCCTAGCACGGTCGCTGTGAGCGTGCACGTCCACGGCCCTGCTGGCAACGACGAGGTCCTGCTCGAGATGGTGAGCCCTCTCGATAGCGTCATGTCACTGCGTCAAATGATTGCCGAGTACCCTGTCTTTGCGCACCACACATCGTACCATTTTGAATTGCAGGTGGCCGAGTCATGGTAAGCAGCAATCCATTCTACCCTTGGAAACTGATCACGGCCTACTTTGGCAGGGTGCCGCTGAACGATTTCGTCGAGTTTGGCGAATACACGGCGCTGTTGGACCCATCCACGACTGAATTCCACACGCGCATCGTGTTGGATCGCTATGACGTCCGCAAAGTGCGCGCGCAGGTGAAGCGATTGCGCGATGTGTTGGCGAACCCGCCGATTCCCCAGCAATCGTCCACGTCCGTCGTGGCGGCGACCCCAGAGGCGGCCGCACCGGCCAAGGCAAAATCCGCCAAGGAACAAACGCAAGAACAACTTGCCAAGTTGAAGGAAATCCACCGGAAATTGGAAGGCCTTGTCGTGCCGGTGACGCCGACGTTGTCTACGTTTTACGACCCCGTGGCGCTCCACCCGCCTGCCGATTCCAAGAACAAGGCTCTGACGACGTCCTCCACTTCGACCTCGTCCAAAAAGGGCAAGAAGAAGCAAGCGGCTACGCCCAAGGCATCGACTGACAAGACGCCAGACCAGTTGCCGTCGACGCTGCCAAAATGCATTGATAGCATCATCATCTCGGGCTTCAACCCGCCGCCAGGTCCCCGCAAACTTGCCGGCGACCTCGCCTACCTCGAAGTCACCCTCACGGACAAGAAAGTGCTCCACGTCACTGCCCACGTGTCTGGCTTTTACGTGAACCGCAGCGTCGGCTCGAAATTCGACCCGCTGCCTGCCGCCGCGCACCACCACCTCCTCGTCGACGTCCTTCTCAGCGCATCGGCCACGTTCTCCGAGCAGTATGCGTCCCTTTTAGCCACGGCCGCGACGTGGGCGGCAGCCGGCGCGACCTCGATTGACGCCATGGTGCAGGCCGGCGCCACGGCGTCCAGCGGGTTGCCGCCGTGGAACACCCAAGTGAAGCCATCTTCGCAACACCATGCATTTGACGCAAACCGAGCGCAAGACGAGCTCAGCGTCGGCCTGGACGAGCGCGGCGTGATCCGCGACTGGAACGAAGAGTACCAGTGTGCGCGGGAGCTGCCCAACGAGTCCGTGCGCGACCAGATTGTGCGTGCGCGCGTGCTGTACAAGGTCACGAGCGAGTTCATCGAGGCGGCTACCGTCGGCGCGGTGGCCATCGTGGACGGGTCGATCCCCCCGATTAACCCCATGGATGACGACAACGCGTGGGTGTACGTGTACAATCACATCTTCTTTTCGCGCGCTGTGGAAGGCCAGAAGCACGTGCATGACGACACGGAAGCGTCCCATGAGAATGCCTACTCGAGCGCCAACCACGACCTGCAAGGAGTGCGCGCGTACAACGCCGTGGACGTGGCGGGGCTGCACACACTGGCCACTGTGGTCGTGGACTACCTTGGCATGCGCATCGTCGGGCAGAGCATCATCCCCGGCATCCTGCAGGGAGAAGCCGCGTCCAAGCTCGTATATGGCTCCGTGGACAGTGGCGTGACGATCGTGGCCCAACCGGACATGCACGAGAAGATGCAAAAGGCGGGCGACGCGCTGCTGCTGGCGGACCGTGTCATGGCCGCCGACACGTCGTTGGTCGGGCCCGTGGAAGCCAAGGGCATCTTGGGCGCCGACAACCGGCAGTACATTCTCGACCTGGTGCGCATCACGCCCAAGGATTACCATTTCTACTTTGGCCATCAAGACAAAACAGCCTCTGAATCGGACAACAGTGGCGTCACGGCCAGCACCCGCGAAGGCTTGGACAGCGCCGAGGCCGGCAAGTACACGGCGCTGCTGCGACCGGAGCTGATCCAACTGTTTGCGCGCTACAAGACCAACAAGGACAAGACGGACGCGGCCAAGGCAGCTGCGGACGCCGCCCCTGCGACAGACTCGACGGAAGAAGCGACGCCACCCGAAGCGGATGCTCCCGCTTCTTCGTCGGCGATCGCGTTGCGCTTCAACGCGAACGTGTTCATGTCGTACCCCGCGTCGGCCGATGCCGAACAAGCCGCCGCCGACGAAGCGCTGGCCAAGGAGGCATCCACGTACCTCCAGACGCTGGTCATCCCGGCGTTTGTGGCCGACCTCCGACGGGGCGCCATGTACCCCGCGGATGGCAATGCGCTGACAGACATGCTCCACGCGTGTGGCATCAACATGCGGTACCTCGGCCGCGTGGCCGCGTTGAGTGCAGCGTTCGAGCCCAACGTGTCCAAGTTTGTCGTCGAGTTGCTTGAGGTGGAAATGATTGCTCGATCACTCAAGCACATCGTGGCAGCGCTATTCGCGGCCCAGCCAGAGCTCCGCAGCACCCCCGGCGTATTGCTGGTCGACGTGCTCAACGCGCTCTTGGGCTCGTCGCGCAAAGTGGCCCCAGCGACGACCGCGTCTGAGCTGGCTCTGGACAAGCTCAGCCTGACCCCGACCGCGGCGTCGCACCAGCTGTCCCCCGCGACCCTCTGGCCCCGCCTGCAGGAAGACGTCGCCCGGCGGTTCGGGTACACCCTGCGCCTGTGGCCAGGACCTGCCAAGCAAAAACCATCCAAGGGCGACAATACCCCTTCCCGCGTACACAAGGGCGTACTCCTTCGCCGCGTGTGCCAGCGATTGGGTTGGCAGGTGGCCAGCGCCGACTACGACTTTGACTCGGACGCGCCGTTTGATGTGGCCCATGTCACGGGCATGCAGCCGCTCGTCAAGCACTCGCTGCCCGCGCATCCGTTTGGCCACGCCACGACGCTCTTGGAACGCGCGCGGTTCCTAGTGAGCCAGGGCGTGCTCGGACCGGCGTACGAGATGCTCCAGGACGCGTCCTCGCTACTGTTCCAAGTGTGCGGCGGCGCCCACGAAGACGCGGCGCTGGTCCTCGCGTCCACCGCCACCGCCTTGTACCATGCAGGCGACGTCACGGGAGCCATCGCGTCCCAGCGCCGCGCGTTGGGTCTGTACACCCAGCTTAAGGGCCTCGACTACTACGACACGGCGTTCGCCCATGCCAACTTGGCGCTGTACCTGCACGCGAACGCCGACACGGCTGAAGCCGTTGGCCACATCAAGCGCGCCATCTACCTGTTGGAACTCGCGGCCGGCCCGCACTTTCCAGAAACCAGCGTCTTGTACTACAAGCTGGGCATGATGTGCCAGGACGTAGGCCACGTGGCGTTGGCGCTCGTGTGTCACCGAGAAGCGCTCCGCCGCGGCGAGTTGGATCGCCACCAAGCCGGCATGTGCCTGCATGCGATGGCCATGGCGTGCGCGTTGGCGGGGGGGTTCCGCGAGGCGCTGTCGTACGAGAAGAAGGCGCTGGGACTGTACCAGGAAGTTGTGGGCGACGACGACCCGCGGGTGGTCGAGTGTTTAAAGTACATTGAGATGTTCACGGCCAAGGCTGTGGAAGGCGCCAAGGGGCGACAGGAAATTGACGCCGTGGCGGCCGCGGACGCAATGGCCAACTCGTTGGCAGAGGAATGGGAAGTGGAAGTCCGAGAAGCGGACAAGAAGCGACAGGGGGGAGGCGGTAGCAGCAAGAAAAAGTCAAAGAAGCAAACTGCGTAATTTGTAGATGAACGACACTTATAGAGACAACAACAAGCCAATGGTTACGATTCAATACTGTACCTGGTCTCGTTTGGTACGAATTACTAGGCAGATGGACGGACGAAACCCCGAAACAACCCCGACGGTCACGACGACACTGCTAAGACAAGCGAATGAATGTAAACCTGATAGAGACTTGGTTAAGTTGGTTAGGCAGTAGAATCTGGAGGAGATGGGTCCTCTTGTGCACACACGTTGGCTTCGCTTGGGGGCACCTGTACAGGCGTAGTAGTCGTAGGCATCGCAAAGGTCGACTTGGTTTGAAATTCCACGAGCGCCTTCCAAAGGCGAGCGGCAAAGACGTCGATTTCCTACATGGAACCAACGATACCAGTGGCTGAGGTTTCTGAAGTAGTTGGTGACGAGTATCATCATCATGACGGTATAGTATTTACTACGTACAGATTTGGTCATGCCAATCGCACACGCGGCCGTCAAGTACGCCGACGGGTATGCATTGGCATGAGCCCCAAACCCAATAAACTGGTGGCCGCCCACAGACTTGACGTCGATAGTCGAGACGACTCTATAACGATGAAAAGGTACTTACTGGTATGCAAAGGGGTTGACATTCGTAGCAGAACAACCAAACGAATGGCTGCGATAACGTTAAATGATATATATATGTATGTACCGAGTGCCAGAAACACCGCGGGAAAACAACATGGAGCCGAGGAACGTGGTTGCATCCACGGACGGAATGCGGTGCTGAAGCGTCATGCAAAACGAAATCTGCGACGACGAGTGAGATATTGTGTCGAGATAATATTTCAAATACGCACGTCGTTGTGGGGGGTGTGCAGCAGTCGCTCACCACAAGAGTCGGCCACTTCCGTCAACTTGGCTTTGAAGTACGGCACCAGCGCCTTGCGTTCTGCCAAGAGCGCCTTGTACCCGTCGCTGCCGAGATGGAGCATCGTAATGAACAAGTCCAACAGCGGCGCATTGCTAGCCCGGCCTACAGGTTGTTAATCACACCAAGATAATCATACTAGATACTGTAACCTGGATACATTTTGCCGATTTCTTGGACAAACCCAACATCGGGGCCGCAAATGACCGACCCCCCCACCGGAACCTAGTGCAACCTCGATGAAAGATATATATATATATGCGATACGGGATAACGTCACTACAAGAAAGTTTTTATCGGTGCTTTGAACACACGCGTCCACACGGCCAGTTCGAATCGCTTGGTTGATCAAGTGGGTGCACTTGGACGATTGCAACCCGTACGCGTTGTTGATCACGTGTCCTATGACTTGTCACAAATCATGTGTGACGAGGTGACATACCAATGTCGTGGCGCCGGCACATCTGTGCAATCTCCTCCACACGATCGTATCCCCGCGGCGCAAAACAACTGGTCGTGGACAGCACACACAGAATGTTTTCCGCGCCGAGCTCTACGATTTTGGCTTCCAGTGCCTATAACCACCCAAAACCAAACCTTGAACCCTAACAACACACCAGTACTAACTGACATTACCTCTAAATCTGTGCGCAATTCGTCGCCGACCAACACATTCTCCACCACAACGGGTTCCAGCCCTACATTCGAGTGGTCGGGTTGTAATAATGAGACATTGCGCCGCCTACCTGCAGTGACCATGGCCTTGAAACACGACTTTTGATCGATGCGAGGCCACAGCACATAGCGCTTGGCCGCGTGCCCAGCGCTGCGAGCTTGAAGTTGGAGCGTGAGGAGCGCGAACAGCATGGCCATGCCAGTTGCGACTGGGAGGACGATCGCGCACTTGGCGTTTTTGAGGCCTGCATGTGGCTTCTGTAAGAATGTCCAGGAAGATGAACGTACCTGCGATGTGGAGCATGTCCTTCACGAGGAGGTTGGTGAGCTGCACCATCAACGACGACCCTGCTGCCTTGGGTTGGATCGCGCAGATGTCGCCGGAACGACCGACGCCATGAGCCAGGTGGAAACACCGATTGGCAACCAGGGAACTCGCAACACGTGCTTCGCGCTCGCCGGCGCCGACATTGTGCGCAAAGTTGTTGCTGTCCATTTGGGCGAATTCGTGCAGCACCCCTTGGATTGACAGGTCGTCCCAGCCATGTTCTGGGAGCTTTCGGTGGGACAGAAGCGATGTGAGTTGCTTCTCTCGCGCCCTGAGAGACTCGCTGCCTTGGCGGATGTAAGCCATGTCGACCAAATCGCCCGCCAGCTTCTTGTTGACTGCGCTGTGCATTGTGCTTGCTTCCTCTTTGCTTGTGTGTCGAACACGCCACTTTTGTTTCCATCGTAAATCTGATAGGTCATCAACTGACCAATCCGATCTCATTTAGAAAAATATATTACTCAAAACAAGGATATTCCACGATTTTTTATTTTCTCCTCCAACTTCAACAGTCGTCGCCGAGGTCGTAAACGGCGGCACCGTCGCCTTGTTTAGCCAATACGCGCTTCAGGACAGCAAGAAGGGAACTTCCACCTCCGGCGTCCATCCTCCTTGACGAGACAATGAAGCGGAAGAATCGTGTGATGGTGATGGCCGCTTGATGGCGTACTTTGCCTCCAAGGGAGTTTGGGATGATGTCCGTCGAGATAATCGACGCAACGGTGCCATCGTCGTAGCGACTGACGAGTAGGTCGGAGTTGGTGGCGTGTATCTTGCCCACGTTTTCCATGACGAGGCGTAGGCAGAGGAGGATGTCCACCATCGGATTGTTGTCTGCATCTAAGCAGCCAGCCATTCAATTGTTAGTTGTGGGTATCATCGAGAGAAATGCCCACCAGACTCGTCCGACACGGCACACAAGACGCTGTTGCATTGATGCAACAGCCCTTCGCCCTTGGCAGCTTCTTGCAACCGCACTACCGGCAGAACGACCGATAGCATCAGGTCACACTCCACAGAAAGAACGATGTACCATCCCAAAATGCGCATAACAGCACGACTTGGCCAGCCCACCGCTGAATAAGCCAGTTGTCTGTATGTGTGCGCATAACGTCGACACACACTTCAATGCCTCCGCGCTCGGCCATCACGCTGATGAATTGCCCTAAACATATCACTTCTCAGCAAGGTTCGTACGTTCGCAAACATTTGTAACGTAACGGTGATTCGTAAACAATTGGGTCAGTTGCTGCGAGCCCCACAAGGCCACGGACGCATTCGCACACATTTTGGCCATAGCTCGAAGCACCAAGTGGACATATGTCGACGTCGTGCCAGCCAATCCTATGTCCACGTCGGAACGTCAGTCAAATTCTGCTATTTTGCAGTTCTGGTGCACCTTGAAAGGCCGCGTCGGGGGACTTGCCATGCTCGTGAAGGAGGATGCAACTGACTGCGCGGAGTCCCCACCGCTGCATGTTGACGTCGCCCGCGAACGATTCCATACGCTTGAGCATCACGTTGACTAAGTCGGACACGACGTCGGGGTTGTGCATGGCGCCAGGCTCGCATACATCATCGTCGTCGTCCGAGGATGAGCCCTCTCCAGAACGACCTTGTTCTGGTGACTGGCGGTGCCTTTGCATGATGCGAACGATAGCCGCGGCCACGTGGGAAGCCACATTCACATGTTGCGGATACTGTTGTGCCAAATGGAGAAGTGCCAGGAACCCGGCTTGTTGTGTGGCGAACACGACGTCTTTTGTGTCCATGTCTTCAGTCACCCATCAACGTTCCCATCAATACGTTGTGGTATATATCTACGTACCGGATTCAATCACACGAAGGACATGCGACCGCGGGCTACACGGACGACATGCATCATGTGACGGTCTTCTCAAGGATGGTGAAAGGACAGGGGGACGACCTGCAGACGTGGCCACTGGCCGTAGATGCACGGAGCTGGACAACGTACGCTAGAACGACGCCGTGGACGGGAGGAGGCGGCACGATGTCGAACACAATCGGACTCGACGGCGTTGCCCTGTACACTGCCACGTCCGGAATGTCGAGCGAGTGCAAGACGTAGGTCCCTTCGACCAGGTCCGCCGACGGATTGGACGGCGGCATGTGTCTGCACGCGAACACGTCGACGGTGTATGCGACGATGTTGTCACCCCCTTCGTCCCACGTACATCGCAGGCTCCATGCCTTGGACGAATGAACGCACTGTAGTGTTGGCGGTAGCAGTACCACCGCCGCGGACATCGTATGCAATGAACACGAAACCGCCAACGTAAAACTGTCGATGGGGCACTTATTATTAGTATTATTATGCCAGGGCACTTGTCAAGTCGGCAAAGTCCTTGACGAACCAGTCGGCGTGCTTCTTGACCACATCGCGCTCGACGACACCCCCAAAACCGACAAACAGGTCCGCGGGCGGCTTGGCCTGCATGTCTGTGACACCGTCTCCCACCATGACCACGGTCTTGTACCCGTGCTGTTGCTTCAACCTATGTCCATCAACATGTTCAGTCACGTGGCAGTGTTGCAGACAGGATGGTTCGTGTCGTACATGTCCAAGACGCGGGGTTTGCCGCCATCGCGCGACGTCATCTCCGTGTCGTCAAAGCCGGCGTACGCGCCGCTGGCGTTGAAGTGAATCGTGTTGGCAAATATGTTGGCGGAAGGTACATTCAGGCGGTCTGCAACCGGAGCAATCATCAGTCGAAAGCCGCCAGAGACGAAGTACACGTGGACGTCGCGCGCATGGAGCCCTTTGATTAGAGCTTCGATGCCAGGCGTGAGTTGCGGCGGATGAACACGCAAGCAGTCGGCGATGTCCTTTTGCGATGGCTTGATGATGTCAAGTCGCGCTGCGAGGGCGTCTTCGAACTTGACACCGCCGTTCATGGCTTTGGTCGTCCAGGCTGCGACGCGTTCTCCTTGACCGCAATGCGCCGCCAGCACATCGATGCCTTCTTCGCTGCACACAGTGCTGTCCACGTCAAAGCACACAGCCTGCGCTTCTCTCCAGATCGCCACCGATGCAGCAGAGCTCAAGTGTCTGTGCTGCTTGAGAGTGCCCTTGGGCATGGACGTGACCCGAGTCGTGGCCAGCTTCATTGGCTTGAACAGAAGCGTCATCGAAACGACAAGGAAACGATCAAACTACCACTGACATACAGTAACCAACAGTCGCTTGAGCCACATAAACTTTCCTGGGGATTTATTTCTTCACCTGTCACCTTTATCAATGGTGAGTAATTGCATGATGTATGAATAATTCGAGCGACTTCACATCGCACATAGGTTCTAGCATTGGATTGGCTAAGCTCTTTGTTTTTAGCCAATCCAATGCTAGAAACTATTGCGATAGACATTATAGACGGGGTCCTAGTATTAAAATACTAGGACCTCTCTCTATATACTGTACTTAGTATGAAAACACTAAGTACTTGAAGTATATAATAAGAGCATCTCCAACGGGAGTTTTTAATGTATTTTTATTGCCATTCATTTTAGAAACAAAGTTAACAATAAAAACAACTCTGTCCAACGGTTCAGTTTTTAAACGCATCCACATGGCAAGTATGGAGTCCAAAGTCCTGGACTGGTTTCTCGACGACAGTGTCATGGAGGCTCTTCCGGTGGTCTTAGAAGCAATCACTTGCCCACCACAACACGGTTCCCAGCCAGGACGGGCGCGAAACCTTGACCGTGACACTGTGTCTGGGCACAACAACATCCACCGCGACTACCTTGCAGACACACCGGTGTATCCTGAAAACGTCTTTCGACGTCGTTTTCGAATGCTTCTCAGCATGTTCCGTCAAATCTGTGCTGGCGTGCAACGCATCGACCCATCCATGTCACAGCAATACGACGCCACAAGGAAGCTAGGATCCACGACCGAACAAAAAGTGACTGCGGCGCTGCGAATTTTGGCGTATGGCACGGCATCAGATGCCGTCGACGAGTACTGTCGCATGTCGGAATCGACTACATCGGTTGAGTTGAAACGATTTGTCGCTGCCATTGTTGCTGTGTATGGCCCGCGGTACCTCCGTACGCCAAATGCTGAAGATCGAGCAAGAATCCTTACCAGGAATGCGGAGCGTGGGTTTCCTGGTATGTTGGGATCACTGGATTGCATGCACTGGTTTTGGGACAAGTGCCCTCGTGGTTGGGCTGGTCAAATGGTCGGTAAAGATGGCAAGGCCTCGCTGGTCCTTGAAGCGGTGGCAACAGAAGACTTGTGGATTTGGCACTGTTTTTTTTGGCATGCCGGGTAGCTGCAACGACCTCAACATCCTGGATCGTTCGCCAATCTTCGAAGACCTCTACAATGGTGTGGACCTTGGTTTCTCGTACACCGTCAATGGTACAGTGCGAACGACACCATATTACTTGGTTGATGGCATTTACCCTGACTGGATTGTATTTTTGAAATCTATGTCAATTCCTGACTCTTCGAAAAAACAACATTTTGTGAAAATGCAAAAAAGTTGTAGAAAAGATGTCGAGATAGCCTTTGGTGTGCTCCAAGGGCGCTGGCATATTCTTGCCCGTCCGAGGAAGTTGTGGTACCAAGAGGACATGGGGACTATTGTGAAGGCATGTGTTATTATGCACAACATGGTTCTTGAGCATGACCAAGGCATGAACTTGCCAATGGAATTGTTTGAGTGTCATGTCGACACAATACCTCTTGTACCATGCTCCATTCCAACGTTCACAACAAATATCGCAAGAGTTCGTGATTGTAATGGTCACAACGCATTGCGCGATGATATTATTGAGCACTTGTGGCACATTAAAGGATTGAACTAATGCACAGTTGATTGAATTTTTCATTGAACAACAAATCTATTTATCTAGTTATCACACGATCGAAAGCGCTTTGCCATGTAATCCGACTTCAATTGGTTCAGCGCCTGTAAATCGTCCGGTTCGGAAGACGCTGTCAACATTTGCATCAACATGTAATCTGAAAACAACTTGTTCTTGTTGTTTTGGGCTTGCACGAGCTCGTCTAGCTTCTTTGTCATATCAACGTGCTCGAGCGACTTCCGTTTGGCCTGTTTGGTACCCATTGGACGGCGTGTATCTTCAACACACGTTTCTTCTGAGGTCTCTTGGTCTTCATCATCCACAGCCTTCTTGATTGCCGACGACTTGGCTGTAGGCAACACCTGCCACTTTGGGCACGCCGACAATGTCCTCCATGCCGCCTCTTGTTGAAAGACCTCGTGCTCCAAAGAGAGAAATAGTGCCAGTGCTGCCTGCATTACGTCTTCGTCTGTGTTGCCACTCGCTCTGCGTGACTTTGCTTGCGCCACGTACCCGCTGAAGTTTTGTGCAGATCTGCTGACAATGGACCAACGATTCTTCAGCGCTTGGATGGTTCTATCGTCTTGGCCCAAGGCTGACGACCAGTGCTCGTGAATGGTGCTCTAGAACTTGTCCTTGGACTGGTCGGCACCCTTGATGGGATCTTCTGACGTACAGACCCATGAGCGAGCAAGTTGGGCGTCCTCATACTGCGACCACTTCGATCCCTTTCCCATGGGTTCCAATTAGAAATGGCTGGACGGGGTTTCTATTTTTCTCCTGAATAGAAACTCTGAGGAATAAAATAGCAATAAAAACTACCGTTGGAGAGAGTTTTTTTGTAAATATAGAAATGGAAACTACCGTTGGAGATGCTCTAAGGACGAAAATTACGTTGTTCGTGAAAGAGCAATAGCAATACTGTAGTTAGTACTACTCGAGTACGTAGTATTAACTATTGCTAGTTAGTAACTGTTAGTATTAACTATTGCTATTAGCAATAGTTAGTTTCATTAAAAGTTTTACCGTCAAACTATTGCGAATTGGACGCTTTACTAAAATCACTTGAGAAGCAACCGCCGAGTCCTTGTGTCGAAGTCTGCTGTTTTTCACGCGTAACGTTCAAAGGGCCAGCACCTCCAACAAAGCCGCAACGGTGAACATTACCGATTTCATACAGTAATGAACGCATTGAACATGCACGATAACTATGCAATGACTAGTAGTTGATATTGATATTACGCTGTAAAGTTAACATATCTCAGCGGGCACTTATAACTATGCAATTTGCATTCACTATGTGTTGTACGTAGGGCATGAGTGAGGACAAACCAAGCGATATAAAACACTGCTCTTAGCACTTTTGAATCGAATTGGCCCAATCAGTGATGGCCCTGGCCAACTCGGCATCGAGGGGGTTGTTGGCGGTCTTCTTGTACTCTTGCATGAGCGAAAACAACGAAGGCGTGTCATCCATGGGTCGGAGGTGGTGTGTCATTTGGCTTGGTATGCAACTGGTTACGGACGCAGCCCCAACGAACACGACGCTCGCGTCTTCGCGGGTGCAGTGCGTCGCCCGAGTCTGCGCGTCCTTGGCGCCAGTGATGACCAGAACGTGGCTTGTGACGCTAGCCGACAATTCACGGATACGCGACAAGTTAAATGCAAAGTGTTCGCGAAACCATTTGGCTGGGATCTTGACCAGCCCGCACTTCTTGACAATCAAGTCGGCTTGGGTGGTGTTCACTTTGACCTTGAGGTCGTCGATCTTGTCTTGCAGCTTCTTGGGTGTAAGCAGACGACGCAGGAGCCACGTGGTAATGGTACGACCGTTGACGATTTCGTCCCACAGCTCCTCAGACTGGAACCGCATCGCTGTTTCAATAGACTCGCCGAATCCGGACAAAAGGAGTAGGCCCAGCGGTGTGGTCACGCCCTGGTCTCTTAAGTGTTGGGCCACAAGTGGCATGATGATAGCACCTTCGCTGTGCCCAGTGAGCACCAGCTTGGTCGAGTCCACACGTGGCTGGGCTAGCAGGAACTTGGTGGCTTCCACCACGTCCAACGCCAAGTCGGACATGCCCGACGTCAAAAACAGATTCGAGTCGCCATTAACACTCTTTGCCACGCCTCGTTTGTCGTAGCGGAGGCAAATCCACCCAAGCTCGTTGGTGAAGAATTCTGCAAGCTTCGAGTACACTTGCAGTCGAATCGACCCGGCGGAACCGTCTCGGTCGATGGCGCCACTGCCAACTACGATTACGACGGCTGGACGAAGGTCTGTGCCACGTGGAGACGTGATCGTCCCCGACAAGGTCACAGTGTTGTCGTAGGAAGGAAAGCTCACGCCTGTGCTGGTGGTCATGTCAGACTGAAAAGTGATTTTTGGAGTTCGACTCCGTTGGTCTTTTCAGGGAATGTAGGTGGTCGAAATATTATTGTGAATTCGATAGCAACTTTTAAAATTCGCCTGGTTTGTCGAATCAATATTGAATCACGCTGGAGTTCTGATTGGTTGAATATACTTGTCCTTTCTTCAAGAGCCAATCAAATCCACTCAAAATTGGATTAGCCAATAAGGTAAAAAATCGATTTAAGACACATCTGTGGAACGAAGAATTTCCAAATCGCCACGCGCAGGCAACTTTTCATCCTCCAAAACTTGAAAATTATACAGCGAAAATAATGCTTTCCAACCGCATACCGAATATATTGTGTTTTGCAGTCGTATTGCATGAGCAAAACACCAAAAACCAAGCAAATTTGATATCATTTTGAGAATCAATTCAAGACACTTTTTGTTATCTTGATCAAAGTATGATTATTTGCTTACAAATGTTGTGTTTAGGGTATTCAATTATAGGGAGGGATATCAATCCTTTTGCACGGGTTATAAATTCGCAAGGAGCTTTCCAATACTGTATGCATTCTCCCCTTTCCGCATAGACATGAAGAGGATATTTACTGTACAGCTGTACTTGCAAATGTTTGCTTCAAATATTTTGCGCCGTTTGATTGGTTCTTGACACACCGATCTTAAATTGAGTAATCTGACTTACAATTAACTGTAAATTGATTTTTACGTTAGCGTCAGTTCGTGATTCGATTCGACGGCGAGATTCGATTCGACGGTGTGCGGAAATTCGTACCGAATCCACAATATTCGACGGTGTGTGGAAATTCGTACCGAATCCACAATAACGTTATGTATAGTATGTGGATTGCTTGCCTTTCTCAGGGAATGTATGCAGATGATCAATACCTCTTGAGACAGGTACTGTACTGAACCTCATGTACTAGTATGAGGTACACCTTGGTACATGGAGCCCTTGGAAGTGCGATCTCCATCCCCCACGTCGAACCAGTGAGCATGCCACGGGAGTTGTGAGTATACCTTTTTAAAGGATTTTACTTCGTATGTACAGTTCAGCTCTCTCCCACGTTTGTATAGAATGTCCGTTCAAAATAGCAAAACTTTCCCATATTGTCGTATTTGGGAAGGGGGTACAATCCAATCGCGCAAACCGATCCACAATCGATCTGATTGGTTGAATTTCATGGATAAGGTTTTGATTGGCTAATAATTTCTGAGGTAGCCAATCAAATCGATTTAAATTCGAACGAGAAACCACGCCATATCATTTTGTCCGATAGGTTCAAAATAGTTAGCCATTTGGTTCTGTTTTGAGCGGTGGTAATATTTTTCGTGGCTCCAAAGCACTTCGGGTTGATTGTTCCAAAGTAGTACACAACCAACACCATGACGCACGAGTTCTCGCGCCTTCCAACCAACGTCAAGCCCATCAAGGTACATGCCTAGTTCCCATCCTCAGAGACGCCGGTCATTCTTAACGTGATGTCGTAGTACACGTTGCACTACGATGTAGTCGACTTGACTCGTTTCCGCTTCGAAGGCCGCGAAGAAGTGTCGATCGCAGTGACGCAAGACACGAAAACCATCACGTGTCACGCGATTGAGCTGTGGGTGCACAGCGTGAAAGTGGTGCGCCAGGACGGCACGGCTGTCGCATGCTTGGAAACTCGGTTCATTGAGGAGGACCAAACCATCACGTTTGTCTTGGACGAAACGTTGGTCGCCGGCACGACCGCGACGATTCACTTGGCGTTTTCAGGGCTTCTCAACGACGCCTTGCGCGGGTTCTACCGCAGCGAGTACGAGCACGATGGCCAGAAGCGCATCATGGCGGCGTCGCAAGTACATCCTCTCATCCGAACTCTGTATCACATGATGCCTCTAGTTTCAAGCGTGCGATGCCCGTCGTGCGTTCGTGTGCTGGGACGAACCAGCGATCAAGGCAACGTTTGAGATCTCCATGGCCACGCCCGTGCACTTGACGGCCATTTCCAACATGCACGTGCTGTCCACGTCCGTGCGCCCGTCGACGTTGACGTTCAACGGCGCCGAGAAAGTGTGGCACTTTGCCGAAACGCCCATCATGTCGACATATTTGGTATATATATATATATTGCATTTCATGGAGAAATCGCATAATATTTCGTGGTACGTAGGTGGCGCTGGTGGTGGGGGAGTTCGACACCGTGTCCGACTACACGGACGAAGGCGTGCTGGTCAACATTTACACGCCGTTGGGGAAGGCTGTGCAAGGCCAATTTGCCCTCTCGGGTATATGACGACTGATACATACTATTCGTTTTGCTCAGTACATATATATATATATATATATATATATAGTCGCCACGAAAGCGTTGTCGTTCTTCACCAAGGCGTTTGGGCTGCCGTATCCGCTAAAGAAGCTCGACAACTTGGCGATTCCGGACTTTGCCGCGGGGGCCATGGAGAACTGGGGCTGCATCTTGTATCGGGAAACGGCCTTGCTGATTGAGCCGGGTCAGAGCAGCAAGGCCAAGCGCACGCAAGTGGCGCTCACGGTCGCCCACGAGTTGGCGCATCAATGGTACACTTTTGTGTTTGATGACGATATTTATCACTCTTTAGTGATTGATATACATATCACTTTTAGTGACATATATCATTTTAGTGACATATATCATTTTAGTGACATATATCACTTTTTGTGACATATATGATTTTGCACAGGTTTGGCAATTTGGTGACGATGGAATGGTGGACCGGGTTGTGGTTGAACGAAGGGTTTGCGCACTTTATGGAGTACGATGCGGTGGACCATATCTTTCCGGAATGGAACATGTGGGAGAACTTTGTCCAGGAAGTGACGCTGGACTCGGCCTTCCGGGAAGATGCGTTGCTCAGGTAGTTTGTTGCTGTGGTTGTACTGAACCAACCTATTTATTATACTCAGCAAAGAACAATCTTGCATGTGTAGCTCGCACATGATCGAAGTGGACGTGAACCACCCGGACGAAGCCGACGAAATCTTTGATGCGATTTCGTATTGCAAAGGTATGTACATTCATAATTATTATATTTATATATTATATATTTATTATATACCAAAGTTATGCTCAAATAAATATACTTTTATGCACTCATACTATCTTGACAGGGGCTAGTGTGATTCGAATGTTGAGCGAATACCTTGGCAAAGACGTATTTTACCGCGGCATTCAAATCTACTTGAAGCGGTACACCACTACCAATATATATATATATATATATAGTGTTTCATGGGAGAATATATATATATATATTCTCCCATGAAACACTCGTTTTATTGTTGTTTTTGTCATGTAAATATAATTATCAACCACGCCCCACTTTTGCGTAATATGTTGTTTGTAGGTTCAGCTACAGCAATGCGGTAACGATAGACTTGTGGGAGGCGCTGGAAGAGGCGTCGGACCTGCCGCTGTCGGCCATGATGAACACATGGACCAAACAGACGGGCTTCCCCGTCGTGACCCTGAGCCGGACGCCGGACGGGGTGCTGTCGCTCGCCCAAACCCGCTTCTTCTCGGACCCGTCGGTAGTCGATCCGGATGACTCGCGGTGGGACCTCCCGCTCACGGCGCAGGTCGGGCATGGCAGCGGTGGTGGAGGAGGTTCGGAACTTCACCGCGTGGGCATCTGGACGGCCAGCGACCTCCCCGCCCGCGACGCCGCGTTCGAAGTCCACGCGCCGACGTCTGTGGGGTCGAAATTCCCTGCCGACAGCCCCTGGATCAAGCTCAACGGACTCCAGCAAGGCTTTTACATTGACAACTATGACGCTGACGGGTGGCTCCGCCTCCAGAGCCCGTGCCAACGTATGTTGACACTTATAATATATATACTATGGATGGTTGGTGAAAGGATATGTGATAGAGTTGGTGCTAAGTGAAGTGGACCGCATGTGCCTGCTCGATAATGCGTTTGTGCTCACGCGAGCGGGCAAGTTGGACTTGGCGAACGCTTTGGAATTTAGTCGCGCGTTTGCTAACGACCCAAGTTATCTCATTTGGAAGTCGCTGTCGACGCACTTGACGTTCTACGGCAACTTGATCCATCAAACCTCGACTTTTCCCAAGTATATATATATATATATATATATACTTCACCCTATTTTTTACACGCAGCCAAACTATCGATATATATATATTTATATATTTATATATATATATTTATTTATATATCTTGTTGAATGGGGTAGATTTCAAGCCTATGTGCGCCAGTTTTACGACCCGCAGTTGGCGCGACTGGGCTGGTTCACACAAGACACAGACCAAGAGTCGACGGCGTACTTTCGCAGCGAAGTGATTCGAATGCTCGGGGCGGCCAAGGACCCAGGTACGTACATGCATGCATGATGCTTGAGATTGACGTGGCCGTTGTAGCCGTGTTGGCGGACGCTGTGATCCATTTTCAAACCCTCGTCACCACTCCTGAGTACGTACGTTCTTGTGTGCCATCGTATCTCATGTCATGCGCGCAGGGCGTCGCGGGTGACGTCGGACCTGCGCGCGGTCATCTTCCGCGTCGTGGCGACTCATTTGCAGGGTCAAGTGTATGACCAGCTGCGCACGTTGTACGAATCATCCGACTTGGCGGAGCTCAAGAACGACTGCTTGGGCGGCATGGGCGCCGTGCAAACCAAGTGGAACGACACGCTAGAGTGGGCGTTGAGTGGCAAGGTACGAAGTCCCCCCCCTTCGCACGTACTATGTAGGTATCTATCGGTAGGTGCGGTCGCAGGACATTCAGTACGCGTTTGCGGGCGTCGTGCGGTCAGGAATCGAAGGCGCCGACTTCGCGTGGGCGTTTATCCAAGCCAACTGGGACCGATTGAATGACAAGTACATTCCCAACAAGGTACAAGGAATAGTAAATTTATAAGAAAAAACTAAACGAGAAGCAGGTCGGGTCGCTTGTGTGCTTGGCCATCGGGCGGTTCCAAAGCGAAAACAAGGCGGTGGAAGTGGAGGCGTTCCTCGGGGATAAGAAGACGACCGCGTACAAGCGCCGATTAGACACGACCCTCGAGGGCATCCGGATCAAGGCGGCATGTTTCCGCCGCGATGCGACTCATCTGGACCAATGGCTCACTGCGCAGACCTTGTAGTAGCATGTAGTACGGGAACGAAATGGGTTGTGTATATATACTAACTAGTGTACCACGACCGATGTTTATCGTCTGCTGGTTCAAACGTTACTCTAGTTGTATAACCATGGGAGAGGGAGTCACTCAAGCCGAAAACGTACGCATACATGACGTTATCTCAATGCTGACCCTCATTGAAATACAAGAGTCATGCCTCAAAGTCTAAAAGTTAGTACTAGTAGTAACTTACGTTATAAATCTTAGTTAATCTCCAAAAATCGATTAGTACACGGTCCCCCCCACATTGAGATTATATTTCAAAGGGTTTATTAAATTAAGGAGTGTTTTGGGTAAGAAGCAAGTCAGTCGTCGGTTGAGACGACGACAATCTCTGCATTTTCACCCAAGTGAAAGTCCCCAATCACAGCCAAGACGTCGTCTAGATTGCCCAGCAGATTGACCAGCGCGAGCGTGGTGTTGGCAAACGTCCCAAGCTCTTGGACGACGCACTTGTGGTCGAAGATAAAGTTCTGTTGAATCGGCAAATGCAGCACTCGGCCGATGAGTTTTTGAGTAAGCGGCTCGTTGTTGAGGAGGTGGGGGAACAGCAGCTGGATGGACTTGCGAGACATGCGCAAGTGGAGCGTGGTTTGTGCATGCACAACCACGTTGGGGGAGAATGAGACCACGTGCGCTTGGTGGAGCTCCATGTGGAACGCTTCAAATGTATTGACGTACAGCACCCACTGCTGCAGGAGTTTGTCCAGGCCAATATTACCCATGATCACCAGGTCTGGGCTCATGGTGCTGTTTAAAAAGTCGAACTGGGTCGTGTGCTGGGCACATTCTGGGTCGAGATTGTACCCGTACACAAACATACGAAAGTACTCGTTGGCAACGTTGCACTCGGGTTCAAACGTCCGCAGCGGAGGTGGAATGGCCTGTTTCATCATCTCCAAACGTCCTTCCATGCGAGCCACATCGGTGCGCAGCTGGATCACGGTTTGGTTGAGGAGGTCAGTCGTGCACTTTTGTTCCGCGCGATACCGACGCTGATTGATCTTGCTTTGATTGCGCCTCGTGGCTTTCTTCATCAAGACTCTTCCCATAGCCGCCGCTCTCTTGGCCATGTCCATGTCGATGACCACTTGAGGTGTCTTTATGGTGTACACGATTGCTGCCTCCATGGCAACGTCTTCGCGTCGCACCTTCATGATCGTGCTGGTGGAGAGAACGATGACTTGTTGGGTGCGACATTTCTCCCCCAAACCACTCATTTGTATACTTCGAAGTAAACTGGACCAATCACAGCACCTTTAGTTGAGTTATCAGTCGTTTGCCTCAAATTTCAACAATTATTCGACATTATTTTGAATGCCGAGACGTGAAATGGCCACATAAATATCACTTTTGCAAATTCACGCGGAAATATAATAATATTCCAACGAAGTGATTCTTCGGTGGGGGTGATAAAGTGGTCATGCTACAGCACAACCAACTCGTAGGAGCTGTAGCACGATCGGATCAATTCTTGCTTCACCAGAAACCTTCTTCATCGCGTCTTCGCTTTTGGCTTTCGATGAAGCGCACTTTTCTTCGAAAACAGCAAACCGTTTCATCGTTCTATTTACTCCTTTGAATACAAAAATAAGCATTTAAATACTTACAGTTAGTAGTATACATTCTTGTATAGAATTGTTTTATTGGAGTGTTGATGGTGGA